TACTTTTTTATTAGACCTCTCGCAGAACAGCTCCCCTCCTTTGTAAAGGACACCAGCAGTATGATCTCTATTATTGAATCTCTTGAGCCTCTCCCTGATAATACCTTGTTAGTTACTTTTGATGTTGAGTCGTTATATACAAATATTCCACAAGATGGCGGTTTTGAAGCCATGGAACATTTTCTTCTGCAACGTGACCCAAATGAACTACATTCCAGTGCATGCATTATAACACTGGCTGAAATAGTACTCACACACAACTACTTCATGTTTCTAAATTATTTATTTATTCAGACGAAAGGTACTGCTATGGGATCTCCTATGGCTCCTAACTATGCTAATTTGTATGTGGGTTACATTGAGAAACAGTCAATTTTCAATCCTCTCAAAAATGTTTTATTGCCTAACATTATTATTTGGAAACGGTACATTGATGATATTTTTGTTCTATGGAGGGGTGACTTAAAACAGCTCCAGGCATTTTATGCTTTTCTTATCTCTTGTTCTGAGCACCTGAGGTTTACTATGCAATCTGACACACGTCAAATCAGTTTCCTTGATCTTCTGATTTTGTGTGAGGAAACACTGATCTTTACAGGAAACCTACTGATCGTAACAGTTTGTTGAGGGCTGATAGTTGTCACCCGCTTCCCTTGAAAAACAGTTTGCCCTACAGCCAATTCTGTCTAATTAAAATCATTTGTTAAAAAACAATCAGATTTCGACCGAAATATGGCTGACACGCAAAGAAAATTCAAGGAGAGAGGGTACAAAAATGGTCAGATTAATACTGCCATTGAGAAAATTCAAAACAAATCGAGATTTAACGTCTTTCAGGGACAGTCTCGCAAAAAGAAGCATTCTTGCTTTCTAACTACACGCTATTCAAAGTGCTCTGAACAAATTAAGGGAATCGTTCACGAACATTGGCACATTCTAAGATCCGATGACAGTATTGGTAATGTCTTTTCGGACCCTCCCTTGGTTGTATTCTCGCGGGGCAGAAACCTTAGAGAACAATTGGTAAACTTGGGGGTGTTTAAAGGATCTACATTTGTAAGTGCCATTGCATTGAGCGCAGCCGTTACACTTGTAGTTTCCATCCGATAGAGGCGCAAATAGACGTTGTGCAGGGATATTTAGGGTTGGTAAACTCGGTTTACCAACCCTAAATATCCCTGCACAACGTCTATTTGCGCCTCTATCGGATGGAAACTACAAGTGTAACGGCTGCGCTCAATGCAATGGCACTTACAAATGTAGATCCTTTAAACACCCCCAAACAGGGAAACAGATCCCAATCAAAGGTGTTATTACGTGCTCCACTAAGGCAGTTATTTATCTTATAACTTATCCTTGTGGTAAACATTATGTGGGTAAAACAAAGCGCGAATTAAAAGTACGAATCTCGGAACATCGTAGCACCATTAGGTGCAAAAACTCGACATACCCAGTCGCTGCCCACTTTTTGGAAGCGAACCACTCGATTTCGTCCCTACGTTATATCGGCATCGAACATGTCACCCTCCCTAGGAGAGGGGGTGACCACGACAATTTATTGTTAAAACGAGAGGCTGCCTGGATCTTTAATTTAAAGACCCTTGCTCCCTTCGGTCTCAACTTAGACTTTGATTTGAAGCCATTCTTGTGATTTTGCTATTCATTGTAAATGTTTATGGGCCTATGTAGCCAAGTTGTATCTATGATCGTATGCTATCCATGTTTTTTGTATGTTCTGTTTATCTGTGAATTAACCAATGCTATTAGAAGACAGCTTGTCTGTCGAAACGTTGGTTATTAGTATATTAAATTATTGCATCTGAGCTACTAGAGTGTGCGGCTCTCCTTTCTTTTTCAAGTGTTTTACTCCGTTAGCCAGCACCTCGCCTAAATAGGTGTGTGTTTCTTTCGCCTCTATAATTAGTGAGTTGCTGCGCAAAAGTTTTTTCTAAAATATATATTTATATATTTATATTTTAGTCATTTAGCAGACGCTCTTATCCAGAGCGACTTACAGGAGCAATTAGGGTTAAGTGCCTTGCTCAAGGGCACATCGACAGATTTTTCACCTATTCGGCTCGGGGATTAGAACCAGCAACCTTTTCGGTTACTGGCACAACGCTCTTAACCACTAAGCTACGGAGATTCGATATAGGTCGATAGTTTTTTTTTACATTTTCCGGGTCAAGGTTTGGCTTTTTCAATAGGCTTTATTACTGCCACTTTTAGTGAGTTTGGTACACATCCAGTGGATAGGGAGCCATTTATTATATTCAACATAGGAGGGCCAAGCACAGGAAGTAGCTCTTTCAGTAGTTTAGTTGGAATAGGGTCCAGTATGCAGCTTGAAGGTTTAGAGGCCATGAATATTTTCATGAATGTGTCAAGAGATACAGGATTGTCTCCATTTATCCTAGGTCCTGGCAGATATCCTGGATATCTATGGTACAGTAATATATTAACTTCACACAATGTATTCATGTACCGCCCCTATCTCTCTATTGACCCTCCCTCCTGGTCTGTCCTATGGATTGACCAACAGTGGATCTGACTTCGGTGGACACGCTGCAGTGAGAGGCCATCACCTACAGCCGCATGCACGAGATCACCTCGTCCGGTCAGGACTCAGATCTACCAGAGCATGCTTGGACAAATTGAGCAGAGCTGCCAGCAGACAGACAAACCCAGGATCCCTTCAAGAGCGAGGAGTCGCCCAGCTGCCTGGCCAAACTGGCTGTGCTTCTCAGGTCAGTGGTCAAACTACTCTGCCACACTTGGCTTGCTAACCCACCTCATCTATTGTATCTGCTGTACTGCTATTGATTATGAAGGAAAATAAATATAAGGTTCATTTCTAAGGGTATAGTAGCCTATGATGTGGTAGTGTGATGGCACCTCCTGATTTACTGTCTGGCGCAGTCCACCTGTCTAACCTCTCGCTTTCTCTTTCTATAGGAGGACTGTGAGGAACCTGTCTCGAGACAAGATGGGTCCTGATGCGTCTGTCCCAGAACCTAATCTAACCTAATCTATGGCCTGTTTGTGGCCTTTGTCATGAGGCTGGATGATGAGATTACCAAGGGAGCGGTACAGGACTGGATTGGAATCATCTACCAAGTCATGGGGGTGTCATCTTACACTGGCATGCTGAAGCTCTGTGTGAGTTAGCTTGTTGTTTCTGCTTGGTCTTCCCTGTAACCGTGCACTACACTTGGTTTCTCTTTGCTTATTTGAGCTGTTCTTGCCATATGGACCAAATAGGGCTATCTTATGTATACCCCCCTACCTTGTCACAACACAACTGATTTGCTCAAATGCATTAAGAAGGAAAGACATTCCACAAATTAACTTAAGGCACACCTGTTAATTGAAATGCATTCCAGGTGACTACCTCATGAAGCTGGTTGAGAGAATGCCAAGAGTGTGCAAAGCTGTCATCAAGGCAAAGGGTGTCTATTTTGAAGAATCTCAAATATAAAATATTTTGATTTGTTTAACACGTTTTTTGGTTACTACATCATTCCATATGTGTTATTTCATAGTTTTGATGTCTTCACTATTATTCTACAATGTAGAAAATAGTAGAATTAAAGAAAAACCCTTGAATGAGTAGGTGTTAAACTTTTGAATCATTTTCATTGCATTGTATGAGGTTATTATTCTTATCTAAACTTCGGAGGTGAATTGATGTTGTGCGAGGTTGTAATGTCTTCTATTTTTGTTATTTCCTGTTTTACAGCTTCGATGCTGTGGAGCCTGGTGTTGTTGTCACCAAGGAGCGTTCGGACTCAGTCAGGACCAGGTTTCAGCTGCTGCGCAACGCTGACGTCCTTCCTCCCATAGATGGTCTGCCTGTACAAGCACCACCTGGACTGGACACAGCTAGACAAACTTTTCTTTTTGAGAAGATCAGGGAGTTTTGCGACGAAGAGGCTATGGACATCACATGCCCTGCACCAAAGTCAAGGGCAGGACAGAAACAGGCTGTCCGAAATAGATTCCCTTGTTCATGCGTGGTTCAGACGGACCAGTCATCAGCACTATCTGCAGTGCCACTTTACCCCTGATTGTATGCATATAACTACTTCATCTATCACTATCGTTATTGATATTGTTCTTGTACATACTGTGTATTATTTTCTTTATATTACTACTATGCAAGTAACCATTTGGCTGTACCGTTTACACCTTCTGTAGAGACCCATCCACTTAGCAAGATGTGGCTGGGGATTATAGCATTTATTTCACATGACCATCAATTTAGACAAGTGTGTCTGGGTCATCTAATATTTATAAAATAAATATTATTTATGTTTACCTGGAATGTTTCCTTGTTGTAGGCTACTACTTTTAGTCTTAATCTTTACTACACTACTCACTGTTTAGCACATGACTTCACATGTGAATGTATGCACTCACTAACTGTAAGTTGCTCTGGATAAGAGCGTCTGCTAAATGACTAGAAATGTGAATCCTTAAAGAGATGGGTGGGGCTAAGGCTTAAGAGGGTGTGAACGATGCTGAATTGGTGTAGACAAGAGCTCTACAGTAGGTTCCAAAACGTTCAAAGGCCATTTTCTCAAAAGTGAGGTTACAAGTTTATCAACTTTCAAAGCAGAATTACTTTACCATTGTTCCTCAAATGCAGTGTATGATATACCAATTTGTAGCACTGAGCCTCTACTTTTATCCAATGTAAAAAACACAATTTTAAATGTTGCTACATAAGAGCAATTTGAGTCAGTCACATTTGGTCTGTCTGAACTGACACCCTATTCCCTGTAACAGGTGACCGACTGTCTCAAATCTGCAGTAGTAGATAATCACTCAGTAAGTCAGATCAGGCTGATTTTTATATTGTACATCTGCGGGGAAACTAATATTGAGTTACAATAACATCAAAATGGTCCAATGTTGTCAAACCATGCCTGAGTAACATGAACTCCAACACAGTATGGGAAAAAAAATGTATGCACTCACTAAGTCGCTCTGGATAAGAGCGTCTGCTAAATGACAAATGTAAATGTAACACTGAAACAGAGACCGCCTCTTCCAACACTGTAACAGATCCTGACACCAACAGTATCATCATAGACTGAAAGGGCTGTGGGAGCACAGGAGGCTGGTTAGGGGAGGATGGCTCATAAATGGCTGGAATGGATGGTATCAAAACCATGTGTTTGATACCATTCATTCCGCTCCAGTCATTACGAATCTTTGGTGCAGCACCTTCTATGCAGTTCCTCCCCTTCCATCGTTCTCATTTCACTGTCTAAATGAAAGTAAGAAACAAAAGAAATTGAGTTATATTCCCTGCCCATTTAGGATGGAAAAATGGAGGAGCCATTTCTGCTGTTATTGAATACTGGACTTCCTTATGTAGTAAAGTTGGACCTGTAAAGATAGTCCAACTCAAGAACCACTTTCATGGCTATCACAATTACTAGGAGTGTCATGAGCAAAGCAAGTGATAGGTGTGATGTCTCTGATGGCAGTATGGCAACAAATCTAGTGAATGATAAAGTACTACTGTAATGTTATTACTTATTGTTGGATATATAATGTGTTTTCTACGCTCGCAGAAAGTGACATGCCAGTATGTTGCAATCTCCTTATAAAAATTAACATTTGTTTTGCTTTCTTGTTGTAAAAATGTAAAGTAAACAATATTTTTCAAAATAGCCTACATTTTTAAAATTAAGACTAACCATACAACAGTTGTATGTATGAATAGGAAAATATATGTATGAATCCAAAACAATCGATATGAAACGTATTGTACAGAGACAATCTCTACAACTAGGCCTATTGTAGAATAGGATTCCTGAAATATAGTACGTTCTACAGTATATGATAATGGGAGCAGTTCTCTGGGTTTATTAAATGACTGTACAGGTGTCTGACATGGCTGAAGTCTGTGCGGTTTATTAAAAGAGTACAGGACTCTGCCATGGCTGAAGTCTATCTGTGCTCTAGAACATTCTGTTCTGTTGATCTCATTGGCTGAGAGAGGTGATGAGTCAATTAAGTTAGGTCTCCAGTTCCAGGCCTTTCCAAGACTTGGACACGTTCCTCTTGTACTGATCCAGTTCCTTTAGAAAAGACAGAGGGCACAATGTTATCATGAGTGTTTGGGGTTCATTCTACATAGTTTATCTATACTTTAGATCATATAGTGTTAAAACCATGTCAGGATACCATGCAAGATCACTGTCAAACAGATGTAAGCTGGTATAACAGAAAGCTGTTCAGGGTCCAGCTGACCGATTCAGTTAGCTGTATATGACAGAGAGTCAATCAGTATTTCTGGTAAAAACGTATGAACTCAGCGTGACCCGGAACTGAATTCTGACCTCATAAAAACCCATCTATCAAGGGTGCATCTGAAGCAAGTTCCAACAAATGGCTCTGTCTGGGTTCCTAGACTCATCTATCAAGGCACGTGTTTGAGTCTTTAGTATCCACATTCTGTATATTGACATGGAGTACCCCAGCCTCTCAACTCCTATTGGCTGACTCCACCCATCATATCCCTGTCCAATGGGAGTGCTATCTGATTCAGTGACAATAAAACATAATCTGGACTCTTGGCTGCAGCCAGATTACTTTAGCTAGATTAGAAGATCATGATAATGTTGACAATCTCCATGGACCCATACAGTGTGTGCTGTAGCCAACTCTTCTAACCCTAGGGTTGCGTTTATACATGCAGCCCAATTCAGATTTTTTCCCCCACTTTTTCTTTTGACCAATCAGATCAGAAACATTGGAGTTGAGACAGGGTTCATACCGTGTCTTTCTGAGCCCTCATGGAGTCAATCTGGGGCTCACTATACTGGGGGTCCTTGGCTGGGTCCTTCAGCTCTCTGTGGTGCTCACTGGTGTTCTGGTGTAAGACATGAGCAATGGATCAGTATCACACACACATACAGTGGGGAAAAAAAGTATTTAGTCAGCCACCAATTGTGCAAGTTCTCCCACTTAAAAAGATGAGAGAGGCCTGTGATTTTCATCATAGGTACATGTCAACTATGACAGACAAATTGAGGAAATAAAATCCAGAAAATCACATTGTAGGATTTTTAATGAATTTATTTGCAAATTATGGTGGAAAATAAGTATTTGGTCACCTACAAACAAGCAAGATTTCTGGCTCTCACAGACCTGTAACTTCTTCTTTAAGAGGCTCCTCTGTCCTCCACTCGTTACCTGTATTAATGGCACCTGTTTGAACTTGTTATCAGTATAAAAGACACCTGTCCACAACCTCAAACAGTCACACTCCAAACTCCACTATGGCCAAGACCAAAGAGCTGTCAAAGGACACCAGAAACAAAATTGTAGACCTGCACCAGGCTGGGAAGACTGAATCTGCAATAGGTAAGCAGCTTGGTTTGAAGAAATCAACTGTGGGAGCAATTATTAGGAAATGGAAGACATAAAAGACCACTGATAATCTCCCTCGATCTGGGGCTCCACGCAAGATCTCACCCCGTGGGGTCAAAATGATCACACGAACGGTGAGCAAAAATCCCAGAACTACACAGGGGGACCTAGTGAATGACCTGCAGAGAGCTGGGACCAAAGTAACAAAGCCTACCATCAGTAACACACTACGCCGCCAGGGACTCAAATCCTGCAGTGCGAGACGTGTCCCCCTGCTTAAGCCAGTACATGTCCAGGCCCGTCTGAAGTTTGCTAGAGTGCATTTGGATGATCCAGAAGAGGATTGGGAGAATGTCATATGGTCAGATGAAACTTTTTGGCAAAAACTCAACTCGTCGTGTTTGGAGGACAAAGAATGCTGAGTTGCATCCAAAGAACACCATACCTACTGTGAAGCATGGGGGTGTAAACATCATGCTTTGGGGCTGTTTTTCTGCAAAGGGACCAGGACGACTGATCCGTGTAAAGGAAAGAATGAATGGGGCCATGTATCGTGAGATTTTGAGTGAAAACCTCCTTCCATCAGCAAGGGCATTGAAGATGAAACGTGGCTGGGTCTTTCAGCATGACAATGATCCCAAACAAACCGCCCGGTCAACGAAGGAGTGGCTTCGTAAGAAGCATTTCAAGGTCCTGGAGTGGCCTAGCCAGTCTCCAGATCTCAACCCCATAGAAAATCTTTGGAGGGAGTTGAAAGTCCGTGTTGCCCAGCGACAGCCCCAAAACATCACTGCTCTAGAGGAGATCTGCATGGAGGAATGGGCCAAAATACCAGCAACAGTGTGTGAAAACTTTGTGAAGACTTACAGAAAATGTTTGACCTGTGTCATTGCCAACAAAGGGTATATAACAAAGTATTGAGAAACTTTTGTTATTGACCAAATACTTATTTTCCACCATAATTTGCAAATAAATTCATTAAAAATCCTACAATGTGATTTTCTGGAAAAAAAATTCTCATTTTGTCTGTCATAGTTGACGTGTACCTATGATGAAAATTACAGGCCTCTCTCATCTTTTTAAATGGGAGAACTTGCACAATTGGTGGCTGACTAAATACTTTTTTGCCCCACTGTATATTAACCTGTGTGTGTGTGTGTGTGTGTGTGTGTGTGTGTGTGTGTGTTTGTTCGTAGTGCAGGAATTACCTCAGGAGGGAAAACGACCTCAAACACTTTCTTCCACAGATCTAGAGGGTTTTTAGCATGAAGAGTCCCAATGTCCACATCTGTGGTTGGGGGAGAACCTGGAAAGTAGAGTGACATCAACTGTGTCATGTTACAATAACACACTCAGTATGAGTCTCATAAACAGTAGAGCACTTTAACACTGAAGTAATGATTGTTACCACAGGGGGTTGCTAGACACAACACAACTCACCTATCTGGCTGAGAGAGTCCATCCCAGCAGGAATGATCAGAGGTTTACTGAGGTCAGAGGACATAGATTTCCTGTCAGAATAGGAGGAAACATGTAAATCTGTGTTAATATTGAATGACAGTGGACATTAATTACACTGGGCCTAAGTCTAGTGCTCTCAAATGATGACAAACTGTGGCATTGACAGACTGTGGCATTGACAAACTGTGGCATTGACAGACTGTGGCATTGACAGACTGTGGCATTGACAGACTGTGGCATTGACAGACTGTGGCATTGACAAACTGTGGCATTGACAAACTGTGGCATTGACAAACTGTGGCATTGACAGACTGTGGCATTGACAGACTGTGGCATTGACAAACTGTGGCATTGACAGACTGTGGCATTGACAGACTGTGGCATTGACAAACTGTGGCATTGTAGACTGTGGCATTGACAGACTGTGGCATTGACAGATAGAGGATACAACAGCTCTTACCCTTTCTCTGTCCCGAATGCTAGTTGTGTGAATAAGCTCTTAGTTTTGGACATCAAGCTCTCAGACTTGCTGCTGGTAAACTACAGGTGGAAGGATGGACAGATTGTGAGGCAGAGAGAATAGACAGGTGAACAGAAGATAGAAAGACAGCACTGAAAATAAAAGGCAGCTTGTGTAATGAAACTGTACCAACACTCATAGCATTTGAGATACTTGTTTGAGATAGGCTGCAGTGAAATACTGATATTCATAGGCACATTGGCAAATGTGATGTTGACTATTAGGCCTACGGGTCTTACAATTAAAGAAGCTGCGTAGTAATGAGCAATAAACCGAAGGGTCTTGCAGATCACTTTCCTCTTCTCAGAGTCAAAGTCCTACAAAGAAAATGTATTTATCTGTCAAATATGCTCACTTTTCCACAAAACCAGAAATTAATAGAAATAGCCAAAAATTGTAAACACAAATCCAACAACTAGATTCTTCAAGGTGAATATACTTATCAATACCTCTCAGATGAGTAGAAAACACATCACCTGAAATATATCAAACTTGCTGCCAATAATCAGCAGTGGAACAGGGAAGGGGTTGATCAGCTCTCTGTCCTGTTGGGGGACTCAGAGTTAATATCCTATGTAGCAAAGACTCCTTTTACATTAATAATGCTGTGCTTTTTAAAAATAATAACTACTAGAAGAAAGCTGTTGTCTTACCGGGTGGTCTTTAGGGAGGACCCTTGGGGGTCTGTTCTGGGCCTGCTGCTTGGACCCAGCTTTGGACTCTACTGACCTTTGTGGCTTGGAGCAGGCTTTCTCCACCTGGGTCCGTGCTGTCTGAAGCAGCCTCTCCATGGTTCCCCACAGAGCGTTGGGCTTGGACAGGTCCAGAACTAGCACCACAGACAGAGACCTGAGAAATCACACACAGACAGACATCTTTACTTTCATCAGCACAATGTCTCTGCAGAGTGGCTTTAGAGAAGAGGGCATGTGATGAACTACTCATTTAAGAAACAGTTTAGGTGGTGGGACTGACCTGACGTTCTGGGCAGTGATGGGGATCTGAACCAGGTCTGATAGGGAGGTACCTCCTCCCAGCTCCCACAGGTGAGCTATGTCTTTGGGCTGGATGAGGAGAACAACAGGTCAAACTGATGATCACACACTATCAGCTCCCTGGAATTGTACAAGTGAAAGAGGTGTCATACTGTGTTGTGTCCTCGCGCCCGTCTGCCAAAGGTGTACTCCAACGCTAGAGTTGGTTTAGGAGGCTCATCCCTAGAAGAGAACAACATATAACGCACAGTAAGAGAGACAGCTATGCTAATATCTTACTATAAAAATACATCAGTGGTACTGAGATTGGGCGGCGCACAATTGGCCCAGCGTCGTCCAGGGTAGGGGAGGGAATGGCCGGCAGGGATGTAGCTCAGTTGATAGAGCATGGCGTTTGCAACGCCAGGGTTGTGGGTTCCAAATCCCAAGGGGGGCCAGTATAAAAAAAATATATATGTATTCACTAACTGTAAGTCTCTCTGGATAAGAGCGTCTGCTAAATGACTAAAATGTAAAAATGAGATTAAACTCACCTGTCGAGGCACCGGAGCAAAATTGTAGTTTTACCCTAAGAGGGGGGAATATGATTATTTGTAGGTTAGTGCTGAGCTGGAACAAAAGCCTGCACCATCATTAGCTCTCCAGGACCAGATTTAGAGACCCCGGATCTCGCTATTGGAGGACTGTTAGCTAGTTTATCCAGACACACTGTCATAAAGATGGCAATGGCTTACCCCTGCTTTATTCCCAATAAAGAACACGGTTCTCTCGTTGAGTGACACTGGATCAACTCCGCCATCCTCCTCCCCTCCTGTCCAGTCCTCCCGACTCTGAACCTCCGCAGAGGCCAACTCCCATAGCGTGTCACTACTAGACAAACGTTTCGATATAACGTTATTTGTTTATTATGATCGTTTGTTGTCGTCCAAAACAACGTTGTTAATAGCTGGGTAGCTAGCTAACATTAGCTAGCGTAACGTTATATTAAATATACTGGTAACTAGCTAACCCCCGTTTGTCTGTGGTTAAATGGTTTTCTAAAGGACGGTTCTCTGCTGCTACTAGCTAGTTTGCTAACGTTAGTTTTGAAAAAGATGCAAAATTGGAAGACCAAAGTGGCAAACAAGATCTTACCTTATCTTTGGCATTGACTACGTTTAAATTAAATGTAAAGACTTGAGTTTGATTGCCACGTTGTTTGAAAATGTGAAGGTTTAGCTTGATGTTTACATGTCAGTCGCCTCGGATCGGTACAGGTTGCGCTGGGCAACATCGCAGTTCGATGATGTCATTTAGCCCTTGTGCCCAAAGGGTTTGTGGGAAAGGCAGTTTCAAAGTGTCAGAGACAAAAAATATATCATTATATATATATAATAATTTACAGGATGATCCACAGTGATTCTGTACTTTTTGGTGATGGAAGGTCCTATTCCATCTAGAAATTGCAGAAGAATTGAGGCCTACTGGGCAGATCAATAATTAGTGTGACAGACTAGACTGGGTAAGAACTAGCCCTTCATCATGACTCTCGGTTCCATTACATTACAAATAAGAGTCATTTGATGAAGGCGTCTTCTGTAGGGGTTTGTTAAAATGCCCCACGTTCGGTCTGAACATTAACATGCATGGCTTGCGGTACGGTTTATCTTTCAAAAAGAAGGTTAAATTGATACACACCTTGATAGGGTTAGTGTTCCCACACAGCCAGGTCTCCATGTTACAGCTCTTGTTAAAGGAAAACAGGCGGAAGACAAGAGGCGACCACCTGTGCTAATTCGCTATCTAGCATGTTACGAACACTTGTGTCTAAGCGTAGTTTTGTCGGTTGGAGGCACCCATATCTGCACCCATATCTGTATGTATCTGTAACTGCTTCGGTAAGTGTATCTTTTTTATTTGAAGGATTCTTTCTCGCTGATGAAAAATAAGGGCCATATGTTTCGAAAGCCATATCGCAAGCGATGATTGTTATTAAAAGTTTTAAAAAGTTAAAACACAGCGTCGGGATTGTAGTTCACATGAGGCAGTAGTGGACGAAGCTAGTGGCTGAGAATTGTAAGGAGGAGGCAGAATACCGCCTATAGTTTTCGAGAGCCAGTTACGAACCCGAGTCTTCAAAGAGTGCAGGGTTAGCCTGCTGAGCTAAATCCCAGGCAGTAGCTCTGGGAGCTAACACAAGTCTTCAAGTCAGCAATCAAGTTTTCAAGATATGTAACTTTCAAAATACAGAAATGTTCCCCTTATGATGCATTTTGTATCATAAGCGGAAGATTTCTGTATGATATCTGTATTTTGAAAGTTACATATCTTGAAAACTTGATTGCTGACAGTCCCAAAATGTTTTGCTTATGTCAACAATGGACTAATGAAACAAAAAGGTGAAAACAAATCATCATCAGTGTAAAGGTGAGTCTAAAAACTGTTGAGTATGAAAAACACATGAGTCACCATGAAATAGGTGTGCAAACTATAACTCATTGAATACCAACCTGTCTTGTTTCTCCAGCAAAAATCCATGTAAATAAGGAAAGAATCACAACGTTTTATTTAATTGAAAATAAGTAACATAACAAAAAACATAACACATGAATTGCAACAATAAAATACATTGAATTAACAACAAAATAAATAAAATGGTGGTTTATACAAAACATGAAACAGAAAAGTAAAACACTGATAAGATAAATGTGTAAACTTTCAAATTAACAACAAAAGTGTACCGAGCACTTCATTATTCCCATAACTTTCTTTTTAAAATGTAATATACTGACAAACAGAGGATAGGTACAGAGGCATCTCATTCTGATATCAGCTGTTCAATGTTGCTTTTGTCCTTTTGTATCCTAAAACCACTCTTGAAGAGCCTTTGACACATTTCACAAATTATACAATTTCAGCCCACTACTTGATGATTCCTCATCTTTAAAAACATCATGCCATTCTACTATTCAAACTTGGCACTTAGTGACATCAAGGTCTGTATATGAAGCAGAAAAGTTGGAGAGCATGTCTTCTGGTACCTAACTTCACTATTGCTAAAGTATCTAAATACGGTTGCACTATCTTGAATACATTTTATACTACGACACATAACTTTACATGGAAAGGCTTGTAAAATGGTCAGGCTAACCCTTCAATAAGGAACTAAAGAGAAGCAGCAAACTCAATGAGGATGTCTAGTCTAAACACACATACTGTATGAGTACATGAAAACACCCTCCCTTATGGAAATGTAGAATAGTGAGCGATTCAATGTCAGCAAAAGGCTTGCTATAGAAGTCAAATGACTTATGATCATCATTCATACATGTAGTAATGACAGTGGTTGAAGCTTTGGCAGTAACTTTTTTCTTTAACGACAGTGGTTACAGCTAATGAACCTTTGACGGTAACTTCGTTCCAGTCATGTTGTCTGATACAATTTCAAATACCTATTTAAAGTCCTTGTAAATCAACACTAAACAGACAGAGGTCCTTTTGATAGAAGACCCACCAGCTCTCTCCAACCAAGGCCATTCAGGGTGTACATCTTATAAACTATGATGTACTCCAGAAGAGCATGTTACTGTATGAAGTACTAAAGTAAAGAGGAGGGATTCAGAACAGCCCAAGCTGAAAAAGATCCGGTCATCGTCAGATTTTCGTTTTCACTTCCAGTTTACAAAGATACCGCATAGTCGTAACAGGAAAAATATAAAGTAATGCAAATAATATGAAATATGTTATTCAGGTCAAGGACCAGGCTTAAGGGCTCTACACAGTCTACACAAACGGAGCCAACGGATGTCTGTTTGCGTCGCGTTCCAAAAATCGGCTCTGTTTCACCTGTGTAGACCCCTTTAGGCTACATACAAGCATTACTGTACTGTAACATAGTTTAAAATGGTACTGTAACAGTCTTAAACAGTTTCAAACCGTATTATCAAAAAATTTTGTTGTGTGAATTGAATTTCACCATAACAATGTATATGATTCTCTGGGTACAGAAATGCTCAGAGAAGTTGAAATGTAGTATTTAAGACACATTTGTGCAGAAAATAGATAGAAAACAGATTACCTACAAAACAGAAATTCAAAATACAATAAGTAACATTTCATGAGTTTGCTCCACAGTACACTTATTTCACTTTTAGAAATTTGGTTCACATAAAAAAAAACGATTTACTGTTAGCTTTGGTAGGTTACTGGCTATAGGGTGGTGGGTGTTCATTCAGAAATATTCAAAAAGAGGGGAAATTGTTATTTGAGGCAGGTGTTCTATATACGAAGCATCGCAGAGGGTGGGAACCTCCTCATTTCTGAGTGATGGCACTCTCTTCTCCACTCGGGTGGATGTGGTTGAAGTGCAGGCTTCCCAGGTCTCTGGCTGACCCAGATCCTGACCCCTCAGTGGGGGCCGAGGAGGCGGTGTGGCCCTTGGCTGCAGGGCCTGGGAGGCTCTTCTGGGGCCCCTGAGAACCAGGAGAGGGCTTGGGTGTAAGGGGGCTGGTCAGGCCAAGGCTGCTCAGGGCTTCCAGGGTGCCGTCAGGATCTACCATGACATTTATCACTGTATGAGAAATACAGGAGAATGGTTGAAAAATATGAGCTTGTGTTTGGTTGTGATCATATATGTTGAAGCAGGTGGAATGCATGTTGTGAAACTAATGTTTTTATAAGTCTGAATCTATTAGCAATGCACACTCCTCTCACCTTGGTCTGCCGTGCTGTCTCACCTTGGTCTGCCGTGCTGTCTCACCTTGGTCTGCTGTGCTGTCTCACCTTGGTCTGCCGTGCTGTCTCACCTTGGTCTGCCGTGCTGTCTCACCTTGGTCTGCTGTGCTGTCTCACCTTGGTCTGCCGTGCTGTCTCACCTTGGTCTGCCGTGCTGTCTCACCTTGGTCTGCCGTGCTATCTCACCTTGGTCTGCCGTGCTATCTCACCTTGGTCTGCCGTGCTATCTCACCTTGGTCTGCCGTGCTATCTCACCTTGTAGCTGCTTCTCCACTCTCTTCAGCTCCAAGACGATAGAGGAGATCTCCTATTCCAAGAGATGTAAGGGGAAGTCCGTTGCATGAGAGAGGAATATAAGTTTCTTCCTTATAAAAGCTGCTTTGTTATGATGCATTATTTATAAAATAAAATTAATGAAAAAATACATTTACAAGCTGTTTTTTACTTACCTTGTTGGAGGTTTTGAGGAGTGGTATGTCGCTCTCAGATCGGAGTTTGCTCTCAATCTCATCCCAATTCCTGTCCTTGTCTTTGAACAATATCCTGGAAAAATCATAGTTCATAGAGGTAAGACTTGCTTTGCTAATATCTCCTTGATCTCTTGTGAATGTCAGATATACAGATATAAACAACATTAAAGAGCTTGACTGTTACCGTATTTTTCCTGCTGTTTTGTCAACAGACTGTCTGATTTTGGCTGACAGCTGAGAGACAGATGTGAGCAGCAGACTGTCCAACACCGCCTCATCTCTGTTCCATGTGCGTCTGCGGAGGGCAGAGTCCAGGCTGTCTGGGGCGCGGGGGCGGAGCTCCACAGGGTGTCCGTTTATCTCAGAGGCCTTGTTCTGCACCATGGGAAGGATCTTCCTGAAGTTGAGGCTCTCGTCAAACACACGGTCAACCAGCTATGAGGGGAAGAGGGGGTCAGTTATATGTGGCAGCTGTATGATTGCTGTGGTTTCCACAACTTAACCATGACTGGAACATTTATACTCTCTCTACTCTGTATTCATGTGTACTATCACCATGCTACAGATTATCCAGGTTATCATAGTGATGAGTTAGATGAATTAGGTATTAAAGAAGTTAGCAGATTTAGGTCAATGAAACCTTGTTAAGAAAATGTAAATACACACACCCTTTAGTTATATCTGATCAGTATATAGCATACTCAAATGGGATTGAGGAAAGCTCAAAGCATTATGCCAGTTCACAGTCCACACCTTCTGCAGCAGGTCAAAGCCAAAGTGAAGCTGAAGCAGTATGTTGAGCGTTAGTAGTGGACGGAAGGAAGGAAGGAAGGAAGGAATAAAGTCAAACACCTCCTGAAAGCCCTCCTGCGTACCCTCCTGCATGCCCTCTTGAATTCCCTCCTTAATGCCCTCCTGCATTCCCTCCTGCGTGCGGCCTACCTCTTCGCGGGTGTCGATGGTGGAGCCGGGCGTGGTGGCGGCGGTGCTGACCGTGGTGCTGGGAGCCGTGCCAGAGGAGCTGACCGAGTCGATCTCGCCAGCCACGTCGTGGATCTCACGCGCGAGGATGGCCAGGTCCTTGGTCAGGTCTTGACTGATCCTACGCACACAGGGAAATAACCTATGATACATCAGGGCTGCTGGAACACTTCTCTAAATCAGTACACACACGGATATCTCACAATGATACATTATTACCTAAGAGTACTCATTAGACATTGAGGAACGTCTGCGTGTCAGCCTCATCAAAAAGCACTTAGCCTACTGTATAATGAATTGACGCAGCACATAGAACCATTCTAAAGATTGGCCACTAGATGGAGGTAAGACCATTTTCAATTTGAATTGACAATATTCACTTGTAAATGACAATATCTTACACAAGCATTTTATTCAAGGAACCTGAACTTCAAAATGTTTAAGAGCTGCTCACGACAACATAATGTTAGCCTCCATTACCTTCAATACCCTTATCTGATGCAGGTCCTTTCTTTTGTAAGAAATGCCTTGTGCTTGCTCTACGAGGCAGTATGATTCTATCCTTTTCTCACTGCCCAGTTCAGTCACCCTGTGACTACTAGGTCAAGTGGAAGATATGCAGGCTGAGGAAGGGTGCAGGGGAGAGAGGAGAGACCGTGGCTGACGAGAAGCCAGCCTTCCCATGAAGGAGCTGTATTTCTAAGGTGGCATCCCACTGGGCACATACTGTATGTCAGTTCAACGTCTAGTTTTGATTTACATTTGGTTGAGTTGTCAACTGACATGAATTCAACGTGAACTCAACAAAACATTTCACCATGTCATTTAAGTTATAGCTTGGGTGAAAAAAAGAGGATATTCCCTTACGTTGATGACTGAAAAAATCCAATCAGTTTTCCACGTTGATTCAACGTTATCACATGTAACTTTTTTTGTAGGAACAACGTTGATTCAACTAGTTTTTGCCCAATGGGATGGTTCAATCTCATGAACATCATACTATGTGAAAGTACCAAGTGAGTTGGGAACCATTTATTACAGCTTGACAAAACAGAGCACCTCAGTTAGAGTGGACTAACTAAAGATAACAGTTGTTTAATGAGAGAGAAAACACTAACCTATTCCTTGGGCTGCCGCATCTCCAGATCATATTTACCAATTGTGCCATGTCCATGAGGCATATAAACTGAACTGAGCTTCCTTGTGGATTAAAATACAAATATTTGTAATATGAATGAGTAAAAGTAGGTGGGTTATTTTCTGTGTGTTTGTGTGTGTGTACCCATGCAGTCGTGTGTATGCATGTGTGAGTATGTATACGTTTCAGTAGATGAGTACCTGGCGATCTCCTCGCTGTGAGCACTCCAGTCCTTGACGTACTCCTCCTGTTGTTCTCTCATGCGGTGTTTGAGGACCACGCCTCCAGGGCTATCCTGACCAGAGTTAAGCCTGCTGGTGGTACCCCTCAGGACCGGGTGTGGGCGCAGGGTGCGCCCGGGTTTGGGGGAGTTCCTGTTGGAGCCAAACTCCTCCTCGGAGGTGGATCCATACTCTGGGGGCAGCCGTCTCCACCTGTTAGACGCTAAGGTCAGGGAGAAAGATACCGTTATCAAGACATAATTGTGTTGCATTTGAGGTCATTTCAGTCATTCAGAAAGCACCGGATGCTCACATTGGCCTTTACTACTATAGCCCATAGAAACGCATTGAATAACACATTCATTTTGAAGTGTCTGTCCTCTATCTAGGAGATATAAGAAAGCTCAGGAAATATTTTTGTTTTTTTGGACACATATTTAACCCCTTACTTTTGTTGTCACAAAACTACCTCCATACTTCCATTCATTTGTATGGGTTACCTTCAGACGAGTCCCGTGACACTTGTGGGGGTCGTAGAGTAAAATAGAGAACACCATCGTGTTCGTAATAGTTTGTAGGCTTTTCAGTTGAAGGTGTTCTATTTCCATAATGATGCAACTAATATAAATGATGCAATTTCGAGACTATCTGAAATGAAAGGCTATCATTTGACGAGTTCGTGTTAATAATGTCATTATTAGGAACAATGATAAACACCAGTTAAAAAGTCAGACTGATTCCGTCAGCTGACAGACAACAAAAGCATCCAACGATGGCGCCCCATTACCCAAGTATCAAACAGGAAGGGATGGTCATCTGGCGCCCCATTACCAAAGTTAAATCTAGAATCGGTTTCCTATTTCGCAACAAAGCCTCCTTCACTCATGCTGCCAAACATGCCCTCATAAAACTGACTATCCTACCGATCCTTGACTTTGGCGATGTCATTTACAAAATAGCCTCCAACACTCTACTCAGCAAATTGGATGTAGTCTATCACAGTGCCATCCGTTTTGTCTCCAAAGCCCCATATACTACCCACCACTGTGACCTGTACGCTCTTGTTGGCTGGTCCTCACTACATATTAGTCGCCAAACCCACTGTCACACTCTGGCTCCGGGACTGTGTAATTAGAGCCAGAGTGTATTTCATTTGGTGGTGTTGGGTATGGGTGTGTTTCATTTGTTTGTGTTTTGTGGTGATTGGTCTGGTGACTCCCAATCGGAGGTAACGAGTGTCAGCTGTCGGCTCGTTATCTCTGATTGGGAGCCATATTTATTCTGTGTGTTTTCACCTTGTGTTTGTGGGTTTTTGTTCCATGTTCCTGTTGTTGCTGTGTGCCAGTGTTCCGTGTTTTTGTCACTGAGGACGTTACGATCGTGTTTTGTTTCGTTTTCGTGTGTGCGCTTCTTTAATATAAAGTATGTACGCTTATCACGCTGCGCCTTGGTCCGCTCATTTTGAAGACGATCGTGACAGAAAAACCCACCATCAAAGGACCAAGCGGCGTGTCAAGCGGCAACAGTATCCACCTGTCAAGGATTCATGGACATGGGAGGAGATATTGGATGGAAAGGGTCCTTGGGCACAACCGGGAGAATATCGCCGCCCTCGTGAAGAGCTGGAGGCAGCCAAAGCCGAGAGGAGGTGGTATGAGGAGGCAGCACGGAGGCGAGGCTGGAAGCCCGTGGACGAGAGGCAACCCCAAGAAATTTTTTGGGGGGGGCACATGGCTTGGGCAGCTGGGCAGCAGGAGGCTGCCACAGGTAGACGTGGAGAGAAGGCTATCGGAGTACGGGAGCCATTGGCGAGTAGAGGGAGGGAAGTTGTTGTGGCACGGCGTGAGAGACTGAGGTGTGTTACCAGTCCGGTCCGGCCCGTTCCTGAGCCCCGGTTAAGGCCAGTGGTGTGTGTTCCCAGTACGGACCGGCCTGTTGTTACTCCACGCATCAAGCCCACGGTGTGCGTCGCCAGCCCAGCCCGGCCTGTTCCTGCGCCACGTAGGAAACCTACGGTGTGCGTCGCCAGCCCAGCCCGGCCGGTTCCTGTGCCACGTTCGAAGCCAACGGTATGCGTCGCCAGCCCGGCCCGGCCTGTTCCTGCCACTCGCACCAAACCAGGGGTGCGAGTCGCCAGCCTGGTCCAGCCCGTTCCTGCTATTCGCACCAAGCCTCCTGTGTGTCCCCAGAGTCCTGTGCGTCCTGTTGCTGCTCCCCGCACTAGCCCTGAGATGCGTGTCCTCAGCCAGGGACCACCAGTTCCGGCACCACGTACTAGGCCGTATGTGCGTCCCCAGGGTCCAGCATGCCCTGTTGCTACTCCCCGCACTAGCCCTGAGATGCGTGTCCTCAGCCCGGGACCACCAGTTCCGGCACCACGCACTAGGCCGTATGTGCGTCCCCAGGGTCCAGCATGCCCTGTTGCTTCTCCCCGCACTAGCCCTGAGATGCGTGTCCTCAGCCCGGTACCTCCAGTTCCGGCACCACGCACCAGGCCTACGGTGCGCCTCAGACGGCCAGGGTCTGCCGTCTGCCCAACGGGGCCTGAACTGCCCGTCTGCCCAAAGCCTGCAAAGCCGCCCGTCTGCCATGAGCCATCAGAGCCGTCCGCCAGACCGGAGCCGCTAGAGCCTTCCGCCAGACAGGATCAGCCAGAGCCTTCCGCCAGACAGGATCAGCCAGAGCCTTCTGCCAGACAGGATCAGCCAGAGCCTTCTGCCAGACAGGATCAGCCAGAGCCTTCTGCCAGACGGGATCAGCCAGAGCCTTCCGCCAGACAGGATCAGCCAGAGCCTTCAGCCAGCCATGAGCAGCCAGATCCGTCAGCCAGCCATGAGCAGCCAGATCCGTCAGCCAGCCATGAGCAGCCAGATCCGTCAGCCAGCCATGAGCAGCCAGATCCGTCAGCTAGCCATGAGCAGCCAGATCCGTCAGCTAGCCATGAGCAGCCAGATCCGTCAGCTAGCCATGAGCAGCCAGATCCGTCAGCCAGCCATGAGCAGCCAGATCCGTCAGCCAGCCATGAGCAGCCAGATCCGTCAGCCAGCCATGAGCAGCCAGATCCGTCAGCCAGCCATGAGCCGTCCAGCCGGGATCCGCCAGAGCCGTCCAGCCGGGAGCCGCCAGAGCCGTCCAGCCGGGATCCGCCAGAGCCGTCCAGCCGGGATCCGCCAGAGCCGTCCAGCCGGGATCCGCCAGAGCCGTCCAGCCGGGATACGCCAGAGCCGTCCAGCCGGGATCCGCCAGAGCCGTCCAGCCGGGATCCGCCAGAGCCGTCCAGCCAGGATCCGCCAGCCAGCCAGGATCCGCCAGAGCCAGCCAGCCAGGATCCGCCATTTAGTCCGGTGCTGCCCCTTAGCTCGGTGCTGATCCTTATCCTGGTGCTGCCCCTTATCCTGGTGCTGCCACTTATCCTGGTGCTGCCCCTTAGTCCGGTGCTGCCCCTTAGTCCGGTGCTGCCCCTTAGTCCGGTGCTGCCCCTTAGTTTGGTGCTGCCTCTTGGTCCGGTGCTGCCCCTTAATCCAGTGGGGTTAAGTGGTAGGGTGGTCAGTAGGAGGAGGCTACTTAAGTGGGTAGTGACTATGGTGGGGTGGGGACCACGACCAGTGCCAGAGCCGCCTCCGTGGAGTAACACCCACCCAGCCCTCCCCATTTTTTGGGTTAGGCGCGGTCGGAGTCCGCGCCTTTGGGGGGGGGGTACTGTCACACTCTGGCTCCGGGACTGTGTAATTAGAGCCAGAGTGTATTTCATTTGGTGGTGTTGGGTATGGGTGTGTTTCATTTGTTTGTGTTTTGTGGTGATTGGTCTGGTGACTCCCAATCGGAGGTAACGAGTGTCAGCTGTCGGCTCGTTATCTCTGATTGGGAGCCATATTTATTCTGTGTGTTTTCACCTTGTGTTTGTGGGTTTTTGTTCCATGTTCCTGTTGTTGCTGTGTGCCAGTGTTCCGTGTTTTTGTCACTGAGGACGTTACGATCGTGTTTTGTTTCGTTTTCGTGTGTGCGCTTCTTTAATATAAAGTATGTACGCTTATCACGCTGCGCCTTGGTCCGCTCATTTTGAAGACGATCGTGACACCCACTGGCTCCAGGCCATCTATAAATCACTGCTAGGCAAATCCACGCCTTATCTTAGCTCATTGGTCACCATAGCAACACCCACCCGTAGTATGCGCTCCAGCAGGTATATCTCACTGGTCATCCCCAAAGCCAACACCTCCTTTGGCCGCCATTCCTTCCAGTTCTCTGCTGCCAATGACTGGAACAAATTGCAAAAATCTCTGAAGCTGGAGACACTTATCTCCCTCACTAACTTTAAGCATCAGTTGTCAGAGCACCTTACCGATCACTGCACCTGTACACAGCCCATCTGAAATTAGCCCGCCCAACTACCTCATCCCTATATTGTTATTTATTTTGCTCATTTGTACCCCAGTATCTCTATTTGCACATCATCTCTTGCACATCTATCATTCCAGTGTTAATACTAATTGTAATTATTTTGCACTATAGCCTATTTATTGCCTTACCTCCATAACTTGCTACATTTGCACACACTGTATATATATTTTCTGTAGTATTTTTGACTCTATGTTTTGTTTTACCCCATATGTAACTCTGTGTTGTTGTTTTTATCGCACTGCTTTGCTTTATCTTGGCCAAGTCGCAGTTGTAAATGAGAACTTGTTCTCAACTGGCTTACCTGGTTAAATAAAGGTAAAAAATAAATAAAAATTACCCAAGCATCAAACAGGAAGGGATGGACATCTGGCGCCCCATTACCCAAGCATCAAACAGGAAGGGATGGTCATCTGGCGCCCCATTACCCAAGCATCAAACAGGAAGGGATGGTCATCTGGCGCCCCATTACCCAAGCATCAAACAGGATGGGATGGTCATCTGGCGCCCCATTACCCAAGCATCAAACAGGAAGGGATGGTCATCTTGCGCCCCATTACCCAAGCATCAAACAGGAAGGGATGGTCATCTTGCGCCCCATTACCCAAACATCAAACAGGAAGGGATGGTCATCTGGCGCCCCATTACCCAAGCATCAAACAGGAAGGGATGGTCATCTGGCGCCCCATTACCCAAGCATCAAACAGGAAGGGATGGTCATCTTGCGCCCCATTACCCAAGCATCAAACAGGAAGGGATGGTCATCTTGCGCCCCATTACCCAAACATCAAACAGGAAGGGATGGTCATCTGGCGCCCCATTACCCAAGCATCAAACAGGAAGGGATGGTCATCTGGCGCCCCATTACCCAAGCATCAAACAGGAAGGGATGGTCATCTTGCGCCCTATTACCCAAGCATCAAACAGGAAGGGATGGTCATCTTGCGCCCCATTACCCAAACATCAAACAGGAAGGGATGGTCATCTGGCGCCCCATTACCCAAGCATCAAACAGGAAGGGATGGTCATCTGGCGCCCCATTACCCAAGCATCAAACAGGAAGGGATGGTCATCTGGCGCCCCATTACCCAAGCATCAAACAGGAAGGGATGATCATCTGGCCCCCATTACCCAAGCATCAAACAGGAAGGGATGGTCATCTGGCGCCCCCTTACCCAAGCATCAAACAGGAAGGGATGGACATCTTGGAGAACATATTAAGCCATTGTTTCTTACAAACTCACCTCTGCGCCAAATGTATCCTGGACAGTGTTGACCAAATGCACTCTCTCTAGATTTCAAATATATCAATTGGATTCACTGTAATAACATATTAATAACTACATGACAAGTCCCTAAACAACAGAGCCCAGTGCTGATCACAACATTGCTCATGTCTTGCATCAGCAATGAGGTTAGATTCCCTCAGTAACAAGTGGCTTAATCTGTTTGGCTCTGTATCGCCAATTAATATTCACTAAAAGATCAGTCAGCTTTTGGCCAATAACAATGTCACTTCTAGCCAATTTGAAACTTGTGGCCATAGTATTTAGATCAGGGCTCTCCAACCCTGTTCCTGGAGAGCAACCCTCCTGTAGGTTTTCGCTCCAACCCCAGTTGTAACTAACCTGGTTCAGCTTATCAACCAGCTAATTATTAGAATCAGGTGTGCTAGATTAGAGTTGAAGTGAAAACCTACAGGACGGTAGCTCTCCAGGAACAGGGTTGGAGTGAACCTACAGGACGGTAGCTCTCCGGGAACAGGGTTGGAGTGAAAACCTACAGGACGGTAGCTCTCCGGGAACAGGGTTGGAGTGAAAACCTACAGGACGGTAGCTCTCCGGGAACAGGGTTGGAGTGAAAACCTACAGGACGGTAGCTCTCCGGGAACAGGGTTGGAGTGAAAACCTACAGGACGGTAGCTCTCCGGGAACAGGGTTGGAGTGAAAACCTACAGGACGGTAGCTCTCCGGGTACAGGGTTGGAGTGAAAACCTACAGGACGGTAGCTCTCCGGGTACAGGGTTGGAGTGAAAACCTACAGGACGGTAGCTCTCCGGGAACAGGGTTGGAGTGAAAACCTACAGGACGGTAGCTCTCCGGGAACAGGGTTGGAGTGGAAAACCTACAGGACGGTAGCTCTCCGGGAACAGGGTTGGAGTGAAAACCTACAGGACGGTAGCTCTCCGGGAACAGGGTTGGAGTGAAAACCTACAGGACGGTAGCTCTCCGGGAACAGGGTTGGAGTGAAAACCTACAGGACGGTAGCTCTCCGGGAACAGGGTTGGAGTGAAAACCTACAGGACGGTAGCTCTCCGGGAACAGGGTTGGAGAGCCCTGGTTTAGGCTAACTAAGTCTAACTGACTTAGACAGTTCCAATAAGTTTTAAGGTTGGAGTACAGCATTAGGCTCATCATTGTAGTGGCAGATTGAGGGGAGGGAGCACACACTAAACACCACCACACCACACACACACACACACACTAAACACCACCACACCACACACACACACTAAACACACAGAGCTCTCTTTGGTACAGTACCCATGAGCTCCTCCTCTGAAGGGTCAGGCTCAGGCTCAGGCTGAGGGCTCTCTGAACAGGACTCAGACAATGAGAGTGATTTACACTGACCACAACACACACAGAGACAAGGACAAATACTGACCACAACACACACAGAGACAAGGACAAATACTGACCACAACACACACACGGACAAGGACAAACACTGACCACAACACACACACGGACAAGGACAAATACTGACCACAACACACACATGGACAAGGACAAACACTGACCACAACACACACACGGACAAGGACAAACACTGACCACAACACACACAGAGACAAGGACAAACACTGACCACAACACACACAGAGACAAGGACAAACACTGACCACAACACACACATGGACAAGGACAAACACTGACCACAACACACACAGAGACAAGGGCAAACACTGACCACAACACACACATGGACAAGGACAAACACTGACCACAACACACACACGGACAAGGACAAATACTGACCACAACACACACACGGACAAGGACAAACACTGACCACAACACACACATGAACAAGGAGATGAGAACATGATCTCACCTGAGGGAGTGCTGTGGACGGAGGAGCTGATTCTGGCCTTGGCCTCGGTCAGCTTGGACACACTGTTGGCCCTCATGCGATGAGCCAGTTTGTTGTCGGTGGGGGTGGAGGAGCGGAGGCCCAGGCGCAGGGCGGTCTCTGCAGACAGGCGAGGGGAGGAGGTGTTGCTCCGGCCCACTATACACTCTGAGTCACTACGGGCAGAGATGGAGCCCAGCCGCGTCCTCCTGGGCTGGGCCAGCATGTCTAGCCGCGAGGTGGTTTTACGACCGGATGGAGGCTTGGATGTGGAACTGGTGGTGGACACCTCGGAGGCCACAGACATCCTGTCTGTATCGGGCAGGTCCGTGTCGGATGTGTCCCCCAGCCGGGCCCGGCGGAGCAGGGAGGTTCTGGTAGGCCGTGGCTGGGGCAGAGAGGCCTGTTTCCCCAGGGAGGAAGCTGTGGCGGCCTGGAGGGTCTTACTGGTCTTACTGGAGCTGGTCTTGCTGCTGGATTTGGCCTCCAGTTTGGAATGTAGCAGGTCATCAGTAGAGGTGAAGTGGCTGCGGCCGTGCGAGCGACTATACAAACTCTCCTGGTCAGAGGAGAGGATGTCAGAGATGGGGAAGGAAGAGGTCTGGTCGTCATCTGTGAGGTCCTGGGAGGGTTGGCGTGCCCGCGAGGAGGCAGGCTGGACGGAGCGGCGGGCATCTGGCCGGCTGGTTTTGGTTTTTCTCTCCAGGCGCTCGCGGGCGTTGGTGCTGGCAGCGGTTTTGGAGGATGAGCTCAGGTGGCTCTTCTCCTTGTGCAGGCTGCTGAGGGAGCGGCGTTTCTGGTGGGCTGCTTTCTTCTCTCCCTCTCCTGCTGCCTGGCTGTAGGTGCTGGCCGTGTCCACGTCTGACTCAGGGGAGATGGAGCCTGCCCGTTTGGCTCTGTCCAGCTTGTTCTCGTCCCTCAGCTTGGCCTCCAGGAAGGCCATGACAGCCTCTGTGTCCTTCAGCAGGGTGGCTGTGTCCATGCTGCGCTCGTGGCCCAGGGCACCGGCACCACCTTTGATCCGAGGGATCAGCTCGATGGGCACCACACCACTGGGCTTCTCGATGGTGAAGCTGCCCTGGCGGACCAGGGGCTTGACCCCTGACCTCTCCCCCCCGTCCCCTCCTCCTTTGCTATGGTGCTGAATCCTGTCCTCCGCCCGCCTCCTCCTCTCCTCTGACCTCTTCTCACTGCTGCTCATAGGTCTGAGAGAGGGCTTGGAGGATGCCTGTAGCGGGGCCTTGGTCTGGTTCATCATATCCCCCTCCTCTATGGAGGTGAAGCACGCCCCGACTCCTTTATGCTCCACCTGCCTCTCCTTCTCCTGGGGCTCCGTGTCCTGTTTCTCCCCGATCTCTGAGCGATGCAGGCCCAGGCCACACAAGCTCTTCCCTGGCTTGGCCCGGGGGTCGTCGATGGGGAGCTGGGGGAGGGTCCTGCGTTTACGCTCGGTGAGACTGGAGGTGGCAGAGCTGGCGCTTCGGATGGACACGCCCGACTCAAAGGCATCCGCTTCTGGAAGAAATAGTAAAGCTACATTTCTTAATCAAATTAAATAAATATTGCACCCAACTCAACCATAGTAATTTAGTGCCATTATGTGAAGAAAATACACCTTAGCTAAGACTGATGCAGATCCACATTAGCCTGATTTTGGTAAATATAGGAGCCCTACTGTACCTCTCTGCTGATGGACGAAGGCAGGTGACTCCGCACCAGACCCCTCTGGGTCGGTTCTGGTGTTGTTAGCAGCTGGACTGGCCCACTGAGACACCCAGTGACTACTGCCCACTGCCACCGGGTCCTCAGACATACTCTGACAGGAGAGAAGAGAGCGCAGACACAGTTAGCCTAGTCTCTTGTCAGACTCATTTAGAGAAACAGCGGCTGTGGGAAAAGACTACAGTTAACCTAGCAAATCAACCGGATCGCTGCTACTGGTCACCTAGAGCTGGAGGGAGTATTCACATGTAGCGGAGAACACAGACGACAACTCTTCTGCCATTTGTTCACTTCCGAATGGTCTTATGTTTAAGTGATGAGCCTGAGGAGTTATCATATTCAAGTTGTGGAGAAGTACAGATCAGGGTTGGGTTATAAAAAAATATCAGAAACTTTGAACATCCCACGGAGCACCATTAAATCTATTATTAAAAAATTGAAAGAATATGGCACTACAACAAACCTGCCAAGAGAGGGCCGCCCACAGTGAAGCATGGTGGTGGCAGCATCATGCTGTGGGGATGTTTTTCATCGGCAGGGACTGGGAAACTGGTCAGAATTGAAGGAATGATGGAGACGCTAAATACCTCAAATCTTTCTCTCAACCTGTGTGCACCTACGTTGTAAACTTTCATTCATAGGCTAGGTTGTAGCAACCTTATGATGTGTATAGGGAAGATTTGAGTATCATGTCGTAGCCTAAACCTATCGATGTTACATTGAACTGGGTGAATGGAATATGAATGACAGTCATCCAATATGCTGTAATAGAAATAAGGCCATGTTCATAAAAAATAAATGATCGTCCTCCCTCATCTTAAACGGCACCGACCACAAATGGATCCCAATATATATCAGATAGACTTTGTAGACTATACTAGACTGTTGTAGACTGTACTAGACTGTTGTAGACTATACTAGACTGTTGTAGACTATACTAGACTGTTGTAGACTATACCAGACGGTTGTAGACTATACTAGACTGTTGTAGACTATACTAGACTGTTGTGGACTATACCAGACTGTTGTAGACTATACTAGACTGTTGTAGACTATTGTAGACTATACTAGACTGTCGTGGACTATACTAGACTGTTGTGGACTATACCAGACTGTTGTAGACTATACCAGACTGTTGTAGACTATACTAGACTGTTGTAGACTATTGTAGACTATACTAGACTGTCGTAGACTATACTAGACTGTTGTAGACTATACTAGACTGTTGTAGACTATACTAGACTGTTGTGGACTATACTAGACTGTTGTAGACTATACCAGACTGTTGAGGACTATACCATACTGTTGTAGACTATACTAGACTGTTGAGGACTATACCATACTGTTGTAGACTATACTATACCGTTGTAGACTATACTATACCGTTGTAGACTATACTAGACTATTGTGGACTATACTAGACTGTTGTAGACTATATACAGTCTCCTTCCTCCCCTTGTGCTTGTATAGAACTTGCCAGGAGGGGACAGAGCATCCTTTCTCATCTCTCTATGAACTAGGTCAGACACTGAGTGGCCTACTCTGTGAATAACAAGGAAGCGGGGAGTGCTTGGCTGACACTCCACTACTCCCCTTCCAACAGAGTCATCTTAATGCAATCTGGAGCTCTTGCTTTCCTATGTTTATAGTACAGATGTATGATATTAATTTGATCACCCTGTTGTTGCAGGACATTTTCTGTAGGGCATTCACGTTTTAAAAAGGATTCTAAAGTTTGTAATTTCCACTTTAAAATGTCAGACTTCCTTTGCACCAACTAAAAATGTATAAACTCCTACAAAAATGTCCATTCATTATAATCCACACAATAATTCACATTTCCTGTTGCTGCAGGATTATTATCCTCCTGTGAGAAACTGGTCAACTGTAAATATACTGAACAAAAATATAAATGCAACATGTAAAGTGTTGGTCCCATGCTTCATGAGCTGAAATAAAAGGTCCCAGAAATGTTCTATATGCACAAAAAGCTTATTTCTCTCAAATTGTGTGCGCAAATTTGTTTACATCCCTGTTAGTTAGCATTTATCCTTTGCCAAGATACTCCATCCACCTGACAGGTGTGGCATATCAAGAAGCTGATTAAACAGCATAATCATTATACAGGTGCACCTTGTGCTGGGGACAATAAAAGGCCACTCTAAAATGTGCAGTTTTGTCACACAACACAATGCCACAGATGTCTCAAGTTTTTAGAGAGCGTTCAATTGGCATGCTGACTGCAGGAATGTCCAACCGAGCTGTTGCCAGAGAATTGAATGTTAATTTCTCTGCCATAAGCCGCCTCCAATGTTGTTTAAGAGAATTTGGCAATACGTCCAACCAGCCTCACAACCACAGACCCCGTGTAACAACGCCAGCCCAGGACCTTCACATCCGGCTTCTGCAACTGCGGGATCGTCTGAGGGGAGGTGGGGTGCTGAGGTGTATTTCTGTCTGTAATAAAGCCCTTTTGTGGGGAAAAACTCATTCCGATTGGCTGGGCCTGGCTCCCCAGTGGGTGGGCCTATGCCCTCCCAGGCCCGCCCATGGCTGCGCCCCTGCCCAGTCATGTGAAATCCAGAGATTAGGGCCTAATGAATTTATTTCAATTGACTGATTTCCTTCTATGAATTGTTGCATGTTGCGTTTATATTTTTGTTCAGTATACATAGGCCTCTTTAGACAGGCTTCTTTTGCTCTGTTATGAGGAAATCAGCACTAGCATTGGTCACTTTTTGTGATCTCTGCCTCTCATTCCTGCCCACTGGGCACAGCCGTCAAATTCAACGTCTATTCCACAATGGTTCCACGTAATTTCATTGACAATACGTGGAAACAACATTGATTCAACCACTGTGTGTCCAGTGGGTGGTTTGTGCATCATTCTCCTCAGAAAATTTAAACAATGGTCTTCAGAGGCTGTCCCGTCCCTGAGAAGGAATCTGAGGGTCAGGGAAAGAGACAGCGAGTGACTCTACCCAAGTATGTCAGGGCCATAATAATGAATCTCAGTGATGGTTCCATTTCTCAAGCATCACGTCACTGAATGAGATACATGCTATCAGGTTTTGGTAGCCTGGTGACTATGATGAGATGATGAGATTGGGTGTAATCATTATTGTCTCTATGGAAGGGGTGTTTTACCTTGGATGGAAGGCAGCTTGGTTTCACACTTTCTCCCGTCTCTGTGGCCTTCCTCTCCTTCCCTCCTCCTCCTCCCTGTTGGAGTTCTACTGGTCCTGAGACAGACGGATCCTGGTTCTGCTCCACCCCAAACACCTGAGTATCAAGGTAATAAAGGGCTACATGACTTTTCAGTGTAGTCTACTCCATAGACAAAGGTGGCTGATATTGGACCAACATGAGGGCCAGTTGGATTAAAGCACTGCCCCACACACTTCATACATCCACACAAGGCCAGTGCTATGGTAACGGCACTGGAAACAACACACATTACAGCCATGTAGAAAGACAGGGAGCAGTGTGCCAATTAGTGTGTTAGCTAATTATAGGAATTACCATAATCACACTTCTAGTTTAGAGAAGACTACCCAGTCTAAGCTCTACATAAAACTGACAACCAATGCCTGCCCCCCCCCAACCCACTCCCCTCAATCCAGGCCCCAAATACCATATTTTAAGTCCCATATACATGTTTAATGAATTCAAATTTTACATATCAGGGCTACATGTTTAAGAGTTTAAACTGAGTTTATTTGGGGGAATCTTAAGCCCCGCCCCAGCAGTAAACCCTTCTCTACTTCCGAGACTTTCCCTTTTAGAAATATTTTCATTCAGCATGAGAAAGCATGCAGGTAGTTGTAACATGAGCAAATCCCTGGAGCACTATCGAATCATGGAGAGAGCTTGATGGTGAGCCTCAAAATGCCATTTGGAGCCCATTAGATTAGCTCTACAGCAGTATGTAACATGGCATGCTGTGATCAGACTGAGCACTACACTCTTAGAAAAAAGCTTCCAAAAGGGTTATTTGGCTGTCCCAATAGGATAACTATTTTTGGTTCAAGGTAGAACCCTTTTTGGTTTTATGTAGAACCCTCTGTGGAAAGGGAACCCAAAAGGGTTCTTTTAAAGGGGTACAGTCCCAAAATGTTTTGCATGTCAGCAATCAAGTTTTCAAGATATTGGACTTTCAAAAAGCTAATTGTAACTTGCCACATGATGATGCAAAATGCATCATATGATGAAAAACGCATGATGATGTGGCAAGTTCAAATGTACTTATATCTTGACAGCTTGATTGCTGACATGCAAAACATTTTGGGACTGTATGAACAGTGGACTAATGAAAAAAATACAAAAATATAATTTTTGAGTGGATTATTCCTTTAAAGGATTTATGAATGAGTCTTATGTGGTTTTAATTGTGTTTTTTAATGATGGCAGCTGTTACACTGGATTGTGCCAGCCAAAAAGGGTTCTACTATGGGGACAGCCGAAGAACCCTTTTAGGTTCTAGATAGCACCTTTTTTCTAAGAGTGTATGATAGCCCACTCTCAATGTGTATGGCTGTTCAAATGAGCTAATCCTAATTAGAACAGAGAGACTTGAGGGAAATAGATCTCCATCTCAGGGTGAGACATACCATTTCCTAATCCTAACAGTAACATCTCTTTATTTCTATACCATTGAAAATGTGTGTATTAGTGAAAGTGCCTGATCAAGACCTTCAGTGTACAAAAATTTGAAAGGATTTTTAGATTACATATTGTAATTGTATTTTAAATAGTCTCGTAATGACCACATTCAGTTGGAAATTAAATACATTACAAAATGAAATCCAATTTCCCTTTACCCATGGGTCACAGAGGATCAGAGGACATAGTCAAATGCTTTTCATTTGGAAAATAGCGATGTAATAAATCATTATGACAGATCATTACAGCTCAAATGCTCAGCATGCTTAGTGGGCGGATATTTCAGAAAACTGAAGAAAAATAACATGCCCTTTGAATGCCCTGCTCAATAAAGTTAATTAAATTACGTTAATTCAAGACACGTAGAACTTGGCCATTCTTACATTCAAACCAAGTCAGCTTTCCTACATGCAATTCAGATAATATAAAAAATAAAATAACATTCGTATTCCTTACGTTTTTCACAGCAACCCAACCCACAATGATAAATCCTTGAGCTGACTGTGAATATACATCAGAAAGCTGACCATACCTTGTCTATCATGCGCCTTGCCTCCTCCTCCTCAGGGTTGCGGTTCTCCAGCTCGATGGTGTAGGTTCCCTTATCACTCTGGTCGTCCTCCTGCTCCCTGTCCTCCTGGGACCGAGGGGTCCTCTGACCCTCCTCACTGGGGCTGGGCTCAGTGGTCATGTGGCCTGCACTGACCGAGCTCCTCCCTATGCTGTGGTCCTCAGACCGCTGCTTCATCAGCACTCGAGCGGCCGTGGGGGCTCCCGCTATCAGGGCCGCTGATAACGGGGCCTTACTGAAGTCACTGGCTGTGGTCATGGTGGGGGCCTTAGAGTGGGAGGGGGGTGTGGGGCACAGAGCCTCCCCGGCCGCGCCCCTGAGCAGCGGTGCAGTCTGGGAGAAGGAGTAGGAGCGTCGCTTGCGGGGGTTGTCATCGTCGTAGAATTCGATCATGAAAGTAGTCCTGTTGGTCCGGCCCCCCTGACCCCTCTGTCCTCCCTGACCCCCCTGTCCTCCCTGCGCCGACCTCAGCCTCTCCTCCACAGCCAGACGCCGGCTGTCGCAGCGCAGGCCAATCCCGTTCTCAGAGTCACTCTGGGTACCGTCCTCATGCTTGCTGCCTGGGAGGACCAAGACAGGAGGAAAGCACAGACCTGAGTTACTGCACATACAGGAAACACACAACCTATAACCTCTGACCTTTCAACTGCTAATCATGACCTAGAGAGAGATGGACAGATAGACCTCCATAGCCCTCTATGATGGAATCTAATGTCTCCAGACTTCACCCAGCCACAGTACTACTAGCCCTGCCTCCTCAGTGGGTAGAGGGGGAGAGAGGGGGGGGTTGGAGGGTGGAGTAGGAGAAGGAAGGGGGAGAGAGGAAGGGGTTGGAGGCTGGAGTAGGAGAAGGAAGGGGGAGAGAGGAGGAGGTTTGAGGGTGGAGCAGGTGAAGGAAGGGAGTATTCTTTAGCGGGGGCTCAGAGCATGCAATCAGACCTGACAGTGGTGGGTTCAGAGACAGAAATCACCAGGCCACTCTGGAGACAGAGGCCTTTCATGCAGCAGCAGACAAACAGTCTGTTAGGAGCCTCACAGCGCTGCCTGTCTCTGAATGACCAACCCCGCCGGCCCCACATGAGTCAGACTGCATCTCCTCCACGCCACCTCATCACACACAGCACACAGACACATCTAGCAAAAACAACACAGTTAACTCTACTACACAGTACAGAGACAATCAACACAGTTAACTCTACTAAATTTCAAGAAGTTTCTTCAAGTGCAGTCGCAAAAACCATCAAGCGCTATTTTGAAACTGACTCTCATAAGGACCGCCACAGGAAAGGAAGACCCAGAGTTACCTCTGCTGCATAGGATAAGTTAATTAGAGTTACCAGCCTCAGAAATTGCAGCCCAAATAAATGATTCATAGAGTTCAAGTAACAGACACATCTCAACATCAACTGTTCAGAGGAGACTGCGTGAATCAGGCCTTCGTGGTCGAATTGCTGCAAAGAAACCACTACTAAAGGACACCAATAATAAGATGAGACATGCTTGAGTCAAGAAACACGAGCAATGGACATTAGACCGGTGGAAATCTGTCCTTTGGTCTGATGAGTCCAAATTTGAGATTTTTGGTTCCAACCGCCGTGTCTTTGTGAGACGCAGAGTAGGTGAATGGATGATCTCTGCATGTGTGGTTACCACCGTGAAGCATGGAGGAGGAGGTGTGATGGTTTTTAGAATTCAAGGCAGACTTTACCAGCATGGCTACCACAGCATTCTGCAGCGATACGCCATCCCATCTGGTTTACGCTTAGTGGGACTATCATTTTTGTTTCAGCAGGACAATGACCCAACACACCTCCAGGCTGTGTAAGGGCTATTTGACCAAGAAGGAGAGTGATGGAGTGCTGCATCAGATGACCTGGCCTCCACAATCACCCGACCTCAACCCAATTGAGATGGTTTAGGATGAGTTGGATCGCAGAGTGAAGGAAAAGCAGCCAACAACATTTACATTACATTTACGTCATTTAGCAGACGCTCTTATCCAGAGCGACTTACAGTTAGTGAATACATATATATATTTTTTTTTTTTATATACTGGCCCCCCGTGGGAACAAGTGCTCAGCATATGTGGGAACTCCTTCAAGACTGTTGGAGAAGCATTCCAGGTGAAGCTGGTTGAGAGAATGCCAAGAGTGTGCAATGCTATCATCAAGGCAAAGGGTGGCTACTTTGAAGAATCTAAAATCTAAAATATATTTTGATTTGTTTAACACTTTTTTGGTTACTACATGATTCCATATGTGTTATTTCATAGTTGTGATGTCTTCACTATTATTCTACAATGTAGAAAATAGTAAAAATAAAGAAAAACCCTTGAATATGTAGGTGTGTCCAAACCTTTGACTGGTGCTGTATATATCATTTTTCCTTCTTTTTATGTTCCCCTAACCCTACCATCCCTCCCCTAATTTGGAGTAAACTAATGGACAACAACACTTAGGCTTCTACTTCTAGCTTATACATACTATATACAATTTACCGACAAATAACATAGTTAACTGTAATATAAAATGTAGAAGACAGTCAACAAAACAACAGTTAACCATAGTATACAGCACAGCAGAGTAAACACTCTAACACACAGACAACTGTCAAATGTCAAATCTCCATCACAGTTTTAAAACACACAACATTCACAACACAAACAGGTTAACAGAGACTAAAACCACCAAAACGTAACAGTTATTAACCTGTTGGTTCATTTACGTCACAAACAACAAAGTTAACCCTTACTCTGTAGTGTAAAAGCTACACAGTATCTTCAAGCGGTCCCCATGCACCGACCGGCCCCCTCTCCATCCATTGTGTTTCAGAGACCCACCTGAGAACATGAATATTAACACTCAGCAGCTTCAGGCTCGTCTTGCTTTCCCGTCCACACACACACACAGCTCTCTGTCTCTGGGGCTGATGGCTGCACTGAGCATGCTTCACACACACACAGCTCTCTGTCTCTGGGGCTGATGGCTGCACTGAGCATGCTTCACACACACACAGCTCTCTGTCCCTGGGGCTGATGACTGCACTGAGCATGCGTCACACACACACAGCTCTCTGTCCCTGGGGCTGATGGCTGCACTGAGCATGCTTCACACACACACAGCTCTCTGTCCCTGGGGCTGATGACTGCACTGAGCATGCTTCACACACACACAGCTCTCTGTCCGTGGGGCTGATGACTGCACTGAGCATGCTTCACACACACACATCTCTCTGTCCGTGGGGCTGATGACTGCACTGAGCATGCTTCACACACACACAGCTCTCTGTCTCTGGGGCTGATGGCTGCACTGAGCATGCTTCACACACACACAGCTCTCTGTCTCTGGGGCTGATGGCTGCACTGAGCATGCTTCACACACAGAGTTCTCTGTCCCTGGGGCTGATGGCTGCACTGAGCACCACTGAGCATGCCTCACACACACCTCCAAAGATCACAGTCCTAACCGCCTGCAGCACGAGAACTCCAACCTCAACACCGACCCCTGTTTCTCCCTCCCCTTGATCCCACAGCTAGACTCCCACAACAGCCTCTGGAAGGTACAGCTTCAGAATAAACAGGAGCCTAAAACAGTATGTAGTGTAGCTCAGCCTCTGACTTCACCTTTATATGTGCTATGTGCTTCATAAATCTCCATTTATTCCACTCTGTCTGCACCCCACCCCCCAGACACAGTTATCGCACACCACAAATTAGCACCCATTTAATTAGCCAGCTCCAAAGAGTAGCACTCTCTCCTGAGTTCTTTCAAACAGCGTCCCACAGCAACATGACCATACTCAGCAGTTAGAAGAGGTACACAGAGAGAGAGAGAGAGAGAGAGAGAGAGAGAGAGAGAGAGAGAGAGAGAGAGAGAGAGAGAGAGAGAGAGAGAGAGAGAGAGAGAGAGAGAGAGAGAGAGACCTACCTGAAAAGTGCATTACCAGACAGAGATAGTGTCCAGGCTCCAATTAAAATATGAAACAAAGGAAAAGCACAACTATGTGGATGAATCATTAAGGAGATGGGATGGATGTGGCTTGGCTCCTTGGTGTACAGCAGAAAATGAGTGCCTTAGGCAGGCAGAATGGAGAATGGGGAGGCAGGCAGGCAGGCAGGCAGGCAGGCAGGCACACAGGTAGCCTACTGTGCCATCCATGCAAAGCTCAGTCAATGGGTGTCAGAGCTGGGAGACGGCTGGGGACTAATCCTGAGGAAGTAGCAAATGTGGCAGAAAATTCTGACTGCTGAGTCTAGTCTCTCTCGGTTTACTGCAAATAATAATAATATGCCATTTAGCAGACGCTTTTATCCAAAGCGACTTACAGTCATGCGTGCATACAATTTTGTGTATGGGTGGTCCCGGGGATCAAACCCACTACCTTGGCGTTACAAGCGCCGTGCTCTACCAGCTGAGCTACAGAGGACCACATGGAGGGCTGAGAGATTTAAGTATGAAGAATCACTAGAATCAGAGTGGTAGGTTGTACATAGAGAGTCATAAGGGTGTGTCTCTGTCACTGATATACAGTACACAGGAGGGTTGGACTTATATTTGCTTCAGGCTGGGGACCTTTATAGAATTGCATAAACTGACACTATTTAATATAAGTGACCTTTATAGAATTGCATAAACTGACACTATTTAATATAAGTGACCTTTATAGAATTGCATAAACGGACACTATTTAATATAAGTGACCTTTATAGAATTACATAAACAGATAATATTTGATAAAAGGGACTTTTATTGAATTACTGTACATAAATAGACACTATTTGATATAAGCAACCTTTAAAGAATGACATCATATCAGGACAGTGGCAGGTATGGACCATACAGTAGGTTCCATGACCAGCCTGAGGACAGCGACAGGTATGGGTCAGTGAAGTCTGGTTGATGGTTAATGGTCATTACTGCATCAGATGAGCCGCTATTCTAGGAGTTACTGGGTCAAACACTAGTCTTATTTTAGATGATAAGATACAAAAATAACAAAACATTTTAGGCTCAGTTTTTAGCGAGTAAGGGATGAGCTTTATTAAGAGGATGCATTTTACAGGATCTCCCAAAAAAACACCCAAATTAACTTAAACGCTCACGGCTCTTAGCAGTAAAACACATGTTGATCAGATCAGCTTAATTGTGAGGTTAGCAAGGCCAGATGTACAACAGTTAGTAGAGGATACTGTAGTGTTGCTATAGGGAGGAAATAAGTGCATTTGCTGATCTGGCAACAGAAACTGAGGGAGAGAGAAAGACAGGCAGGGATAGAGGGAGGAGAGCAGGCAGGCTGTGGCCCTCACCTTTGAGCCTGTTGAAGTGGATGGGGACATCACTCTTGATGCTCTTTCTGTCCTCCTCCGTGGACTCACTGCACACCATGGGGGGGTCGTTGTGGGCCAGCCAATCAGCCACCTTGCTCTCAGAGGCCATCATGGCGGCCTGCAGGGTGCTGAGGTCCTTGCTGCCCGGCTGGGGGGCCTTCTTAAGCCGGGGCCGGTGGTCTAGAGTCAGGTTGGACACGTGGTCCTTGATCCTGACCTTGCCAGGGGAGGTGTCATCAAACTCGATGGTGAAGGCGTGAGGTGAGGCGTGGCCCTGAGCGCTGGTGGGGGTGGAGGGGGTAGCAGCAGCCCCCTCAATGTCTTTGGTGGGGATCTCATGAATGCTGTCCTCTGCCATCTGAGCCTCTTTGGTGGGGATCTCAAAGTAGCTGGGCTCAGGACCCAGGCCATCCTCCATAGGCCTCTCACTCCTCTTAGGCTCTCTGTCGTCTGTAGATTCACAGAGAGGAGAGGAGAACACTGGGGATCAGTATTTAGCAGTCAGAGGTCACTGGCCCCACATGGGCCATTCAGCTGTGTCTGTTCTGAGTCTCACCATTAGTCTGAATCAGTGTCTGAGGCCCTGGCAGAACACAGCCCTCTAAACAAAACAGGTCAGGCTGTGCTGTGGCACTGGCAGAACACAGCCCTCTAAACAAAACAAGTCAGGCTGTGCTGTGGCACTGGCAGACAGGCACAAAGCCATGTAGTGTCACTTTGAGAAGAACTGATGAGGAAGCCAATCAAAACCCTTTAGGCTACTTACTTAATAATGATTGTGTGACTTCATTTGATTATGTGGCAAGGCACTATGGGATGTGTAGACCATCTGGTTTATACGTATGACTGAAAATCCTCCTGAAAAGCCACAGGTGACCAAAGTTCAGGCAGAGGTGGCTTCCCCTTCAAAATGAAAGCCTCAGTTTGGAATCCCAGCAAACTATGTCCTTAAATTGAGTAATTAGCTAAAGAAAGGACTTCAGCAAGATACTTACTACAGACAATCTAGGTAATGAGAGTTCCAGTGTTGGAGAAAGCGGTTTGTTTCAGCGCTATGTGAAAGCTGGTGCAATGGCGTAACCCAATAGCCCAGAGTGACAATACATAAGGAGGGGGGCTGGGGCCAGCTACAACAGAGCCTATTCAACAGGACATGAGACCGTTCCTTTACACTACAGATGTAGAATCTTAATTTGATCACCCTGTTGCAGGATAGCTTTGCTGTAATGCAGTGTATTTGAGGCTTCTGAAGTGTGTAATTTCCACTTTGGAATTTCAGACTTGATTTTCCCTTATGAAAATGTCCATTAATTATAATCCACATAATAATACACATTTCCTGTTGCTGCAGGATTATTTTCCTTCTGTAGCAAACTGGCTCAAATTAAGTCTCTCTACTAGTGGGGGACATATGCCCTCTTCACACTACTAAGAATAGCTATGGGAGAAGATACTAAACTGGCTCTTTGATGTGGGGAACTGTAACGTGTAACACTGGCTCTTTGATGTGGGGAACTGTACCCTGATTGTGTGCTTTATTTGGGCTCCCAAGAGACTATAATGCTGATTCATTATGAAGATTCCCTGACTAGATAAACTCAGAGGCACTTGAGGCGGAGGGTGTGAGTGTGTTCAGATTCAGTGCAGTTTGAATGAGAAGATGGGGCAGTTTATATCTAATCATATAGAACTTCTTAACATTATCTATGCATCCTACAGACTTCAGCTCCCAATACTACCTTATAATACCATACCACCCAAGCTCATTGCAAGCTGTCTGCATTGCACACATATCATTTCCATTTAATGACCATGATTATAACGCCAGATCTGTTTTAATGCCACCATGGAGACATGGCTTACAATTACATAACATGGCTGTGTACTCTGTTGACACTTGGGACCCATAAGGGCTGTCACTGTGAAAGACTGGTCAGGTAGGCCCACTGTGTGTGACACATTCCTTGGGGATGCTGTCCATATTTACGTCTGACAGACCAGTCCACTGTCCTCTACTGTGGGCCTCTCAATAACCGAGATAAGGAGAGGTCAGTGGGTCACTACATGCTACCTACCTAGAGCACTGCTTCAATAAGTAAAATGAACACAGTAGTAATACCAACATCCATACGTTAATCCATTGTAATTTAATTCAAGTCTACCAATAGAACTGTAATTCAAAGGTAGCCTCCAGAGCATATGAGCGGAGTGGAGCGGTGAGAATCTCAGCTCCTCGCTCACGGAGCTTTTTACCCTTACGCTCCCCCTGCTCAAAGCCACATCAGGCCAGTCTGCTCGTTATCGCTCAGCACTCAACACAGTTTGCATCGCGCTCCACTCAAATCGCCCCCCCCGCTCGCTCCAAAAAATGAAAAAAATCCTTACCTCCCAAAGAACTAAAGAGCAACGACAACATTTTCCAAATATAAATGTTTTATTTCAAATTACAAATTAGGCCTAGCCTATGTAAGAAGGAATACACAAAAAGTCCTGTAAAATTAAACGAATCAATGGGCCTAATTATATAAATAAAAATATACATCAAAGTTTTAAAAGTAAATTAACTATTAGGCCAAAATTCTGATAACTGAACTTTTGCGCAGCGTGCACGTGGATAAAAATTTAAATTGGCTTATATCCATTGTCAAACTTTAAAATAAAATAACACAAATGAATTGCTTTCCTTATATACAGTTCTTTTGAGTTCACCTTCAAGAACACAAGTTTGGCCAATGTCTGAGGCTTCAGACTCATGCGGTGGTTTCTTGACAGCAGGCCATCAGAGGAGAAAACCCTCTCTGCGCTCGCAGACCCGCTTGGGATGCTGAACACAATGCGAGCTACTTTAGCCAGGCAGGGAAACGACGTGGAGTCTTCTTTCCAAAATCGAATAACATCTGCGTCTGGGTTCTGTCTCGGGGATGAGAGGTAATTTTCGACTTCACCTTTGGCGTCTCCGGTTATGCGTAGCTGCTCGCTGAAGTATGACCCGAACAGGCAAGCTCTTTTTAGTTCAGGCTCGGGATTCAGGTCAGCGGCGGGTGGGGTGTCGGTCTCGGGTGTCCCGCTGGGAGCGTTCATTTCCTCAGCTTCTTTTATGAGGAGGTCGCAGATCTCCTCGAGTTTGTTGCATACAGACTCATCTCGGATTATCCATTCTGTCTTGAAACGGGGATCTAACACTGATGCTAAAATTAGATGTTTATCAGTATAGTATATTCCATAGCGAATTGACACGTTGTTTGCCAATGTTTCTGCAAAAGCAGCGATGCCCATTGGAAGTGCAGCGTGAGTGTCACCTTTTCACCAGGTGCCCGACTTTCACTAACAGCCAATTCATGTTGTCGTGCTCGTTAACGGCGTCTTTGATCGCCAGCTGAAGCATGTGAATGGGGCATCTCAGATGTAAATTTGACACAGTAAAGTACTGATTTCTCATACCTTCTACATTAGTGGTTATCACTTCCACATGGACTTGCGAGGGCGCAGGTGGTCCCTCATCCTCCTCTTCTTGTTCTGCGCTGCTGCTGGCATCCGCGGTCACTTCACCCTCCGCCTCCTCTTCAGTGCCAGGGAGGAGGTTAAACGCATTGATCATGTTGCTGGCACTGTCAGTGACGACCCGAATCACACGTCGTTGCACATTCCAATATTTCAGTACACTTTCATACTTTTGGTAAATACGATCTGCGGTATGGTGCCCCTGTATGTGCTCACAGCCCAACAAAACCGTGTGCCCCCAGAACGTCCCATCAATGAAACTGGCTACGATGCCAAGGAAGCTGTGCCCTCTTCTACTGGTCCAAATGGCCGCTGACAGAACGAGCCCATCACCATTTTGCAGTAGGTCTTGCAGTTTGGCTTCCATTTCTTCCAGGGCATGTGGCATGAGCGTGTCCCGTACGGTGTTGTAGCATGGGGGGGTGTAGCCCGGTTGAGCTGCGCTGGCGAAGTGTTGCATCCCTTCGCGTTCTCCTTTACTCAGCGGTTCATAGTCCATATAAATCATTTTTTAAAATGCTACATCCAGCTCTCTTTTTCTCTCCCTTGTTATGTTTGGGCCTTTGTGTGCAGTGAAGAAACTTTTGAATTCCTCAACCCTTTTCTCTTGTTGCTGCTGCTGCTCCTCTCGCTCTATAAAATACAAATTCATGGACGACACAAATTAAATTAAACGAACCATATATTAGGCCTTCTTTGAATGACAAAACTAATTTGTTTGAATATTAGGCTATATTTACTTTACACTTTTGTTACAAGTTACCGTATTCAACTTGCTAACCTTTTGCTTTCTTCCCAGCGTGTTCACGTGTTTTCGAGAGATGTGTCTTTTTAGATTCCAAAATGAATCTTTACTGACTGAAACGATGTCACCACAATCTTTTTCTTGTACCACATTATCATTGTTAGTTAGTTTTATATTAATAGTACACCTGTATGACTTCTCATTTTCCTTTTTGAAGTACTTGGTGAACTCCATTATTGAGCCCAATTTTGACTGAAAATAGTCTACTGTTGATGACTGTGCAAGACACAGATGGATTCTGAGTCAGGCTTGAGCATACTTCAGACTCGTGGTGTGAGCGGTGCGAAATTGGAGCGGGCCATAGGGCAACGCTCCGTCCTTTTAAAAATGCTGCTCTGCGCTCTGTCCAAAATCCACCCGCTCGCGCTCCACGCTCGCTCCCGCTCCACTCCGCTCACATGCTCTGGTAGGGCCTACACTATGCATATTGTCTACACATGTCAATGATCACACAAATAAACTATAAAATTGCTTCAACTTACTGAGCTCCATGGTAGATGCAACCTCTTGAATACTTGAATTAAAATAAAAGTCCTCCAGGCTTTCCGATCACAAGCCTCAATGTATTCCAAAATGTTGTTGTTCCTAAGGGCTGCAGAGGACTGACTGCACTGCACTCTGACTGTTGTTAGTGTAAGGACAGCTCTATGGTCTAGTAGTCTAAGAGGTCTGGATGGACTTCCCCCACTCCACCCCAGCACCCATTGGGTGTCCTGCAGCCTCCAAGCCTGGCCTAATCTTTAATCCTGTTACTCCTGCCCAGCACAACTTAATGGGATCCTCCGGACCAACACAAACACACCCTATGCATATACACACTGTGTACTGTGAGTCACATGGCCATTACCCTCAATACGCACAGAACGGATGAGCCTGGGAATGAACATAATAATAATAATAATTGTCACGCCCTGGCTCTGGGGACTCTGAAATGTTGAGCCAGGGTGTGTAGTTTCTGTGTTATATTTTCTATGTTGATGTGCTAGATCGTTTAGATCTATGTTGGCCAGGGTGGTTCCCAATCAGAGGCAGCTGTATCTCGTTGTCTCTGATTGGGGACCATACTTAGGCAGCCTGTTTGGCACTAGTCGGTGTGGGATCTTGTTCCGTAAAGGTTTGTTTTGTGTAACCTAGGACTTCACGTATCGTTTGTTTGTTGTTTTGTGTCGTGTTAAGTACTTAATAAAATGTACGCTTATCACGCTGCGCCTTGGTCCGTATCTTCCGTTAACGATCGTGACAGAAGATCCCACCAAAAGAGGACCAAGCAGCGTGTCCAGGAACAGACAGCCTGGACCTGGGAGGAGATCCTGGACGGGAAGGGATCCTGGACTTGGGAGGAGATTCAGGCCGGAATGGATCGCCGTCCTTGGGAGGAGACTGTGGAGGCGCGCTATAGAGAGGAGCAGCGGCAACGCAGAGGGTACCGGCCGAGGAGGAAGCCCGAGAGACAGCCCCAATAATTTTTTTTTGGGGGGGGCTAAAAGGGTGGTTGGCCGAGCCTAGGGTTAGAGCAGAGCCAACTCACCGTACTCAGGCTAGGAAGCGTGTGACTGGGCAGGCTCCGTGTTATGCGGAGCCACGTACTGTGCCGCGAGTGTTCCGGCACAGTCCTGTACGTCCTGTGCTAGCACCACGCACGTGTCGTGCAAAGATGGGCATTCAGCCAGGACGGGGTGTGCCGGCTCAACGCTCGTGGTCTCCAGTACGCCTCCTCGGTCCCGTATATCCTGCGCCAGTGCCACGTGCTGTAGCGCCAGTACGAGTGCACAGCCCCGTACGTCCTGTGCTGATGCCTCACACGTATTGTGTGGAAGTAGGCATTCAGCCAGGACGGGTTGTGTCAGCTCTCCGCTCCAGACCTCCAGTCCGCCTCCACAGTCCGGCCCGGCCCGTTCCGGCTCCCCGCACCAAGCCAGTGGTGCGTGTTCCCAGTCCAGCCCGGACTGTTCCTGCTCCCCGCACCAAGCCAGTGGTGTGTGTTCCCAGTCCGGTCCGGCCTGTTCCTGTCCCTCGCGCCAAGCCAGTGGTGCGCATCGCCAGCCCGGTCCGGCCTGTTCCTGTCCCTCGCGCCAAGCCAGTGGTGCGCGTCGCCAGCCCGGTCCGGCCTGTTCCTGCCCCTCGCGCCAAGCCAGTGGTGCGCGTCGCCAGCCCGGTCCGGCCTGTTCCTGCTCCCCGCACCAAGCCAGTGGTGCGCGTCGTCAGCCCGGTCCGGCCCGTTCCTGCTCCCCGCACCAAGCCAGTGGTGCGCGTCGTCAGCCCGGTCCGGCCCGTTCCTGCTCCCCGCACCAAGCCAGTGGTGCGTGTGTTCAGTCCGGCACGGCCCGTGCCTGTTCCACCGGTGCCTGGTCCGGCACCGGTCAGCTGCTCCACTCCGGAGCCAGAGCAATCCGCTCCACCGGGGTCCGGTCCAACTCCAGTCAGCGGATCCACTGCGGAGCCAGAGCAATCCGCTCCACCGGTGTCCAGTCCAGCTCCGGCCAGCGGCTCCAGTCCGGAGCCTGTACGGTTTGATCCACCGTCGTCGGGTCCAGCTCCAGTCAGCGGTGCCAGACCAGATCAGGGGCGCAACGGGGAGGTGGAGAGAAAGTGGTGGTCACGCCCGGAGCCGGATCCGCCTCCGAGGCGGAATGCCCACCCGGCCCCTACCCTGTTGTGTTTGTGTGGAGTCCGCGCCTTTGGGGGGGGGGGGGGGGGGGGGTACTGTCACGCCCTGGCTCTGGGGACTCTGAAATGTTGAGCCAGGGTTTGTAGTTTCTATGTTATATTTTCTATGTTGATGTGCTAGATCGTTTAGATCTATGTTGGCCAGGGTGGTTCCCAATCAGAGGCAGCTGTATCTCGTTGTCTCTGATTGGGGACCATACTTAGGCAGCCTGTTTGGCACTAGTCGGTGTGGGATCTTGTTCCGTAAAGGTTTGTTTTGTGTAACCTAGGACTTCACGTATCATTTGTTTGTTGTTTTGTGTCGTGTTAAGTACTTCATAAAATGTACGCTTATCACGCTGCGCCTTGGTCAGTATCTTCCGTTAACGATCGTGACAATAATATTAATATGCCATTTAGTAGACGCTTTTATCCAAAGCGACTTACAGTCATGTGTGCATATATTTTTACGTATGGGTGGTCCCGGGGATCGAACCCACTACCCTGGCGTTACAAGCGCCATGCTCTACCAATTGAGCTACAGAGGACCACAACATGAAGCCACCATGTTACTACTTATAGAAAGTATTCTGCGCTTTATGTTCCAAGTTGGCATGCTATAGTTCTGTTATAACAACAGGATTACTTCAGAACACACATTACATAGAGGACAATAATCATCCAGGAACATCTGCCACTTCAGAAAAAGAGATCCCAGGTAAAAAGATAGTTTATGTTGATTTGACCTCAAGCCATCAGGAATGTCATTTAATCATGTCCTAGAGTAGTTCATCTAATGTACTGTACATGTGTGCATGTATCTGATCATTTTGCCAACATTTGAAACATATCATTTCATACTTGAGATATGATGAGGTCATGTTGGTTCTTACCTGCTGCAGAGCTGTCATGCTTTTTCCCACACGTCTTGGTCTCCTGCTTGAAAGAGTTCTCGTCGTCTGCGTCCCCATCCCCCCACCAAGATGGCTGTCCATACAGAGGTGTTCCCCGGTGCGATGCTGCTATGTCCCCTATAACACAAACACAAGAGGTTTCACTAAATTTAGATTTAATGTATGACATTCATCAAGGGATGTTTGACAAGATAAATGAATGAAGTCAATCGACACAGTAACTGGCCAGTAGCTAATGTGATTGTTCCTGAGCAGCTGCACTGTGTCTTTTAATTAATCTGTCCTGGATGATGGGACTTGGAGCACTGGTTTGGCTTTAGCCGTTCCACTGACCTACATAACCCAGTCAGCAGGACACAGAGGGACAAACCATCAACACCAGCCTCTGCTCCATTATCACCAATGAGGCCTGAGTTCCTAACTACCTTCTCCTCTCCCCACTGCCAAAGGCCTGAGTTCCTAACTCCCTTCTCCTCTCCCCACTGCCAAAGGCCTGAGTTCCTAACTACCTTCTCCTCACCCCACTGCCAAAGGCCTGAGTTCCTAACTACCTTCTCCTCTCCCCACTGCCAAAGGCATGAGTTCCTAACTACCTTCTCCTCTCCCCACTGCCAAAGGCCTGAGTTCCTAACTCCCTTCTCCTCTCCCCACTGCCAAAGGCTTGAGTTCCTAACTACCTTCTCCTCTCCCCACTGCCAAAGGCCTGAGTTCCTAACTACCTTCTCCTCTCCCCACTGCCAAAGGCTTGAGTTCCTAACTACCTTCTCCTCTCCCCACTGCCAACGGCCTGAGTTCCTAACTACCTTCTCCTCACCCCACTGCCAAAGGCCTGAGTTCCTAACTCCCTTCTCCTCACCCCACTGCCAAAGGCCTGAGTTCCTAACTACCTTCTCCTCACCCCACTGCCAAAGGCCTGAGTTCCTAACTACCTTCTCCTCACCCCACTGCCAAAGGCCTGAGTTCCTAACTACCTTCTCCTCACCCCACTGCCAAAGGCCTGAGTTCCTAACTACCTTCTCCTCACCCCACTGCCAAAGGCCTGAGTTCCTAACTACCTTCTCCTCACCCCACTGCCAAAGGCCTGAGTTCCTAACTACCTTCTCCTCTCCCCACTCTGACTTCACCCAGCTGAATCCAGCTGAATCCAGCTGGGATGTTTACATGAGGGTGACTTTACAGACCATGTAAATAGTATTTGTTAGTTGAAGCAAGGTCTGGAAACAATGTCACAATAGCAAAATGGAACCCAATAATAATTTGGGCTGCAGTGTAAGCAAGCACTGACTTTGCATATGAACAAAACCCAGAGAATGCACTAATTGCAGTGCACATTCACAGAGGACTGTGTTCAAAATGCCTATAAATGCCTATTATTGCTGCAAGCTTGGTCAGGAGCTTTGCCTGCCTGCATAATATCTCCAGTTAACCTATGGTGGTGTGCTGCAGAGAGGATAGGGAACATACGGTGACTGTCTGACTGCAGAGAGGATAGGGAACATACGGTGACTGACTGACTGCAGAGAGGATAGGGAACATACAGTGACTGTCTGACTGCAGAGAGGATAGGGAACATACGGTGACTGTCTGACTGCAGAGAGGATAGGGCACATACGGTGACTGACTGACTGCAGAGAGGAAAGGGAACATACAGTGACTGTCTGACTGCAGAGAGGATAGGGAACATACGGTGACTGACTGACTGCAGAGAGGATAGGGAACATACGGTGACTGACTGACTGCAGAGAGGAAAGGGAACAATACGGTGACTGTCTGACTGCAGAGAGGATAGGGAACATATGGTGACTGTCTGACTGCAGAGAGGATAGGGAACATACGGTGACTGACTGACTGCAGAGAGGATAGGGAACATACGGTGACTGTCTGACTGCAGAGAGGAAAGGGAACATACAGTGACTGTCTGACTGCAGAGAGGAAAGGGAACATACAGTGACTGTCTGACTGCAGAGAGGAAAGGGAACATACGGTGACTGTCTGACTGCAGAGAGGAAAGGGAACATACAGTGACTGTCTGACCCCAGAGAGGAAAGGGAACATACGGTGACTGCCTGCCTCTGAATCGGCAGGGGGGAATAACACATTAGCATTAAAAGGAAAATTAGCAGGCTACAATATCCAGGTGGCAGAGAAGAAGAGAAGGAGGAACACATGTAAACGCTTCCTGCATCGGGTAATAAAGGAGACATATGGGTGGATGTGGCTCCCCTATCGTTATAGGCCCTCTGCTGGAGGCCCCCACTGCAGATGTTGTAATTAAACACATAGTGGGTGGCAAGGCGGGTTAAATGTAATGTTGGTACACTGGACTCATGCGTTAAGCCTGATGCCCCATATGATAGTGTTAGATCATCTGTTGTTTTGATCCTGATCATATTAGACCAGGGTTCCCCAACTGGCGCCCCACGGGTGGTTTTATTTTTGTTCCCCCCCCCCCCCCCCCCCCCCCCAAGTTTCTGAGCAAAAAATATATATATATACACTACCAGTCAAAAGTTTGGACACACCTACTCATTCAAGGGTTTTTCTTAATTTTTACTATTTTCTTCATTGTAGAATAATAGTGAAGACATCAAAACTATGAAATAACACATATGCAATCATGTAGTAACCAAAAAAAGTGTTAAACAAATCAAAATATATTTTATATTTGAGATTCTTCAAATAGCCACCCTTTGCCTTGATGACAGCTTTGCACACTCTTGGCATTCTCTCAACCAGCTTCATGAGGTAGTCACATGGAATGCATTTCAATTAACAGGTGTGCCTTTTTAAAAGTTAATTTGTGGAATTTACTTCCGTCTTAATGCGTTTGAGCCAATCAGTTGTGTTGTGACAAGGTAGGGGAGGGTATACAGAAGATAGCCCTATTTGGTAAAAGACCAAGTCCATATTATGGCAAGAACAGCTCAAATAAGCAAAGAGAAACGACAGTCCATCATTACTTTAAGACATGAAGGTCAGTCAATCCGGAAAATGTCAAGGACTTTGAAAGTTTATTCAAGTGCAGTCGCAAAAACCATCAAGCGCTATGATGGAACAGGCTCTCATGAGGACCGCCACAGGAATGGAAGACCCAGAGTTACCTCTGCTGCAGAGGATAAGTTCATTAGAGTTACTAGCTACAGAAATCAACCCAATTGAGATGGTTTGGGATGAGTTGGACCGCAGAGTGAAGGAAAAGCAGCCAACAAGTGCTCAGCATATGTGGGAATTCCTTCAAGACTGTTGGAAAAGCATTCCATGTGAAGCTGGTTGAGAGAATGCCAAGAGTGTGCAAAGCTGTCATCAAGGCAAAGGGTGGCTAATTTGAAGAATCTCAAATATAAAATATATTTTGATTTGTTTAACACTTTTTTGGTTACTACATGATTCCATATGTGTTATTTCATAGTTTTGATGTCTTCACTATTATTCTACAATGTAAAAGTAAAGAAATACCCTTGAATGAGTAGGTGTGTCCAAACTATTGACTGGTAGTGTATATTATTTTTAGAGATAATTTTCATTGTTGGACATAAAAGACTGTAAAAACACCAGGAAATCATCTCCAAGTGATTCTAATTTTGGAAATATGTTCCCAATTATTCCCACGCATAATAGAGAGACACGTGATCGTATACAAATGTAAGCAAGGTTTGAAATGATTATGTTTTAGTCAAATATTATATCTGTTTGGGCTTCTTGCGGTGAAGTTGCAGTCTACAAATGATTTGTAATTATTTTCCAGCCCCCTGACCATCCGCTCAAGAAAAAAATCAGCCCGTGGCTGAATCTAGGTGATGATCTAGAGACTATGGCCATGGCTAAAGTCATTAATTAAGGACATCCTCTCATGTATCAGAACAAACTACTCAATCCATAGGGATCAAACCGTATGGATGTTCCTTTAAATGTTAGTCATTTAGCAGACGCTTATATCCAGAGCGACTTACAGGAGCAATTAGGGATAAGTGCCTTGCTGAAGGGCACATCGACAGATTTTTCACCTAGTCAGCTCAGGGATTCGAACCAGCGACTAGGGTTTTCCCCAAAGAATATAAGAGGGCGCTGCACCACCTTGTGGACTGGCTGCACCACTTTATTTGTTATAATTTAAGCAATTTTCTTGCTCTAGATTGCAGGAAATGGCAGTTACAGGTGTTCAAAAACACAAAAATCTCTAATTCCAAAGGGGGGCACTGCCCCACTACTGCCGCCTCAGGTAACCTAAAAGGCCAATGCATAGCAAAGGACATTCCTAATGTAATGACAATGAACCATGTACTGTATGTCACAATCCAAAAGCCATGGTTCCCCTGTTAAAGTCCTTCTGTAATACAGTAGCTATTCAACTCCCACAGCTGTACTAACTACTGTAAGCGTACTGAACACCACAAAAATATCCACTGCTACCCACACCAACACCAGCATAAGCTCTCCCTCCAGCTGAGTGACTTGACTATAGAGCATAAACGATGCAAGTGTAGGAGACATTCTGCCTGTCTACTGCACTGGGAGAGATGGGAGCACCTGCAGCCTCTCTACTGCATCCTGTAGATAAATATAGCTCTTTACACATATAGCTCTTTACACACTGGTTGAATCAATGTTGTTTCCACGTCATTTCAATGAAATTACATTGAACCAAAAGATGTTGAATTGCCGTCTTTGCCCAGTGGCTACTGATAGTGGGACCAGGAGCATGGTGGGCTGGCCAATCAGATACGACACCCCAGTGGTACAGGACAGTAGCTCAGATTAGTGTGATGTTTTTAATGACAATGTGCCCTAAACCCTCACTCTTTTATTACAGACAATAGATCAACAGAAAAGTCTCCATAAGAGACAGGCAGTGAAATGTTTATTAGTCTTTTAGATGACTGACAGTCCATACATGTGTATCTACTGTCCAATCTATGGTAGGATCAGGACATTCATTGCTTCCTCATTCAGAATACTGATTCTAAAATGCTATCCTTATAAAATGGAATTATGAATCTAGTCACGACTCGGATGCAGATATTTCTTATTTCCAAATACTGTGTCATGATTGAATACCCTGAAATATCCCATTCATTATTTCCCTGAAATGACTGGGTCATACCGTACAATATACATGTCATCTCTTATATGTGCTTCCTGCTCTCACCTGCCATCTTGTCATCTCCCTTGTGTGATTCAGCAGGTTTGGCCGATGGCTCCATGGTGGTCCCCTCGGCTGCCTTGCTCTCGGCTGGTCTGGGGGTCTTAGTAGGGGACTTGGCAGGTGACTTGGAAGGCTCAACCTTGGAGGGCTTCATAGCCAGCTGGAGCTGGCTGGTGAACTTCTCATGCTGAAGGAGGGAGGGAGGGAGGGAGGGAGGGAGGGAGGGAGGGAGGGAGAGGAACACCGTCAGAGCCCAAAATATCATATTTCATCTAATGCTGACACACACACAGCTCAAAGTTATATTTGCATGATATAATCTCATGAACCTACAGTGCCTTCAGAAAGTATCCATACCCCTTGACTTATTCCACAATTTGTTGTGTTCCAGCCTGAATTCAAAATTGATTAAATTGATATTTTTCTCACCCATCTACACACAATACTCCATAATGAAAAAGTGAAAATGTATTGAAAATGAAATACAGAAATATCTCATTTACATAAGTATTCACACCCCTGAGTCAATACTTTGTAGAAGCACCTTTGGCAGCGATTACAGCTGTGAGCTTTCAGGTTAAGTCTCTAAGAGCTTTCCACACCTGGATTGTGCAACATTTGCCCATTATTATTTTCAAAATTCTTCATGTATTGCCATACTTACAAATAGATTTAAGTCAAAACTGTAACTTGGCCACTCAGAAACATTCACTGTCTTCTTGGTAAGCAAGTCCCAGTGTCTGGTGGAAAGCAGACTGAATCAGGTTTTCCTCTAGGATTTTGCCTGTGCTTAGCTCCATTACGTTTGTTTCTTATCCTGAAAAACTCCCCAGTCCTTACCAATTACAAGCATACCCATTACATGATGCAGCCACTCTATGCTTGAAATTTGAAGAGTGGTACTCAGTAATGTGTTGTATTGTATTTGCCCCAAACATAATACTTTTGTATTCAGGACAAAAAGTTCATTGCTTTGCCACATTCTTTGCAGTATTACTTTAGTTGTTGCAAACAGGATGCATGTTTTGGAATATTTTCTCCTATCACAGCCATTAAACTCTGTAGCTGTTTTAAAGTCACCATTATTCTCATGGTGAAATCCCTGAGCGGTTTCCTTCCTCTCCGGCAACTGAGTTAGGAAGGACGCCTGTATCTTTGTTGTGACTGGGTGTATTGATACACCATCCAAAGTGTAATTAATAACTTCAGCATGTAATTAATAACTTTTTACCCATCAATAGGTCCCCTTCTTTGCGAGGCATTGGAAAATCTCCCTGGTCTTTGTGGTTGAATCTGTTTGAAATTCACTCCTCGACTGAGGAACCTTACAAATAATTGTATGTGTGGGGTACAGAGATGAGGTAGTCATTCAAAAATGTTGAAAAAGTTGAGGGGTGTGAATACTTTCTGAAGACACTGTACTTACAGACATGTTGTTATACTATGGTATAACTGTTGCTATTTCATATTTATCAGAAATTAGCACCCCTGATACCCCTGATATTGAGTATAACATATATATTATGATATAGAGCGCCTTCAAATAGTATTCACACCCCTTTACTTTTTCCACATTCTGATGTGTTACAAAGTGTGAAAAGGTTACATACATGCAATCCCAGCACAACATGTAAAGGGTTGTATGTAGTTTGTCGTATATTGTGTGTAGTGTCCTACCTGCAGAGCCTCGTCTGGGACAGTCATCTCCCCTCGCACCACCGTGAACAGGTTGATATGTGAAACAGGTTAAGGGAATACACTTTCACACTGTTTGCATCTATCCTCACAGCCACTTCATTATACACACAACAGTCAGGCCGAAGCCACAGTGGATGACAGATTGACATTTACAGATTATACATCTTGACAAATGATCAGTGGACAAGAGCAATTAAATGAACAGATGCTTCATGTCTGTTTAGATTGCAGTAATGTTGTGTCATTAAAGTTTTAAGGACTGAATGATTGAAAGGATATCATATCCAAACCTCAGCTTGTCATCAATCTTTAAAGTGATATACATCTGCTCCTGGATTCGGACATCATTCACAAATGTCTGTGTGGAGAGAAAATAGGAAAAACATGTTTGTAAGGATTTGAGGCACATTATAAATAGCACATGATAAATTCACTGCCCTTTGACTTTCTCCAGTGCAAGGCGGGCCAGCCCAGTTTTCATTGCTTAAAACCCTTGTGGCTCAGACTTGAGTTACATAATGAATTTAGGGAAACTGTTCCCATTACACTTCATTTCAGGCTACACTTAATCCAGAATATAATCAAATTACCTTTCATTCTCAGTTACAAATCATCACAAACCTGCAGGCAAAAGGTGATGGCTAGAAATTGGATCAGGGTTGTATTACATCAGGACTGTAAAAATCTTAAGTAAATGTGATTTCTGGCTTTCTTGCAGGTCTCTCCAACCTCCCATAACAACCAGCCATAGTGCCATTATAAAAGGAAAGATTGCCTTAAATACTCAGGTGATGTGAAAAATGTCAGCTGGGGCCTGTTTATGGAAGGTATGTCGGCTGATGAGGCCTGTTTATGGAAGGTATGTCAGATGATGGGGCCTGTTTATGGAAGGTATGTCAGATGATGGGGCCTGTTTATGGAAGGTATGTCAGCTGATGGGGCCTGTTTATAGAAGGTATGTCAGATGATGGGGCCTGTTTATGGAAGGTATGTCAGCTGATGGGGCCTGTTTATGGAAGGTATGTCAGCTGATGGGGCCTGTTTATAGAAGGTATGTCAGATGATGGGGCCTGTTTATGGAAGGTATGTCAGCTGATGGGGCCTGTTTATGGAAGTTATGTCAGCTGATGGGGCCTGTTTATGGAAGGTATGTCAGATGATGGGGCCTATTTATGGAAGGTATGTCAGATGATGGGGCCTATTTATGGAAGGTATGTCAGCTGATGGGGCCTGTTTATGGAAGGTATGTCAGCTGATGGGGCCTGTTTATGGAAGGTATGTTAGCTGATGGGGCCTGTTTATGGAAGGTATGTCAGATGATGGGGCCTGTTTATGGAAGGTACGTCAGCTGATGGGGCCTGTTTATGGAAGGTATGTCAGATGATGGGCCCTGTTTATGGAAGGTATGTCAGATGATGGGGCCTGTTTATGGAAGGTATGTCAGCTGATGGGGCCTGTTTATGGAAGGTATGTCATATGATGGGGCCTGTTTATGGAAGGTATGTCAGATGATTGGGCCTGTTTATGGAAGGTATGTCAGCTGATGGGGCCTGTTTATGGAAGGTATGTCAGATGATGGGGCCTGTTTATGGAAGGTATGTCCGCTGATGGGGCCTGTTTATGGAAGGTATGTCAGCTGATGGGGCCTGTTTATGGAAGGTATGTCAGATGATGGGGCCTGTTTATGGAAGGTATGTCCGCTGATGGGGCCTGTTTATGGAAGGTATGTCAGCTGATGGGGCCTGTTTATGGAAGGTATGTCAGATGATGGGGCCTGTTTATGGAAGGTATGTCGGCTGATGGGGCCTGTTTATGGAAGGTATGTCAGATGATGGGTGCAGAGCAGAGCCAGGAAAACACTGGCAGCTCTGGCCTCACTGACCAAGCATTTTCAATCATCACTGACACTGATTAAGTTTCCTGACTCTGTGCCTGTCTCTGTCTGACCTCTAAATAGTGTGACAAAATTTGATGAAGGGGACAAGAGGTACTTTTTTCTACCTGGGTCCTTCATGGAGAGTATAAAAAGAAAAATCACCATATTTTTTAAATAGTCACAAGTCCTGTTTAAAGTCACTCTAAAAGTTAAACTAAATTGGGTAGTCTAAGTGTTAGCTGAGAGGTGGTTACAGTGTCTAGTTAGAAGATACAGTTATGACTGTAGACTAGCTGTTGTTGCTATCAGAATTTATCAGAACAGTGTCCTGGACAGACAGATTGAACATACACTGACTTCCCTTATGATTCAAGATCTATCCTAAAGATGAGTAAGATGTGCAGGGCATTCAGCAGTCAGGCTCTGATTGGCCCAGCATGGGATGTAGTGCTACTTCCTGTCGCCACGGGCCCTCGGATGGCGGGGGAGGAATCCTGAAGCATGACTCAGGAGGAAGAGCTTATGACTCCAGCTTCCTGCTTGGGAGAATGCTTCACAGTTGTTCCAGGCTAGTGGGTTAGCCTACACACTGAGCAATCAGCAGAACTAGGACAACTAACACATGACTCACACACACCATGTGACAGGAAGAGCTCTAAAACATGGTTTAACTCTACCGTGAAAAGTTTATGGTGTAGAATAAAGGGGCACGTCATTTGAAAATGCATTATGTTAATGCCATGTGACACACATTTACAGGTGAGGTAATAAACAGCCCTGTCAATTCCTCTCAAGTCAAAGCTGGAGCAAAATGTATTGGCCTAAAGATGTAGCACAACCTCTGACCCTTTTACATGCCTTCTCCTCCTCTACCCGTTCACCCTTCTTTAACTCACCCCGTTCAGGCTGCCCAGGTCCTTGACTTTGTGCTCATCGCTGATCACCTCATAGTTGATGACTGCATGCTGCTTGTCAACACTCCGCGACTGTAAACACAAACCCAACAGTCCCAGTCAGTAATGGTGTTACACATTGTTGAATGGTAACTTGATATCAATGCTGAACTTGAAATGTTTTTGCTATGATGATAACAGTGTGTGCTGTGATAGTTTAAACATCAACCTTGTGGCAATGTCAGTGTTTGGAGGAGGAATAACATTTATTGTTAACACAATTCTGCTTTGAGGTCAGATTATATTTTTGCAACACAGAGGTATGTATATTTCCATTTATAAGGCAGTTAGGCCCTGTTTTATTCTCCCACAGACAGAGATGGAAGCACAAACACACTCCAAGACAGATACAACATGTAGGGGAAGTGGAGGGAGGAAGAGAGATAGTTTAGATGTTTTCTCCAGAGAGCGCCTCATCAGCTCAGTAGAGTGGGATTTATTTAAAGCGTCTATACTACCACCTTTATGGAATGGATCAGGGATGTGCACTAAACAACACAATCAGCATCTCTAGATTCAACGCCAAATTATCAGCATCTCTAGATTCAATGCCAAATTATCAGCATCTCTAGATTCAATGCCAAATTATCAGCATCTCTAGATTCAAGCCAAATTATCAGCATCTCTAGATTCAATGCCAAATGATCAGCATCTCTAGATTCCATGCCAAATTATCAGCATCTCTAGATTCAAAGCCAAATTATCAGCATCTCTAGATTCAATGCCAAATTATCAGCATCTCTAGATTCAATGCCAAATTATCAGCATCTCTAGATTCAATGCCAAATTATCAGCATCTCTAGATTCAATGCCAAATTCAGCTCACAATTCAAATTGTCATGAGTCATGGCACCATCATAATAGCACTATGGATGAAGGACACATGGAGAGTTCTCACACAGAGCAGATACAAACAGAGAGAAGAGGCCTTTCTGATGTCGCTCCATGCCAAGTAGCCTAGGTCTGAATAATACGGTCTTTATAAACCAGTCCGTTTCGAAGCTGTAAGGAAATAAGTGGTTATATGTTTAACTGCAGGTATGGCTAACCGATGTGTGGCAGATATCCAAAATTCTGTGTGCATAACTCGAGTTTTCACACAAATCTTCCATTGACATCAATGCATGACTCACAATCATCAAGTTACTGTAAGCTCACATATCTGGAATAAGGATCCCAACCTGAACTGAGAGAAAAAGAGAGGCCTGCTGGGAGCTTCATCTCCAACCCCCTGCAACTAATCTCTGTGTGCCACACTGCATGTCTGATATCAGGGCTCGTTTGATCTGGCCTAACTGTAATGAAGACACACAGCCCTGCAAGCATGCAACCGCTCACCTACAGTTTCTCCCAGTTCCACACTGCAGAGGAGATATCATATCAAGCATCCACACAGAGAGCTACATCATCCACACGCAGGCCTACTGGAATCTTCTCTGTTCTCTCTCTGTTCAGAGCATGAAAACATGTGATTCAGGAGAATGAAGCGAGAGGGAGTGTCTACTAAAGCATGCATGTCAGTGCTGGATTTGAAGTAACTAAGTGTCATGGTGAAAATGACTTGTTATATATAAGTGTAAAATATAACACAGTGTTTATACTAACATAAGTCTACTGTAGATAGCATAGCCTATTGTAGAAAACAGCATGAGAGATGAATGCCTTCGTGGAATAAATCATTTCAAACATAAATATGACCCTTTGATTTGACTTTTACTAACTAGAAGTGGTCTAGTGGGAGTGGTCCAGATTTGACTTTTACTAACTAGTAGTGGCCTAGTGGGAGTAGTCCAGATTTGACTTTTACTAACTAGTAGTGGCCTAGTGGGAGTGGTCCAGATTTGACTTTTACTAACTAGTAGTGGCCTAGTGGGAGTGGTCCAGATTTGATTTTTACTAACTAGTAGTGGCCTAGTGGGAGTAGTCCAGATTTGACTTTTACTAACTAGTAGTGGCCTAGTGGGAGTGGTCCAGATTTGACTTTTACTAACTAGTAGTGGCCTAGTGGGAGTGGTCCAGATTTGATTTTTACTAACTAGTAGTGGCCTAGTGGGAGTGGTCCAGATTTGACTGTTACTAACTAGTAGTGGCCTAGTGGGAGTGGTCCAGATTTGACTGTTACTAACTAGTAGTGGCCTAGTGGGAGTAGTCCAGATTTGACTGTTACTAACTAGTAGTGCTGGCACTCTGAACTGCTTGTTCTTTAGAAGCCATTTAGCATGGTACCTTCTAACTCCTATTGGAGATAGGACTACCGTCTGGACTACTGCAACTCGCTGTTGGCTGGCCTCCCTGCCTGTGCCATTAAACCCCTACAACTCATCCAGAATGCCGCAGCCCGTCTGGTGTTCAACCTTCCCAAGTTCTCTCACGTCACCCCCCTCCTCCGCACACTCCACTGGCTTCCAGTTGAAGCTCGCATCCGTTACAAGACCATGGTGCTTGCCTATGGAGCAGTGAGGGGAACGGCACCTCTGTACCTTCGGGCTCTGATCAGTCCCTACACCCAAACGAGGGCATTGCGTTCATCCACCTCTGGCCTGCTGGCTCCCCTTCCTCTGCGGAAGCATAGTTCCCGCTCAGCCCAGTCAAAACTGTTCGCTGCTCTGGCACCCCAATGGTGGAACAAGCTCCCTCACGACGCCAGGACAGCGGAGTCACTCACCACCTTCCGGAGACATTTGAAACCCCACCTCTTTAAGGATTACCTGGGATAGGATAAAGTAATCCTTCTACCCCCCCCCCCCCCCCTCTGGACTAGAGCGTCTGCTAAATGACGTAAATGTGCCCTTGAGCAAGGCACTTAACCCTAATTGCTCCTGTAAGTCGCTCTGGATAAGAGCGTCTGCTAAATGACTAAAATGTAAATGTAAATGTGAGATGTGCTGATGTATTAATGACCTGCTGCTTAATTATATACTTATTAGTAGACAGGGAAAAACTGAGGTTTGAGGAGGTTGAATGAGGACTCTTTGATTAGTGTCTCCAACAGTGTTTGTGAAGCCAGGGTTTGTGAAGCCAGGGTTTGTGAAGCCAGGGTTTGTGAAGCCAGTGTTTGTGAAGCCAGTGTTTGTGAAGACAGGGTTTGTGTAGCCAGGGTTTGTGAAGCCAGGGTTTGTGTAGCCAGGCTTTGTGAAGCCAGTGTTTGTGAAGCCAGGGTTTGTGAAGGCAGGGTTTGTGAAGCAAGGGTTTGTGAAGCCAGGGTTTGTGAAGGCAGGGTTTGTGTAGCCAGGCTTTGTGAAGCCAGGGTTTGTGAAGGCAGTGTTTGTGATGCCAGGGTATGTGAAGCCAGGGTTTGTGAAGGCAGGGTTTGTGAAGAAAGGGTTTGTGAAGGCAGGGTTTGTGAAGCAAGGGTTTGTGAAGCCAGGGTTTGTGAAGGCAGGGTTTGTGTAGCCAGGCTTTGTGAAGCCAGGGTTTGTGAAGGCAGTGTTTGTGATGCCAGGGTATGTGAAGCCAGGGTTTGTGAAGGCAGGGTTTGTGAAGAAAGGGTTTGTGAAGCCAGGGTTTGTGAAGGCAGGGTTTGTGTAGCCAGGCTTTGTGAAGCCAGGGTCTGTGAAGGCAGTGTTTGTGAAGCCAGGGTTTGTGAAGCCAGGGTTTGTGAAGCCAGGGTTTGTGAAAGCAGGGTTTCAAGTGTCTCAGAGTTAAGGACTGAAGCATTGTCGGTATTGCCACACACAGGCAACTCAGTTCCTTGAAAATAAATGTACTCGTCGTTATACAGAGTCAGGGCCTGGCAGAAAGAGGACAGGCAATAAGTAAACCTGGCCAGTGAGTAATCAACTACTTAAGTTGCCGTGGAATGTGTAATTTAGTTAGATTCAGAGTTGACATCAAGGAGCACGGAAAGTACATTCATATCTTCTATTTAAGTTGTACTGTGACTACTTTTTTAAGGGTTGACCTACAACCAATAGGTTTAACAATTTGTTTTACTACCATTGCTGTTGCTTTGAAACCTACACTACCATTCAAACGTTTTGCTTTACTACCATCCTTCAAACTTTGCTTTCGTCAAAGAATCCTCCATTTAAAGCAATTACAGCCTTGCAGACCTTTGGCATTCTAGTTGTCAATTTGTTGAGGTAATCTGAAGAGATTTCACCCCATGCTTCCTGAAGCATCTCCCACAAGTTGGAATGGCTTGATGGGCACTTCTTACGTACCATATGGTCAAGATGCTCCCACAACAGCTCAATAGGGTTGAGCTCCAGTGACTGTGCTGGCCACTTCATTATAGACAGAATACCAGCTGACTGCTTCTTCCCTAAATAGTTATTGCATAGTTTGGAGCTGTGCTTTGGGTCATTGTCCTGTTGTAGGAGGAAATTGGCTCCAATCAAGCGCCGTCCACAGGGTATGGCATGGAATTGCAAAATGGAGTGATAGCCTTCCTTCTTCAAGATCCCTTTTACCATGTACAAATCTCCCACTTTACCACCACCAAAGCACCCCCAGACCATCACATTGCCTCCACCATGCTTGACAGATGGCATCAAGCACTCATCCAGCATCTTTTTATTTGGTCTGCGTCTCACAAATGTTCTTCTTTGTGATCCGAACACCTCAAACTTCGATTCGTCTGTCCATAACACTTTTTTCCAATCTTCCTCTGTCCAGTATCTGTGTTCTTTTGCCCATCTTAATCTTTTATTTTTATTGGCCTGTCTGAGATATGGCTTTTTCTTTGCAACTCTGCCTAGAAGGTCAGCATCCCGGAGTCGCCTCTGCACTGTTGACGTTGAGACTGGTGTTTTGTGGGTACTATTTAATGAAGCTGCCAGTTGAGGACCTGTGAGGCGTCTGTTTCTCAAACTAGACACTAATGTATTTGTCCTCTTGCTCAGTTGTGCACCGGGGCCTCCCACTCCTCTTTCTATTCTGGTTAGAGCCAGAATTGTTCTGTTCTGTGAAGGGAGTAGTACACAGCATTGTACGAGATCTTCAGTTTCTACCAATTTCTCGCATGGAATAGCCTTCATTTCTCAGAACAAGAATAGACTGACGAGTTTCAGAAGAAAGTTATTTGTTTCTGGCCATTTTGAGCCTGTAATCTAACCCACAATTAATGATGCTCCAGATACTCAACTAGTCTCAAGAAGGCCAGTTAATCAGCACAAGAGTTTTCAGCTGTGCTAACATAATTGCAGAAGGGTTTTCTAATGATCAATTAGCCTTTTAAAATGATAAACTTGGATTAGCAAACACAATGTGCCAGTCGAACACAGGACTGTTTGTTGCTGATAATGGGCCTCTGTACGCCTATGTAGATATTCCATTAAAAATCAGCAGTTTCCAGCTACAATAGCCATTTACAACATTAACAATGTCTACACTGTATTTCTGATCAATTTGATGTTATTTTAATGGACAAAAAAATTGCTTTTCTTTCGAAAACAAGGAAATGTCGAAGTGACCCCAAACTTTTGAACGGTAGTGTATGTCTAAGGCCTAGATTCAATCCGTAACGCTGAAGATCCACACTGTAGCGCAATTTAAATTGATAGGTAATTTCCCAAATGAGTTGACATATGAAGCGTTTACAGTGAATGCAGTCTCTTGCCTTTAAATTTGACTCGTGCAATACCATGGATCTTCCGCGATATGGATTGAATAGAGCTCTAATAATATTCTATGATATATGCTGCTACACTACACCCATTCTCCAGCAGCCACTCTACTTCCTATGGAGCCCTCCTGTCTGGATGGACCTAACTCAACATGTATCTGCCCCACTTTCTATAAATATCTGTCTGACACACACACATACACACACGCACACTTGCACACGCACACATGCACACACAGACACACACACACAGACGTAGACACACACACACTAGGGTGTATGTATCATATCGTGTTGTGTTGTATCATGTTGTGTTGTGTCATATTGTGTTGTATCATGTTGTGTTGTATCATGTTGTGTTGTGTTGTATCATGTTGTGTTGTGTTGTATCATGTTGTTTTGTGTTGTATCATGTTGTGTTGTGTTGTATCATGTTGTGTTGTATCATGTTGTGTTGTATCATGTTGTGTTGTATCATGTTGTGCTGTATCATGTTGTGTTGTATCATGTTGTGTTGTGTTGTATCATGTTGTGTTGTATCATGGTGTGTTGTGTTGTATCATGTTGTGTTGTATCATGTTGTTTTGTGTTGTATCATGTTGTGTTGTGTTGTGTCACATTGTGTTGTGTTGTGTCACATTGTGTTGTATCATGTTGTGTTGTGTTGTATCATGTTGTGTTGTATCGTGTTGTGTTGTATCATGTTGTGTTGTATCATGTTGTTTTGTGTTGTATCATGTTGTGTTGCATCATGTCGTTTTGTGTTGTATCATGTTGTGTTGTGTTGTATCATGTTGTGTTGTATCATGTTGTTTTGTGTTGTATCATGTTGTGTTGTATCATGTTGTTTTTGTGTTGTATCATGTTGTGTTGTGTTGTATCATGTTGTGTTGTATCATGTTGTTTTGTGTTGTATCATGTTGTGTTGTATCATGTTGTGTTGTGTTGTATCATGTTGTGTTGTATCATGTTGTGTTGTGTTGTATCATGTTGTGTTGTATCATGTTGTGTTGTATCATGTTGTGTTGTATCATGTTGTGTTGTATCGTGTTGTGTTGTATCATGTTGTGTTGTATCATGTTGTGTTGTGTTGTATCTTGTTGTGTTGTGTTGTATCATGTTGTGTTGTGTTGTATCATGTTGTGTTGTATCATGTTGTGTTGTAACAGGTTGTGTTGTGTTGTATCTTGTTGTATCATGTTGTATCGTGTTGTGTTGTATCGTGTTGTGTTGTATCATGTTGTGTTATGTTGTATCGTGTTGAATCATGTTGTGTTGTATCATGTTGTGTTGTAACAGGTTGTGTTATGTTGTATCGTGTTGTATCATGTTGTGTTGTATCATGTTGTGTTGTAACAGGTTGTGTTGTGTTGTATCTTGTTGTATCATGTTGTATCGTGTTATGTTGTATCGTGTTGTGTTGTATCATGTTGTGTTGTATCATGTTGTTTTGTGTTGTATCATGTTGTGTTGTATCATGTTGTGTTGTATCATGTTGTGTTGTATCATGTTGTGTTGTATCATATTGTGTTGTATCATGTTGTGTTGTATCATATTGTGTTGTATAAATTGGAGCCATGCTCACCTGCAGCATGAGTTCGCAGTCGTCTCGGCCGACGAAGATCATCTCCCGGGGCAGACGGTGACGAGTGCCCCCGCTGTTTACCAGGAACCATGATGTGAGACTCATCTCTGCTACGGCTCTACGCTACTCACTCCAACCATATGTCAAACTGAGAGAGAGAGAGAGAGAGAGACGGAAATATAGGGGTAAATTAGGAAAGAAGAAGAGCGAGAGAGAAGAAGTAAAATGTATATACAAAACAGCTCTGTCCCAAAAACATTCTTGCATCCCCCTCAAGCAGAGAGGATCTGGAGTAGCCGTGTGTTGACGGGCGCTAGGTCAGTCTGAGAAAGATACATCCTCCTAGCTGTGTCTACCCTGGTTGGCCCTGATCATTGCCAGATGCTACAGTAAGTAATGTAAGAATCTTGGCTGAGCGTGAGCAACCCACCCCAAGATGCTGTTTCTTCTTCTTCTGTTGGACTGAAAAGGAGGTCAGATAGAGCAGTTCCAAGTTCCAACTGTTCAGGGTTTAGGGCACAACTGCCTGACATACACATGTACAAACCCCCTCCTCCATGACCTCTTGAAAGTCACAACACTGTGAAACATCTTTCATTTACCGTGACTATGGGAAAGGTACCCAACTTACCATTGTTAGTTCCATACTCCCTTCTGCGTGCTGTGTTTAACTGTTTGTTTAAACAGAAATGTCCGGCTACAGAGAGGGTTGCATGCTGACACCAGAAACTGGAAGAGCTCACTGCCATTTTGCAGCCTCTAATGCCAAGTAACGTCAATCATAGGATAGATTAAACACTTAATAATTATCTCAACTTTTACTTCTCTGACCTCTTAAGTAACTCTACTTAATAAATGCTCATTAAAAATACACGAAGGGCTAATTCAATTAGCACAGCAAGAGCAAAATAAACAATTTAAAATCCTTTATTCATGCATTCCTCTTATAAACAAAGGCATTGAAACAAGAGCCAAGTAACCGTGACAATGTGACAGCCCCTCTTCACACTTAGTGATGAGACACTGTTCTCCTGCTCTGCCAAATATTGTATAGTGCTAAAACTGATAGATCTCGCTCCCTCCCAATCCCTCCCAATCCCTCATAGACCCCCCTATCCACCCCTGACCATCAAATAAGCATGCAGTGAATGCACAACTTAATGGTGTATCACTGTGACAGCATGCAGTATCATATTTTATATCTGAGTTATGAGTGCATCTCCCACGTCAGAGTGTTTGCAGAACATGAGCCCAGATTATATGTCTGCCTACAGATTAGCCTGTAAAATATTCCTCAAACGATTTACTGCTTCGGTATTTGTTGGAGTGTTCATGAAAGAGTGCCATTAATATTTGATCATGTTTCAGAGACAAACCCCTTGACACACGGCTTGTTTTCCCACATCTCCAGAATGGACGAAACAGTATTGTAGGTTTTATCTGGGATGTGGTCATGGGTTTTCAATTACTGTACCGATCAATTACTGTACCGATCAATTACTGTCCCGATCAATTACTGTACAGATCAATTACTGTCCCGATCAATTACTGTACCGATCAATTACTGTCCCGATCAATTACTGTCCCGATCAATTACTGTACCGATCAATTACTGTCCCGATCAATTACTGTACAGATCAATTACTGTCACGATCAATTACTGTACCGATCAATTACTGTCCCGATCAATTACTGTACAGATCAATTACTGTACAGATCAATTACTGTACCGATCAATTACTGTACCGATCAATTACTATCCCGATCAAAGAAGAAGCTTTGGCACACTGTAGAAAGTGTTTATTGGGTGCCCATCCTGCACCAAAGGGTTTTATTGTAATATTACCTGACCTTCAACCTTTTGTTCTGTATTCAAAGTAATTCACATTGCTTTGGATGGAGTAGAAAATATGTGTGCATGTGCTTGCCAGTTAGTCTCCCATTTCATACAATTTTAATGAATTTCTGTAATTTCCCAAAAAATATACTGCATAAGAGCCCATATAAAAGGCATATCCTAGTAAGAGTGTTTCAATGTCGAGTTATTTGGTCAAAGGAAGATTAAAATCACCAATTGGGATTAAGAATGACGGAATAACCTTTTCTGTAGCCTACATAGACTGTAGCAGGATAGCATGACTGTGTAGTGTTTCTCCCCACTGGAGCCCAGGAATCAAAGGCCTAACCACAGGGAGTCATTAGTCCAGGAGAAGCCAGCGCAGAATCCAGGGTTATAGAGAATATAACATGGCACAGCACAGCCAGGAGGCTCAGTCCAGCCAGGAGGTACAACCAGGAGGTATCACCAGGAGGCTCAGTACAACCAGGAGGCTCAGTATAGCCATGAGGTACAACCAGGAGGCTCAGTACAGCCATGAGGCTCAGTACAACCAGGAGGCTCAGTACAACCAGGAGGCTCAGTACAACCAGGAGGTACAAACAGGAGGCTCAGTACAACCAGGAGGCTCAGTACAACCAGGAGGCTCAATACAACCACCATAAAGAAAAGCCTCTTAATCCCACATGAAATAGTCTTAACAGCTGGGGAATATACAGGTGTAGGATCTTAATTTGACCAGTATTGTCACAGCAAAATAATCCTGCAGCAACAGGATTTGAATGTTTAGTCCATAATGTTGTTTGATCAGTGGTAAGGCTATTAGCTGGCCAAAAGTAGGCTACATGAAAAGTGCAATACTGTTAATATAACCATGTGTTAATGTGGGTTTTCAGTGAATTTAGGTAAATCACAAAGCTCATCTGCATTTCCTGTGGTGCAGGAAAATTCTCAGCGAGTGATCAAATTAAGGTCCAACATCTGTACTGGGTTAGAGCTGTCTGCCTGTCTGTCTGTCTGTATCTCTCCTGCAGCACACATGCAGCTCTGACAGGACTCAATCCCTGCTAAACGCCTAACCTACAACCCACAACCCACTGCATGCATGCCAATGTTGATTTGCCATTGGCTTAAAGTGGTTGGATCTGGGGGGAGAATGTTTCAAAGGCTGAGACATGAGGCAGGCCTGCAAGCCAGGTGGAACTCTGGCAGAGTAGTCCTCTACACTGCAAGACTTCTAACACTGATTCTGTACAATATGTTGGTCTTGTTTGTAATGTCCTGTGAGGACTGTGGATTGCTAGACAATTTCATGCCATTTCAAAACAGCTGAGTTGTTGCAAAATCCTCATCTCTGCCCCCTTATCATCCTGTAACATCCTTGTTGTGGTTTAAAGGCCCAGTGCAGTCAAAAATGTGATTTCCTTGTGTTTCATGTATATTTCTACACTATGAGTTTGGAATAATACTGTGAAATTGTGAAAATTATGATAATGCCCTTTTAGTGTAAGATTGAAAAGACCGGCTGAAATGTCAGCCTGTTTTGGTGGGAGGGGTGGCGGTGGAAACGCAAATATTGATATAATAACCATCATATCGAAGTAAACTTGGAGTCACGCGATGATATGTTGTGTGGTCCTCCCACGACTCAGGAAACCATGCAGTTGATTAGGCTACAGATTAAATAAATAATGATGAACTTCACAGGGTGGTGAAAGTGTATGGTGATGAGCTTGATGCTCCTTTCCAATAAATATTGAGGGTCTTATACTGGTGACATGATGATCGATGTTTTGGCTACCAATTGACAAATAAAAATAATCTGGCTCTTTTGTCCATAATAATATCATCATGTAGGCTATAGCCGCACTGTATCTGGCAATCTGTTCTCTAGAGCGCACGTGCCAAGACCAGAGTGGGCACATCATATTTTATTGGTCGCATACACATATTTAGCAGATGTTATTGCGAGTGTAGCGAAATGCTTGTGTTCCTAGATCCAACAATGCAGTAATATCTAACAATACACAACAATACATGCAAATCTAAAAGTAAAAGAATGGAATTAAGAAATATAGAAATATTAGGACAAGCAATGTCGGAGTCCGGAGTAGAAATATATATGTGATGGGATGTATAGACATTATGGACAGTATGTGGATAGAATATATAGTATATCTGTAGAATACGTGGATAGAATAGTATATGTACAGCAATAGTTAAATAGGATGGACTTGACTAGAATACAGTATATACATATGAAATGGGTAAAACAGTGTGCAAACATTATTAGTGACCAGTGTTACATTATTAAAGTGACCAGTGTTCCATGACTATGTACATAGGGCAGCAGCCTCTAGGATGCAGGGATGAGTAACTGGGTGTTAGCCGGCTAGTGACAGTGACTAAGTTCAGGGCAGGGTACTGGGTGAGGCCGGCTAGTGATGGCTATTTAACAGTCTGATGGCCTTGAGATAGAAGCTGTTTCTGAGTCTCTCAGTCCTAGCTTTGATGCACCTGTACTGACCTCGCCTTCTGGGTGATAGCGGGGTGAACAGGGCGTGGCTCGGGTGGCTGAGGTCCTTGAGGAACTTTTTGGCCTTCCTTTGACACCGGGTGCTGTAGATGTCCTGAAGGGCAGGCAGTGTGCTCCCAGTGATACAATGGGCTGACCGCACCAACCTCTGGAGAGCCCTGCGGTTGTGGACAGTGCAGTTGCCGTACCAGGCGGTGATACAGCCTGACAGGATGTACTCAATGGTGCATCTGTAAAGGGTCTTTGTGGGGGTCTTAGGGGCCAAGCCAAATGTCTTCAGCCATTTTAGATTGTCAGTGATTTGTACGCCGAAGAACTTGATACTTTTCACCTCCACTGCGGCCCCATCGATGTGGATAGGGGGGTGCTCCCTCTGCTGTCACCTGAAGTCCACGATGAGCTCCTTCGTTTTGTTGACGTTGAGGGAGAGGTTATTTTCCTGGCACCACTCCGCCAGGGCCCTCACCTACTCCCTTTACGCTGTCTCGTCGTTGTTGGTAATAAGGCCTACCACTGTTGTGTCGTCTGCAAACTTGATGATTGCGTTGGAGGCGTGCTTGGCCACGCAGTCATGGGTGAACAGGGAGTACAGGAGGGGGCTGAGCACGCACCCTTGTGGGGCCCCTGTGTTGAGGATCAGCGTAGTGGAGGTGTTGTTTCCTACCTTCACCACCTGGGGGCGGCCCGTCAGGAAGTCCAGGACCCAGTTGCGTAGGGCAGGGTTCAGACCCAGGGCCCCAAGCTTAATGATGAGCTTGGAGGGTACTATGGTGTTGAAGGCTGAGCTGTAGTCAATGAACAGCATTCTTACATAGGTATTCCTCTTGTCCAGATGGGATAGGGCAGTGTGCAGTGCAATGGCGATTGCATCATCTGTGGATCTATTGGGGTGGTATGCAGATTGCAGTGGGTCTAGGGTGTTGGGTAAGGTGGAGGTGATATGATCCTTAACTAGCTTTTCAAAGCACTTCATGATGGCAGAAGTGAGTGCTACGGGACCATAGTCATTTATTTCAGTTACCATCACTTTCTTGGGTACAAGAATAATGGTGGACATCTTGAGGCAAGTGGGGACAGCAGACTGGGATAGGGAGAGATTGAATATGTCTGTAAACACTCCAGCCAGCTGGTCTGTGCATGGCTAGGGATGCCGTCTACGCACGGCTAGGGATGACGTCTGGGCCGACAGCCTTGCGAGGGTTAACACACTTGAACGTCTTACTCACGTCGGCCACAGAGAGCGAGAGCTCACAGTCCTCGGGAGCGGCCCGTGTCGGCGGCACTGTGTTATCCTCAAAGCGGGCGAAGAAAGTGTTTAGCTTGTCCGGGAGCAAGACATCGGTGTCCGCGACGTGGCTGGTTTTCCCTTTATAATCCGTGATTGTCTGGAGTCCCTGCCATGTCTCAGCCATTGAATTGCGACTCCACTTTGTCTCTATACTGACTGTTTTGCCTGTTTGATTGCCTTACGGAGGGCATAACTGCACTGTTTGTATTTGATCATATTCCCATTCACCTTGCCGTGGTTAAATGCGATAGTTCACGCTTTCAGTTTTGCGCGAATGCTGCCATCTATCCACGGTTTTTGGTTTGGATAGGTTTTAATCGTCAAAGTGGGAACAACATCCCCTATACACTTCCTGATGAACTCAGTCAGAAGATTCTCTAGGGAGATAATGCAGTCTGCATTTTATTGTGAAGTATTCTAGGTCGGGTGAACAAAAGGACTTGAGTTCCTGTACGTTACCACAATCACACCATGAGTAGTTAATCATGAAACATACACCTCCGCCTTTCTTCTTACCGGAGAGTTCTTTATTCCTATCCGCACGATGTATTGAAAACCCAGCTGACTGAATGGACGGGGATAGTATATCCGGAGAGAGCCATGACTCTGTGAAACAGAGTATGTTACAGTCCCTGATGTCTCTCTGGAAGGAGATCCTCACCCTGAGCTCGTCAACTTTATTGTCCAGGGACTGAACATTAGCGAGTAATATACTTGGAAGCGGTGGATGGTGTGTACGCCTCCAGAGTCGGACTAAAAGTCCACTCCAAATACCTCTTCTCCGCCGATGGTGTCTTGGAGCTGCCTCTGGGATAAGTTCAATCGCCTTGGAAGGTACGAACAAAGGATCCAATTCAGGAAAGTCGTATTCCTGGTCGAAATGCTGGTGAGTTACCGCCTTTCTGATATCCAAAAGTTATTTCCGGCTGTATGTAATAATGCAAAGGACGTTCTGGGCTAATAACCTGAGGAATAACATTAAAAATAATATTGTCAATTTGCTTAGGAGCCTGAAACCAGGCGGCCATGTCTATCCGTGCCATCTGCAATGACTCATTTATATCACGCAAAGGTTTTTGTGACAAAATCATCACTAGAGTTGAAAACACATTTCACTTGTATTTTTTTTCAGTACTTAATTGTTACCCAGAAATGATTTGATAATAAGATACAAACTGCTGCATTGGACCTTTAAGGAATAACTTCATGGTTTTGGCTGGTAGAAAGCCCATCTCCCCCCTATTTTCCACTAAGCCAGGTACTCTCATAAGATTTCACAATATTTATGATTAGCTGTTACATATTTCTTCCTCTGGCAGATAAACACACCCTTTTAAACAATTCAGAGTCAGACACTAACTAGAGGTAAGAGACAGAACTAGTCTGTTTGGTAACATCGCTAACAGACCAGACACTAACTAGAGGTAAGAGACAGAACTAGTCTGTTTGGTAACATCGCTAATAGACCAGACACTAACTAGAGGTAAGAGACAGAACTAGTCTGTTTGGTAACATCGCTAACAGACCAGACACTAACTAGAGGTAAGAGACAGAACTAGTCTGTTTGGTAACATCGCTAACAGACCAGACACTAACTAGAGGTAAGAGACAGAACTAGTCTGTTTGGTAACATCGCTAATAGACCAGACACTAACTAGAGGTAAGAGACAGAACTAGTCTGTTGGTAACATTGCTAACAGACCAGACACTAACTAGAGGTAAGAGACAGAACTAGTCTGTTTGGTAACATCGCTAACAGACCAGACACTAACTAGAGGTAAGAGACAGAACTAGTCTGTTTGGTAACATCGCTAATAGACCAGACACTAACTAGAGGTAAGAGACAGAACTAGTCTGTTTGGTAACATCGCTAATAGACCAGACACTAACTAGAGGTAAGAGACAGAACTAGTATGTTGGTAACATCGCTAACAGACCAGACACTAACTAGAGGTAAGAGACAGAACTAGTCTGTTTGGTAACATCGCTAACCGATCAGACACTAACTAAAGTCTATTAATCTAAAGTGGAAGTTGGGAGAGTTATATTTGAGTGTTTCAGTGAAACGTGAGGGAGGCCCCGCTCTCTCGCTTTCCCAGATGCTTAGTTAATTTCATTACGATCTCCTTTGCATTATTGTAGCCTTTTCTGTAGCCTGTCAACTATGTGTCTGTCTATCCCTGTTCCCTCCTCTCCGCACAGGCTATACAAACGCTTAGAGTGGCACCCCAATGGTGGAACAAGCTCCCTCATGACGCCAGGACATCGGAGTCACTGACCACCTTCCGGAGACACTTGAAACCCTACCTCTTTAAGGAATACCTGGGATAGTATAAAAGTAATCCTTCTACCCACCCCCACAAAAATAAATAAATAAATTTTAAAAAACAAAATAAAAAAACAATATATATATATAAAACAAATGAAAATTAAAAATATACTCTAAAAATTAAAAAAAAAAAAACTTTGAAAACTATACAAAAAATTAATTGTAAAGTGGTTGTCCCATTGGCTATCATAAGGTGAATGCACCAATTTGTAAGTCGCTCTGGATAAGAGCATCTGCTAAATGACGTAAATGTAAATGTAGTATGGTGCTCTCATTCCAGCCATTCAAAATCCTTCCCTCCTCTCTAAGCCAATCATATGTCAGGCTCCCTCTGAGAGGAAGTGACATTGGAAGGGAGCGTTCTCTTCCGGGTGTCTCTAATGTGTTTCCCTCCTGTGACCATGGATCCTCCACGTAGCGCCATGGCCACATGATGCAACAGTCCCTCAGCCACCTTACCCCATCATAGGCCAGGGCTACTGACTCAGCCCACCTATCACAGCCAGCTGCACACACACACACAATAATGCATAGGCAATCTGTGCACTCCCACATACAGTGGGGAAAAAAAGTATTTAGTCAGCCACCAATTGTGCAAGTTCTCCCACTTAAAAAGATGAGAGAGGCCTGTAATTTTCATCATAGGTACACGTCAACTATGACAGACAAAATGAGGACAAAAAACCCAGAAAATCACATTGTAGGATTTTTTATGAATTTATTTGCAAATTATGGTGGAAAATAAGTATTTGGTCACCTACAAACAAGCAAGATTTCTGGCTCTCACAGACCTGTAACTTCTTCTTTAAGAGGCTCCTCTGTCCTCCACTCGTTACCTGTATTAATGGCACCTGTTTGGACTTGTTATCAGTATAAAATACACCTGTCCACAACCTCAAACAGTCACACTCCAAACTCCACTATGGCCAAGACCAAAGACCTGTCAAAGGACACCAGAAACAAAATTGTAGACCTGCACCAGGCTGGGAAGACTGAATCTGCAATAGGTGAGCAGCTTGGTTTGAAGAAATCAACTGTGGGGGCAATTATTAGGAAATGGAAGACATACAAGACCACTGATAATCTCCCTCGATCTGGGGCTCCACGCAAGATCTCACCCCGTGGGGTCAAAATGATCACAAGAACGGTGAGCAAAAATCCCAGATCCACACGGGGGGACCTTGTGAATGACCTGCAGAGAGCTGGGACCAAAGTAACAAAGCCTACCATCAGTAACACACTACGCCGCCAGGGACTCAAATCCTGCAGTGCCAGACGTGTCCCCCTGCTTAAGCCAGTACATGTCCAGGCCCGTCTGAAGTTTGCTAGAGTGCATTTGGATGATCCAGAAGAGGATTGGGAGAATGTCATATGGTCAGATGAAACCAAAATAGAACTTTTTGGTAAAAACTCAACTCGTCGTGTTTGGAGGACAAAGAATGCTGAGTTGCATCCAAAGAACACCATACCTACTGTGAAGCATGGGGGTGGAAACATCATGCTTTGCGGCTGTTTTTCTGCAAAGGGACCAGGACGACTGATCCGTGTAAAGGAAAGAATGAATGGGGCCATGTATCGTGAGATTTTGAGTGAAAACCTCCTTCCATCAGCAAGGGCATTGAATATGAAACGTGGCTGGGTCTTTCAGCATGACAATGATCCCAAACACACCGCCCGGGCAACGAAGGAGTGGCTTCGTAAGAAGCATTTCAAGGTCCTGGAGTGGCCTAGCCAGTCTCCAGATCTCAACCCCATAGAAAATCTTTGGAGGGAGTTGAAAGTCTGTGTTGCCCAGCGACAGCCCCAAAACATCACTGCTCTAGAGGAGATCTGCATGGAGGAATGGGCCAAAATACCAGCAACAGTGTGTGAGAACCTTGTGAAGACTTACAGAAAACGTTTGACCTGTGTCATTGCCAACAAAGGGTATATAACAAAGTATTGAGAAACTTTTGTTATTGACCAAATACTTATTTTCCACCATAATTTGCAAATAAATTCATAAAAAATCCTACAATGTGATTTTCTGGAGAAAAAAAAATCTCATTTTGTCTGTCATAGTTGACGTGTACCTATGATGAAAATTACAGGCCTCTCTCATCTTTTTAAGTGGGAGAACTTGCACAATTGGTGGCTGACTAAATACTTTTTTCCCCCCACTGTATATCCAAGATGCTGAGGCAGGTGTTTCAGTAAAGGCTGCCATGTAAAATGTGGCCTATTGTCAACTAAAATGAACTAGATTGTAAAACGTCATAAATAAATGACTTGTCTGATCTTCTTCTTTGATTCAGCAGGCCCAGAGCCAATGAGAGCCCTTTACTTTGATAAATGGCTGCATCGACAGTCAGAAAGCATAGGGAGGCAAGCCCAGGGCAATAAACAACAAAAAGGACTGCATCAACCAGGATAAAACAAGGTAGTATTCTGGTCCCAGATGACTGCACTATTATTTACAGACATGCCAGACCAGGCCAGACCAGACCAGCAGACAGAGAGGTATATATCTGACTCTTCACAAAAGGAGAGATCAAACACAAGGATCCTTTCTTTAAACGACGTACAGCTAGGCTGCACAGCACTCCCATCTAACTCTTTTATGTTTTTGGTATGGAAGTGATTACTCATCACTAGCAGGCTACATTTTATATAACCACAAAATCGATTGATCTTGTGTATCCATTCCTTGATGGTGTCATGGCCTCAGACACCATCCCTTGCTAATATTAGACCTGATAACAATACAAACAGATATCGCAGACACTGGCTTTGCACACTCTTGGCATTCACTCAACCAGTGCCGTGTCTTTGTGAGACGCAGAGTAGGTGAACGGATGATCATGTGTGGTTCCCACCGTGAAGCATGGAGGAGGAGGTGTGATGGTGTGGGGGTGCTTTGCTGGTGACACTGTCTGTGATTTATTTAGAATTCAAGGCACACTTAATCAGCATGGCTACCACAGCATTCTGCAGCGATATGCCATCCCATCTGGTTTACGCTTAGTGGGACTATCATTTGTTTTTCAACAGGACAATGACCCAACAGACCTACAGGCTGTGTAAGGGCTATTTGACCAAGAAGGCGAGTGATGGAGTGCTGCATCAGATGACCTGGCCTCCACAATCACCTGACCTCAACCCAATTGAGATGGTTTGGGATGAATTGGACCGCAGAGTGAAGTAAAAGCAGCCAACAAGTGCTCAGCATATGTGGGAACTCCTTCAAGACTGTTGGAAAAGCATTCCAGGTGAAGCTGGTTGAGAGAATGCCAAGAGTGTGCAAAGCTGTCATCAAGGCAAAGGGTGGCTACTTTCAAGAATCTCAAATATAAAATATATTTTGATTTGTTTAACACTTTTTTGGTTACTACATGATTCCATATGTGTTATTTCATAGTTTTGATGTCTTCACTATTATTGTACAATGTAGAAAATAGTAAAAAATAAAGAAAAACCCTTGAATTAGTACGTGTGTCCAAACTTTTGACTGGTACTGTCACGCCCTGACTCTGGGGACTCTTATTTGTTGAGTCAGGGTGTGATTTTCTATGTTGTATTTTCTATGTTTGGATCTAGTATGTCTAGATCTATGTTGGCCGGTGTGGTTCCCAATCAGAGGCAGCTGTCGCTCGTTGTCTCTGATTGGGGACCATACTTAGGCAGCCTATTGGCACTAGTGGGATGTGGGATCTTGTTCCGTATGAGGTATGTTGTTGGTGTCTACCTTGGACTTCACGTTTCGTTTCGTTTATTGTTTTGTCGAGTGTTTATTAAGTTTAAATAAACATGTATGCATATCACGCTGCGCCTTGGTCTGACCCGTCCATGAACGAACATGACAGAAGATCCCACCAAACGAGGACCAAGCAGCGTGCCCAGGCGGAGCGAATAGCCATGTCACAGGTGGGCAAATTGTGGTCATGGGAAGAGATATTCGCGGGGAAAGGACCATGGGCTAAGGTAGATAGATGCCCACGCAGGAGAGGAGCAACGGCAACACGGAGGAGGCCGGTCGAGGAGGAAGCCCGAGAAGCAGCCCCAAGAAAATGTTGGGGGGGGGGGGGGCACACGGGGTGGTTGGCGGAGCCTAGGGTTAGAGCAGAGCCAACTCCCCGTACTCACGCGAGGAAGCGTATGACTGGGCAGGCTCCGTGTTATACCGAGCTACGTACTGTGTCGCCAGTGCGCCGGCACAGAGCTGTACGTCCTGTGCTTGCACCACGCACGTGCCGTGCGAAGATGGGCATCCAGCCAGGACGGGGTGTGCCGGCTCAACGCTCTTGGTCTCCAGTACGCCTCCTCGGTCCCGCATATCCTGCGCCAGTTCTACGAACTGTACCGCCAGTGCGCGTGCACAGCCCAGTGCGTCCTGTGCCAGCGCCCCACACGTGTAGTGCGAAAGTGGGCAGCCAGCCAGGACGGGTTGTGCCAGCTCTCCGCTCCAGACCTCCAGTTCGCCTTCACAGTCCGGTCCGGCCCGTTCCTGCTCCTCGCACCAAGCTAGTGGTGCGCGTCGCCAGCCCGGTCCGGCCTGTTCCTGCTCCTCGCACCAAACCAGTGGTGCGTGTTCCCAGCCCGGCCCGGCCTGTTCCTGCTCCTCGCACCAAGCCAGTGGTGCATGTTCCTAGTCCGGTTCGGCCCGTGCCTGCTCCTCGCACCAGACCAGTGGTGAGTGTGTCCAGTCCGGCACGGCCCGTGCCCGTTCCACCGGTGCCTGGTCCGGCACCAGTCAGCAGCTCCAGTCCGGAGCCAGAGTAGTCCGCTCCACCGGTGCCTGATCCAGCTCCGGTCAGCTGCTCCACTCCGGAGCCAGAGCAGTCCACTCCAACGGGGTCCAGTCCAGCTCCGGTCAGCGGCTCCACTCCGGAGCCAGAGCAGTCCGCTCCACCGGTGCCTGATCCAGCTCCGGTCAGCGGCTCCACTCCGGAGCTAGAGCAGTCCGCTCCAACGGGGTCAAATCCAGATCCGGTCAGCGGCTCCACTCCGGAGCCAGAGCAGTCCGCTCCACCGGTGCCCAATCCAGCTCCGGTCAGCGGCTCCAGTCCGGAGCCTGAGGAGTCCGCTCCACCGGTGCCCGGTCCAGCTCCGGTCAGCGGCTCCAGTCCAGACCCAGACGTCAGCCCCTCTCCAGGTTCGGGGTCTCCCACACCAGGGTCCAGACAGGGCTTGGAGTATAGTGGGAGGAAGGAGAGGGGAAGCAGCACGCCGAGGTCCAGACCAGACCAGGGGCGCAACAGGGAGGCGGAGAATAGGTGGTTGTCACGCCCGGAGCCGGATCCGCCTCCGAGGCGGAATGCCCACCCGGCCCCTACCCTGTTAAGTAAAGGTTGTGCGGTCGGAGTCAGAACAAAATAACTATCATAGCACTTAGATGGTTGTCTAGGTGAGATAAACTACCAGTCAAAAGTTTGGACACACCTACTCATTCAAGGGTTTCTCTTTATTTTTACTATTTTTTACATTGTAGAATAAAAGTGAAGACATCAAAACTATGAAATAACACATATGGAATCATATAGTAACCAAAAAAGTGTTAAACAAATCTAAATATATTTTATATTTGAGATTCTTCAAATAGCCACCCTTTGCCTCGATGACAGCTTTGCACACTCTTGGCATTCTCTCAACCAGCTTCAAGAGTTAGTCACCTGGAATACATTTCAATTAACAGGTGTGCCTTGTTAAAAGTTAATTTGTGACAGCACGTAGACAGCACGTAGACAGCACATAGACAGCACCCAGACATCACATAGACAACACGTAGTCAGCACATAGACAGCACCCAGACAGCACCCAGCACAACATGTAGACAGCACATAGACAGCACCCAGACAGCACATAGACAGCATATAGACAGCACAAAGACATCACATAGACAGCACCCAGACAGCACGTAGACAGCACCCAGACAGCACATAGCCAGCACCCAGACATCACATAGACAACATGTAGACATCACATAGACAGCACCCAGACAGCACATAGACAACACATAGACAGCACATAGAAAGCACCCAGACAGCACCCAGACAGCACACAGACAGCACATAGACAGCACCCAGACAGCACATAGACAGCACATAGACAACACGTAGACAGCACCCAGACAGCACAAAGACATCACATAGACAGCACCCAGACAGCACGTAGACAGCACCCAGACAGCACATAGCCAGCACCCAGACATCACATAGACAACATGTAGACATCACATAGACAGCACCCAGACAGCACATAGACAGCACCCAGACAGCATATAGACAGCACCCAGACAGCACATAGACAACATGTAGACAGCACCCAGACAGCTTCAGATTCCAAACTCTCCACCATGGCCAAGACCAAAGAGCTCTCCAAGGATGTCAGGGACAAGATTGTAGCCCTAAACAAGGCTGTAATGGGCTACAAGACCATCGCCAAGCAGCTTGGTGAGAAGGTGACAACAGTTAGTGTGATTATTTGCACGTGGAAGAAACACAAAAGTACTGTCAATCTCCCTCAGCCTGGGGCTCCATGCAAGATCTCACCTTGTGGAGTTGCAATGATCATGAGAACGGTGAGGAATCAGCCCAGAACTACACGGGAGGATCTTGTCAATGATCTCAAGGCAGCTGGGACCATAGTCACCAAGAAAACAATTGGTAACACACTACGCCGTGAAGGACTGAAATCCTGCAGCGCCCGCAAGGTCCCCCTGCTCAAGAAAGCACATATACAGGGCCGACTGAAGTTTGCCAATGAACATCTGAATGATTCAGAGGAGAACTGGGTGAAAGTGTTGTGGTCAGATGAGACCGAAATCGAGCTCTTTGGCATCAGCTCAACTCCCTGTGTTTGGAGGAGGAGGAATGCTGCCTATGACCCCAAGAACACCATCCCCACCGTCAAACATGGAGGTGGAAATATTATGCTTTGGGGGTGTTTTTCTGCTAAGGGGACACAACAACTTCACCGCATCAAAGAGACGATGGACGGGTCCATGTACCGTCAAATCTTGGGTGAGAACCTCCTTCCCTCAGCCAGGGTATTGAAAATGGGTCGTGGATGGGTATTCCAGCATGACAATGACCCAAAACACACGGCCAAGGCAACAAAGGAGTGGCTCAAGAAGGAGCACATTAAGGTCCTGGAGTGGCCTAGCCAGTCTCCAGACCTTAATCGCATAGAAAATCTGTGGAGGGAGCTGAAGGTTCGAGTTGCCAAACGTCAGCCTCGAAACCTTAATGACTTGGAGAAGATCTGCAAAGAGGAGTGGAACAAAATCCCTCCTGAGATGTGTGCAAACCTGGTGGCCAACTACAAGAAACCTCTGACCTCTGTGATTGCCAACAAGGGTTTTGCCACCAAGTACTAAATCATGTTATGCAGAGGTCACATACTTATTTCCCTCATTAAAATGCAAATCAATTTATAACATTTTTGACATGCGGTTTTCTGATTTTTGTTGTTGTTATTCTGTCTCTCACTGTTCAAATAAACCTACCATTAAAATTATAGACTGATCATGTCTTTGTCAGTGGGCAAACATACAAAATTAGCAGGGGATCAAATACTTTTTTCCCTCACTGTAGACAGCACCCAGACAGCACATAGTCAGCACCCAGACAGCAGGTAGACAGCACATACACAACACGTAGACAGCACCCAGACAGCACCCAGACAGCACGTAGACAGCACCCAGACAGCATGTAGACAGCACCCAGACAGAACGTAGACAGCACCCAGACAGCACATAGACAGCACCCAGACAGCACATAGACAGCACCCAGACAGCACATAGACAGCACCCAGACAGCACATAGACAAGACATCTATCACTTTAGCAGCTGGTGAGAAAAACCAAACCCTGCAATAATCCTGCATCCTAAACTCAGCCTGATTTTGATCAGTATGTAAAGCCTTATTTAATGCACATGCTCATTGAACTTAATGATCCATATGACCTAGATATGGAAATAAATGCTGGAAGTACTGTTTTACTCAGATAGGCTTCACTGTATAGACTTAATTGATGCCTGTAATACTATTGATACTAACATGTCTTACAGTACATGTTTAGGTGCAGCACGGCTTACTTGTTTACATTACAAATAGCAATGAAAACTTATATTCAACTGAGTCCCAATTGGGCATCCATTCACATCCATTCACATCCATTCACATCCATTCAAATCCATTCACATCAAACAATAGATCCCCATTGTCCTTTTACAATGTCATTGATAGATGTTCATAGAAATCCCTAATTCAACCGTTTAACATAACATACTGCCTCAAGTAGTGGTAGCCTTCTGAAAAGCAGCACGGAAAAATGACCAGCTATGAGCTATTAGCTATATATTATATAATAATCATTATTATTACTATTATTAATCATCTTATTATTATTATAAGCTATATTGATATAGGTCACTGGTGATGTAGCACACATGCATCATTGTCATGCTGGATTTAATCATAAAATTTTCTAGGGATATGAGGAACATGCACTAATGGTGCCAGACATAAGCATCAATGTGGACATCAAGGATTTATTTTATCAATAGTTAACATGGGACACTGAATTCATTGGTCACAGTCATGCACCATCTAGGTCATGCACCATCTAGGATCTGGTCCATACAGGGCGGTAGCAGTGAAAGGAGGCAAAATTTCTCCAGACACAAAAGTACATGTATGTTGGTTCAGTAAACACACTGACCACAGCCAGTGAGGCTGAAACATTAACTCTACCTTACTAGTGACATTAGCACTTGACTAGCCATGCCAAGTTAACTATGACACCACCTCTAATGTTGTCCAGAGATAACCTTCCTATTTTCACAGAACAATAAAAATAGCCATGTCGCTCACACAGAAACAGAGACTGGCACATGGAAAGATATCATCCATACTGGCAAAGACAATAGGCCAATGTCACACCCCAAAACGGATGTGAAGTAGATTGCATATTATTTGAGACACTTATTCTACATGTGGAAAAAGTGGACGCTGTTGTTGTTCTATAACATAGCTGATGAAATAGATGAAAAGTAGCCTACCTATGGTATAACTCAAATGATCCCTCTCCTTGAAAACAAGAGGCCATTATTCTTTCAGGCAATTAGCCCATAAACCTCTATTAAATACAGACCTGGTAGAAGCTTCAGTTCTATTCTTAGTGTGTATAACAACGCTAATATAACAACACTGAAAAGGGAACTGGCCTCATGGCAGTGTCTATGGTAGAGTGAAGCAGGCAGGGTTTCATGAACAACATACAAAATGCCATAGTAAAGTGAACTCATTTCCCAAGCTTCCTCTTGGCTATTAAGATACAATGGCAGGGCCGGACAACAAAGTCCTCAAACAGAAAAAAATGAAGTTATTATTTAAAAAAACACCCTCCATAAACATTGTTGTTACCAGGAGGTCATTGAGACTAGACTCCAAAAAGAGCTTCATGAGTGGCATGATAACCTTGATAATAATGTACAGTATACTGTATAATTGATGCAGAACTATATTTAAAGTATTCTAACTACAGCATGGTCAAATGTGTCAGTACTTAGGCATAGGCTACTTCTGTGTGCTGCCTGTCCTGTCATCCAATGAGTCTGACACATCTGCCTACAACCAGCGGTTACAGTTGGAGGAGTGCTGGCTATGATTATCAGTGACACAGGTCCAACACTTGAATTCCTGCAGGAAGAGACAACCATCCAAAAGCAGATGATCACTGTCCCGCTCTCAAAGAATACCAGTCTGTTTCACACAGACAAATGGCTGTTTAATGCAGGAGCTGTACCAGAAGTTCTGTATAGCTTTAATAAATCGGTTTAAAGTTCTAGCTATTATTGCCAATCAATTTGTCTGACTATTGTGTTTATAAAAGGTTTATATAGTATTATTTCACAGACCACCGCCTGCCTGATTCACATTAGTTTATCACTTTTCATGAGCATATGGACAAAGCAAAATCTCGAGCTTTTCTGATAAAAAAAGAGAGAGCTCTAACCAAAACACCCCTCTAATTAATTCATGGGAGTTTGACATTAGGTGACATCTTGAAAGAGGTTCGAGATTGTCTCATGGAGAGGACTATTCAGATGCATTGGCAGCACTTTTTAAGTTGAAGTCTTGTGTGGTGAAAAAAACCTATACATTACACAAAGAGAGCGGATGCGAAGTAAACCAGGTCACTGAGGCAAGCTGTCTGGCTTGAAAATAAAGCCCCCACACTACAGAAAACACATCTCGGGAAAGAAACAACTAACCGAAAATAAATGGCTATTCCCAGAAAAACCCTCTGACATTACAAATAGACGAACCAATCTGATGAAAGCCCCGGGCTGTAACCTCCACTGATTTAACTGGGAACTACAGGACATTCCGATTCCCGACCGGTCCAGCACTGCCTAGCCTGAGCATAGCCTGGTTGGCTAAAGCTAAAGGCAAGCGTTAGACTATCAAATTGTATCAACTAAAGGAAATTTAGCAAATAATCAAACTTTACAGTAGCTACAGTTCAGCGTTATCTTTATTACTTCTAGGATACACAGTAGCCGATTACATGTCAAGGGATATTTGCAACAATGCAGCAAGCCCACAAAAGCTGGAGAAGTGGTCATGCATGCAGCATGACAATACACTGCCACTAGCCTAGCCAGTCTCACTACCTTTTCTCTCTCTACATATCGTTAGCCAATAAAACATCAGCCTTTATAGGCTAATCATTCTGCACAGGTCCATTGTGAATGTTGAGTTGTATAATTTAGGCCTTACTTTCAACTGTTCTTTCATAATACACAAATATGCCCTGGAATTAAAACGTTGTAGCCTATTTTATCATGGTTCCAGTTACATTGTCAGAAAGTAGGCCTAAAAACAGAAAAGGTAGAGTGGGAATTCCAAGATCTGCATTTATTTATTCATTTGTACAGTTGGTTTACTTGGAAGCAATACAACATTCTCTCCAAGACAATCATACAGCTGTGGAAAACGTTTTATTATCATGCATTTCTCACTTACCCTTTCTTTACTGCTCTATTTGGCTGGCTTTTATGGTGGAGGCTTGCAATATCCAATGGAACTGTACATTGATCTCGGTGCCCAGACCTAGTAGCCTATGTGCGTTGGTCTTCTCTCAGTTGCTCAGCTATAACGCTTTTCCTTACAAATAGCAGTTTCCAACATCCTCCACGAGTCGCCAGCGTCTGCAGTTCCAGCTCGACCCGGTGGGCGTGTTTTTCCAGATTGATTGGAAAATACAATAAATGCAACTATGAAAAACCAAAGATGTTCCAAAATATTGTGACATTCTGCTAATAAATTCGATACATATTTATTAGTGTACATTGTTTTGGCCGAATAAAAGCTATTTTATGTGATATGTGAAGGCTGATCTCGCGATCATACCAATCTGATAGGCTTACCAACGCGATATTGTGGTTGTAGTTTATTTTTATTTTAAACCGTTCAACAAAAGTTGGGCATCACAAAAAAACTACAAGTTCCAAGGCCCATTGCTTGGTTTACGGAAATATTTGATTTTACCCCCACAGAGAGCCAACCGCAGCATCCAGCAGCTCAGCAGTGCACTGGCAGAGCCCAGCTCCGATGCAGAAGGCATGCAACCAGGCAGGGCTGGAGACACAGACAGCACGGCTGGAGAGGACTCAGGAACCACAACCCCACTCACTGCCTGTGATCAATGTCATCACTTCAGTCCCAGAGACCAGCGGTCTCCAACCCCAGTCCTGGAAAGCTACTGGGTGTGCAGGCTTTCATTCCAGCCGTGCAGTAACACACCTAGCTAATTTAACTAATCATAGTCCAGATTGAGGAGTCTCATACTCCATACTCAGGACTATGGTTAGCTGAATTCTTTAATCAGATGTGTAAGGGATGGGCTGGAGCAAAAACCTGCTCCCCTATTGCTGCTCTCCAGGACTGGAGTTGGAGAACCCTGCAATAGACACAAAGCATCATGGATCAGGGCGATTCCATGCCAGGATAGACCGAAAATATTTTTGGTATCTCGGATTGTCCTGGCAATTCTCGTGTAGAAACTTCACTGGGTGGATCGATGTTTGATATGCCTTTTACATTTGTAACACACCATTTTTGAGAAAATCATTAATAAAGTGGCCATCTTCGGCCCCTTTTAGATCTATACATGTTTCCTGTACAACCCAATGATCTGTGAACCATACATGATAAAGACAACAACTTGGTGTCATTGTGCTGCTCATAGTGTACTTTATTTGCAGAAGCTTTTATGTGAGAATTACCAGAACAGTCTGAGATACCAAAAATATTTTCTGGCCATGCTGGCGTGGAATCATCCATCAGCACTGATTTCCCAGAATAACATGCTCACTTCATTATACATCTCCATGGATGTTTTGTAACTAGTTTTACCTTTGTATTTGTACAGGTACATATACTAATGAATTATTTTGTGTTTCAGTCAATCAGCTGCGATCACTCCTGCAAAAGAAACAAAAATAGAAACTTTTCCTTCAAAGAGAAAATATTTTCCAAAGGTACTATCTTCAAGACTATGCATAAGCATCTATGATAAGACCTAAGACAATTAACACAACACAAATGTCTAGATGTCCTTTCCCTTTATTAGCCTACATAGATCAGATGAACTCAACTTAATCAATTCCATCCTAGGGCAATATATTTATTGATCACCAAAAAACACTGCATTATTGAGTTCAGACACTGGTGGTGTGGCAGACTAACTAGGTTTTTCCACCGATTTTGGTGGGTGCAGCAGTGTTATTGGCCCATTGTGAACGTGTTCATGACTAACACAGGCAATCCCTCTTTAATCCATTTTACCAGAGTTTATCAAGATGATGTGAGCTCTAGCATGCCTGCCGTTCAAGACCTGGTCCCCATTCTGCACAACCAATCAGAGTACATCCAGCACCTGGAGGCAGAGGTCAAGTTCTGCAAGGTCTGTCTGTCTGATAAGTGCACCTAAGAGTCTCGTTACCACTGACTCTCATGAAAGTTCTTCTTACTCAATTTATTCACCAATGGATATTCATGACATGTTCATCTTGTTGGACATTTATAACCCACAAAGATTCTACCAGTGTCTACTGTCCTAAGAAACCAAAGTTGTTTGTAGGTCTGTGTATTTGTTGTTGTTTGTGACTGTGTATCTGTTGTTTATGACTGTGTATCTGTTGTTGTTTGTGACTGTGTATCTGTTGTTTATGACTGTGTATCTGTTGTTGTTTGGGACTGTGTATCTGTTTGTGACTGTAGCTGTTGTTGTTTGTCACTGTAGCTGTATCTGGGTGGGGCCAAGAGTACTAATCTAGAGGAAGTCTTTGGAGCTGGTCAAAATAGGATACCATCTTATCCCAGGTGGAATACAATGTTGGTGACCCTCAAATGGTATACGTTTTTCTAACTTTAGGAATAGCATCAAATCTTTGAGCCAAAGAGAGGTTAAGGGAGGATTGACACATTTCCAATCCAATAAAATCCTTCTGTGGGCTAACAAGGGGTGCGTGCTCAGTCCCCTCCTGTACTCTCTGTTCACCCATGACTGCATGGCCAGGCACGACTCCAACACCATCATTAAGTTTGCCGACGACACAACAGTGGTAGGCCTGATCACCGACAACCATGAGACAGCCTATAGGGAGGAGGTCAGAGATCTGGCCGTGTGGTGCCAGGACAACAACCTCTCCCTCAACGTGACCAAGACAAAGGAGATGATTGTGGACTACAGGAAAAAAAAGAGGACTGAGCACGCCCCCATTCTCATCGACGGGGCTGTAGTGGAACAGGTTGAGAGCTTCAAGTTCCTTGGTGTCCACATCACCAACGAACTATCATGGTCCAAACACACCAAGACAGTCGTGAAGAGGGCACGACAAAGCCTATTCCCCCTCAGGAGACTAAAAAGATTTGGCATGGGTCCTCAGATCCTCAAAAAATTCTACAGCTGCACCATCGAGAGCATCTTGACTGGTTGCATCACCGCCTGGTATGGCAACAGCTTGGCCTCTGACCGCAAGGCACTACAGAGGGTAGTGCGTACGGCCCAGTACATCACTGGGGCAAAGCTCCCTGCCATCCAGGACCTCTATACCAGGCGGTGTCAGAGGAAGGCCCTCAAAATTGTCAAAGACTCCAGCCACCCTAGTCATAGACTGTTCTCTCTGCTACCGCACGGCAAGCGGTACCGGAGTGCCAAGTCTAGGTCCAAAAGACTTCTCAACAGCTTCTACCCCCAAGCCATAAGACTCCTGAACAGCTAATCATGGCTACCCGGACTATTTGCACTGCCCCCCCACCCCATCCTTTTTACGCTGCTGCTACTCTGTTAAGTATTTATGCATAGTCACTTTAACTCTACCCACATGTACATATTACCTCAACTACCTCAACTAGCCGGTGCCCCCGCACATTGACTCTGCAACGGTACCCCCCTGTATATATAGCCTCCCTACTGTCACTTTATTTTACTGTATATATAGCCTCCCTACTGTCACTTTATTTTACTTCTGCTCTTTTTTTCTCAACACTTTTTTGTTGTTGTTGTTTTATTCTTACTTTTTTTGTTTAAAATAAATGCACTGTTGGTTAAGGGCTGTAAGTAAGCATTTCACTGCAATGTCTGCACCTGTTGTATTCGGCGCATGTGACCAATAAAATTTGATTTGATTTGATTTGAAGGAGTCAAAGGCAATGGCATCTAGCTGTCCATTGGACTGGGAAGGTTGTCTGCTGGTACTCCAAAAATAGCTGTTTCTGCTCTGGGCTGCAACTCTATAATAGCTGTTTCTGCTCTGTTTCTGCTGTTTCTCAGTACTTTCTGAAGTATTTGATATACAGTGCCTTCGGAAAGTATTCAGACCCCTTCCCTTTTTCAAAAATGTGTTACGTTACAGCCTTATTCTAAAATGGATTACATACTTTTTCCCCCCTCATCAATCTACACACAATACTCCATAATGACAAAGCGAAAATAGGTTTTTAGACATTTTTGCAAATGTATAAAAAAACAGAAATACCTTATTTACATAAGAATGAATGTAGTGGACCAGTAATCTGCCAGACGGGGACAGGAGCAGAACATGCAGTGGGGGTCAAGTCCGCCAAGGAGCTTTTACACCTGTCACATGTACCATCAATATTTGGGTAGAATTTGGATAATCTGGCCTTACTGTAATGGATACGGTGAAGTACCTTCAACTGTACAAGGCTGAGCTGGGCACAAGTAGAACTTCCATTTACCCTAAGGAAGGCACTATTCCAGACGTCGTCAGAGATCTCTCCACCAAGTTTATTTTCCCTCTCAGATCAGATTTTACTAAGTGATGAGTTGTCAAGGGACATGATTATCTAAAAAATATGAGTCCCTTTAGTTGAAATTGTGTTTTCAAAAGGGCATCCAAACCCGATCCGGGTGGTAGAATTGGAAAGGTGGGGCTTTGAGTGCGAATAAACTGGCTAATTTGGAAATACCTAAATAAACTTAAACGGTTAGATAACATTTTAATGGCAAAGTCGTCAAAATTGGCAAAGATGCCATCAATCTAGAGGTAAAAAAACGTAGTAAGGCCATTCCTCTGCCACAGCCTAAAAGCTGAATCCAGTTCAGCTGGAAGGAAGAGGGGATTATTACATACAGGACCTTGAATAGAGAAAATAATTGAAAGTGTACAAAATAATTGAAAGTGTTGACGGAATTGAGTTCAAATTTTAACAGTACTGATACCAATTGGATTAGATGTGTAGCACAAAGCTGAGAGAGGAAAAATGGAGGTGACTAAAGCTGCCAAAGAAAAACAGGAGTTGGCTTTTGTTTGAAATGTCTCTTCCATACAGCTACCCCCCAATTATTTGTTGTTCAAATTGTCATGGCAATGAATGATTGTATTCCCTCCCAGGTAAACGAGCCTAGAGCAGACAATGCTCAAACACCAACATCCATACCAGCTCAGTGTCTTTCCACAAGCAGAGGAACACAAGTGGAAGAACGAACCGGTGGGCCTGTATCACAATGATCATCTCTCTCCTTCCATACTGTCACCTCTCTCCTTCAATACTGTCATCTCTCTACTTCCATACTGTCATCTCTCTACTTCCATACTGTCACCTCTCTCCTTCCATACTGTCACCTCTCTCCTTCCATACTGGCATCTCTCTACTTCCATACTGTCATCTCTCTACTTCCATACGGTCACCTCTCTCCTTCCATACTGTCATCTCTCTCCTTCCATTCTGTCACCTCTCTCCTTCCATACTGTCATCTCTCTTTCCGTACTGTCACCTCTCTCCTTCCATACTGTCACCTCTCTCCTTCCATACTGTCATCTCTCTCCTTCCATACTGTCATATATCTCCTTCCATACTGTCACCTCTCTCCTTCCATACTGTCATCTCTCTTTCCATACTGTCACCTCTCTCCTTCCATACTGTCATCTCTCTACTTCCATACTGTCACCTCTCTCCTTCCATACTGTCATCTCTCTCCTTCCATACTGTCACCTCTCTCCTTCCATACTGTCATCTCTCTCCTTCCATACTGTCACCTCTCTCCTTCCATACTGTCATCTCTCTTTCCGTACTGTCACCTCTCTCCTTCCATACTGTCATCTCTCTACTTCCATACTGTCATCTCTCTTTCCGTACTGTCACCTTTCTCCTTCCATACTGTCACCTCTCTCCTTCCATACTGTCATCTCTCTCCTTCCATACTGTCACCTCTCTACTTCCATACTGTCATCTCTCTTTCCATACTGTCACCTTTCTCCTTCCATACTGTCATCTCTCTCCTTCCATACTGAGTACAGTGATAAAGCTACCAGCATTTGATAATGTAGCCTTTATTACCTAGGATTTGCATGTTAAGGTGAGTTCACAGATAATCTCCTTTCTAACATCACATTTTCAACCTGGCCTCAGGAGCAAATCCCTCTATCTAGCCCAGACAGGGACACTGGAGGCTCAAATAAGGTCACTGAAGCAAGTGAACTGTATGACTTTAGAGATGAGCATTAATGCACAGAGATCTTACATATCTGATTAATCAGGATTTCATTTTTCATCATCCTCTATTCGTACATCCTGTTTATGTTGTTTTGATCATTCCATTCAGGAAGGACCTGGCCAGCAGTCAGAAGGAGTGTGAGGAGGTGAAAGGTCGTCTGAGACATAAGGAGGCGATGGCAGCGGCGGGCAGTGCATAGGCGACCTCTGTCTGAAGTGTACCCAGAACGAGGTGGTGCTGGCAGAGACACTCCAACATGCACATCCAGGCTAGAGAGTCACCAAGTCAGTGTGATCATGGATTTGTCTCCTGATCTTTTGTTCTTTATTGATTAGAGTATTTGGGTTCCTTCAAGCTTTCTTCCCCCTCATAACAGCAAAATTCCAAGGGAAATTTTTCCTGTCCATTGACGCCTAAGGCTTTGCCATTGATCACACTGAATGTGAAGGATGTTCACATTGAGATGTCATCTCAACCAATCCAGTTGGCATCTGACATAAAGCAATCAATTATCGCCCCCCTTTAGCAAGGTTGTCAAGAATTGAGTCTCCATGTCAATCACAAATTATACATCTGGCTTTGATAGGGCATGGCATGTCTACAAGTGACATTGTTAGAAAACAAGCATCCTTACACCAGAATGATTATTGATGAACAGATATTTTATTTGCCCACATTGAAATCTGCGTGTGTGTGTGTGTGTGTGTGTGTGTGTGTTTGTACGTGTTTAACTATACTTGTGGGGACCAGAAGTCCCCACAAGAATAGTAAATAAACAAACATTTGACCAACTGGGGTCATTTTGTTGGTCCCCACAAGGTCAAATGCTATTTCTAGGGGGTTAAGGTTAGAATTAGGGTTAGGGTTAGGAGTTAGGGTTAGGAGCTAGGGTTAGGGTTAAGGTTAGGTTTTCAGGCTAGGGTAAGGGTACAGGTTAAGGTTAGGGGTTAGCGAAAATAGGACTTTGAATGGGACTGAATTGTGTGTCCCCACAAGGTTAGTTGTACAATACTGTGTGTGTGTGTGTGTGTGTCCCACATAGAGTGTGATGAGCTGATGAATGTGCTGTGCTCTCTGAGGGCCAGTCAGAGCGAGGCCCAGCAGAGGGAGTGGGCTGCCTACCAGCAGGTCAAACTGGCTGAGGCCAACCTGGAGAAAACCAGGGTGTCAGACAACCACTCACTGATGGAACATTACTGAGCAACAGCGACATCTACTGGTCCGGCTCCTCAACTACATACATTAATGGCTTTGACCCCTCTGTACCTAATAGAATACAGTGCCTTGCAAAAGTATTCATACCCCTTGGATTTCTTCACATTTTGTTGTGTTACAAAGTGGGATTCAAATTAATTTAATTGTAATAAGTATTATTATTTTTAAGATGATTAGAAATTAAATAACTAAAAATAGTTGTTGCATAATTATTCAGCCCCTTTATTTTAGAAAGGCTCAATTACTTCAGGAGTCAAATTTATATCTTAACAAATCACATAAGTTACATGGACTCATTCTGTGTGAAATAATAGGGGTTGACATGATTTTTGAAAGACTAACCCTTCCTCTGTCCCCCATACGTACAACATCTGTAAGTCAGTCAAGTATTGAATTTCAAGCACAGATTCAACTATAAAGACCAGGGAGCTTTTTGAAAGCTTCATAAAGAAGGGCAGTGATTGGTAGATGGGTAACAATAACAAAGCAGACATTGAATATCTCTTTAAGTATGGTCAATTATGCTGTGGATTATGTATTAAACCACCCAGACACATCAAAGGTACAGTCATCCTTCTGAACTGAGCTGCAGGACAGGACTGAAACTGCTCAGGGATGTTACCATGAGGCCATTGGTGATTTTAAAGCAGTTACAGAGTTCAATGCCTGTGATGGGAGAAAACTAAGGATGGATCAACAATAATGACTTAAATGACAAAGAGGAATACAAATATATAGAATGAAACAAATCAGTTAATTCAAGTTGCCTCAACTGTAATTCACTTACCCCCTAAACTATGTCATGTGAAAAAGTGCCTGATATTCAAAAAATGTATTCATTTTGGGCCTTCCCAGGTTTATGGTTTGTGTAACATTGTAGCCTAGAGACCAATGCGTGGCCATATTCCAAAACATGCAACAAGGCACTAAAGTAATACTGTAAACAAACACGGCAAAGGAATACACTTTCTGGCCTTATGTTTGGGGCAAATCCAACACAACACATCACTGAGTAACTGCCTCCTTATTTTCAAGCATGGTGGTGGCTGCATCGTGGTATGAGTATGCTTGACATCGGGATGGAAAGCTAAGCACAGGCAAAATCCTAGAGGAAAACCTGCTTCAGTCTGCTTTCCACCAGACACTGGAAGAGGACAATAAACTAAAACACAAAGCCTTTATCTGGAGTTGCTTACCAAGAAGACAGCGAGTGGCCAAGTTACAGTTTTGACTTAAATCTGCTTGAAAATACTGTATATGGCAAGACTTGAACATTACTGTCTAGCCATGATCCCCAACATCTTGACAGAGCTTGAAGATTTATGAAAACAATAATGGGCTAATGTTACACAATCCAGGTGTGTAAAGCTCTTAGAGACTGACCCAAGAAGACATTTCCAAATATGTTTCTAACATGTATTGACTCAGGGAGCTGAATACTTATGCAATGACAATATTTTTATTGTTTAATTTCTATCAATCTTTAAAAAATATATATAATAATCTTTCACTTTGACATTTGCGTATTTAGTGTAGATTGTTGACCTTAAAAAAATATATATATATATATTAAATCCATTTGAATCCCATTTTGTACCACACAATGTGAAGAAATGCAAGGGATATGAATACATTTGCAATGCACTGTATATGAAACTATAAACTCTATTTTGCAACAGTGAGGTTTATAAGATGCCGTACATTGTTTCAGAAATATAGCAGTGGTAAAAATAAGAAAAGTATTTTGTTTTGTGAGACTTTAATTTTTTGCAGTATTGTCCTCCCTTTGACACTTGTGTGTGTACCCGACCTGTGTCTGTGTATACCGGTTTTGTCCTTCCTACAGGAGGTGGTGCAGTGTGATGCGTTTGCCAGGGAGCGGAACAGACTAGGACAGAAGCTGGAGATTGAGATGTCTGCAAAGCAGGAGAAGATCTCTAAGGCCAGAGATCGGGCACTCAACGAGGCCTGCAAGGAGGTGGAGGAACTGGCCCAGTCTGGCCGCCTGCCTTGAAAACTTTGATTAAAGCTCATTGAGAAATGTTTATCTTTCTCTATTTATCTGAGCCTCTGATTTAATGTTTTATTTAGCACACTCCGCCAACCCTGATGTTCTAGCAGTGTCTGAATCCTGGCTTAGGAAGGCCACCAAAAATTCAGAAACTACAACATATTCCGTCTAGATAGATAGAACTGCCAAAGGGGGCGGAGTTGCAATCTACTGTAGAGATAGCCTGCAGAGCTCTATCATACTATCCAGGTCTGTGCCCAAACAGTTTGAGCTCCTACTTCTAAAAATACACCTTTCCAGAAATAAGTCTCTCACTGTTGCCGCTTGCTACAGACCCCCCTCAGCCCCCAGCTGTGCCCTGGACACCATATGTGAATTGATTGCCCCCCATCTATCCTCAGAGTTCGTATTGCTTGGTGACCTAAACTGGGATATGCTTAACACCCCGGCCGTCCTACAATCTAAACTAGATGCCCTCAATCTCACACAAATTATCAAGGAACCTACCAGGTACAACCCTAAATCCGTAAACATGGGCACCCTCATAGATATCACTCCTGAGTGGCGCAGTGGTCTACGGCACTGCATCGCAGTGCTAACTGTGCCACTAGAGATCCTGGTTCGAATCCAGGCTCTGTCGCAGCCGGCCGCGACCGGGAGACTCATGGGCGGCGCACAATTGGCCCAGCGTCGTCCAGGGTAGGGGAGGGAATGGCCGGCAGTGATGTAGCTCAGTTGATAGAGCATGGTGTTTGCAACGCCAGGGTTGTGGGTTCGATTCCCACGGGGGGGCAGTATAAAAAAATATGTATTCACTAACTGTAAGTCGCTCTGGATAAGAGCGTCTGCTAAATGACTAAAATGTAAAATATCATCCTGACTAATTTACCCTCTAAATACACCTCCGCTGTCTTCAACCAGGATCTCAGCGATCACTGCCTCATTGCCTGCGTCCGTAATGGGTCCGCGGTCAAACGACCACCCCTCAAACGCTCCCTAAAACACTTTAGCAAGCAGACCTTTCTAATTGACCTGGCTCGGGTATCCTGGATGGATATTGACCTCATTCCGTCAGTAGAGGATGCCTGGTTGTTCTTTAAAAGTGCTTTCCTCTCCATCTTAAATAAGCATGCCCCATTCAAAAAAATTCAGAACTAAGAACAAATATAGCCCCTGGTTCACCCCAGACTTGACTGCCCTTGACCAGCACAAAAACATCCTGTGGCGTACTGCATTAGCATCGAACAGCCCCCGCGATATGCAACTTTTCAGGGAAGTCAGGAACCAATATACACAATCAGTTAGGAAAGCAAAGGCTAGCTTTTTCAAACAGAAATTTGCATCCTGTAGCACTAACTCCAAAAAGATTTGGGACTGTAAATCCATGGAGAATAAGAGCACCTCCTCCTAGCTGCCCACTGCACTGAGGCTAGGAAACACTGTCACCACCGATAAATCTACGATAATTGAGAATTTCAACAAGCATTTTGCTACGGCTGGCCATGCTTTCCACCTGGCTACCCCTACTCCGGCCACCAGCTCTGCACCCTCTGCTGCAACTTGCCCATGCCCCCCCCCCCGCTTCTCCTTCACCCAAATTCAGACAGCTGATGTTCTGAAAGAGCTGCAAAATCTGGCCCCCTACAAATCAGCTGGGCTAGACAATCTGGACCCTTTCTTTCTAAACTTAGCCGCAGAAATTGTCGCAACCCCTATTACTAGCCTGTTTTACCTCTCTTTTGTAACGTCTGAGATCCCCAGAGATTGGAAAGCTGCTGCGGTCATCCCCCTCTTCAAAGGGGGTGACACTCTAGATTCAAACTGTTACAGACCTATATCCATCCTGCCCTGCCTTTCGAAAGTATTTGAAAGCCAAGTTAACAAACAGATCACCGACCATTTCGAATCCCACCGTACCTTCTCCGCTATGCAATCTGGTTTCCGAGCTGGTCATGGGTGCACCTCAGCCACGCTCAAGGTCCTATTATAACCGCAATCGATAAAAGACAGTACTGTGCAGACGTCTTCATCGACCTGGCCAAGGCTTTCGACTCTGTCAACCACCGGCAGACTAAATAGCCTTGGTTTCTCAAATGACTGCCTCGCCTGGTTCACCAACTACTTCTCAGATAGAGTTCAATGTGTCAAATCAGAGGGCCTGTTGTCTGGACCTCTGGCAGTCTCTATGGGGGTGCCACAGGGTTCAATTCTCGGGCCGACTCTATTCTCTGTGTATATCAATGATGTCGCTCTTGCTGCTTGTGACTCTCAGATCCACCTCTACGCAGATGACACCATTTTGTATACATCTGGCCCTTCATTGAACACTGTGTTACCAAACCTCCAAACGAGCTTCAATGCCATACAACACTCCTTCCGTAGCCTCCAACTACTCTTAAACATTAGTAAAACTAAATGCATGCTCTTCAATCGAACGCTGCTTGCACCCGCCCGCCCGACTAGAATCACTACTCTCGGTGGGTCTGACTTAGAATATGTGGACAACTACAAATACCTAGGTGTCTGGTTAGACCATAAACTCTCCTTCCAGACTCACATTAAGAATCTCCAATCCAAAGTTACATCTAGAATCGGCTTCCTATTTCGCAACAAAGCCTCCTTCACTCATGCTGCCAAACATGCCCTCGTAAAACTGACTATCCTACCGATCCTTGACTTCGGCAATGTCATTTACAAAATAGCCTCCAACACTCTACTCAGCAAATTGGATGTAGTCTATCACAGTGCCATCCGTTTTGTCACCAAAGCCCCATATACTACCCACCATCGTGACCTGTACACTCTTGTTGGCTGGCCCTCACTACATATTCGTCGCCAAACCCACTGGCTCCAGGTTTACCGCCTTATCTTAGCTCATTGGTCACCATAGCAACACCCACCCATAGTATGAGCTCCAGCAGGTATATCTCACTGGTCATCCCCAAAGCCAACACCTCCTTTGGCCGCCATTCCTTCCAGTTTTCTGCTGCCAATGACTGGAACGAATTGCAAAAATCTCTGAAGCTGGAGACTCTTATCTCCCTCACTAACTTTAAGCATCAGTTGTCAGAGCAGTTTACCGATCACTGCACCTGTACACAGAACCATCTGTAATTAGTCCATCCAACTACCTCATCCCCATATTGTTATTTATTTTGCTCATTTGCACCCCAGTATCTCTATTTGCACATCATATTCTGCACATCTATTACTCCAGTGTTAATACTAAATTGTAATTATTTTGCACTATGTCCTATTTATTGCCTTACCTCCATAACTTACTACATTTGCACACACTGTATATAGATTTTCTATTGTGTTATTGATGTACATTTTGTTTATTCTATATGTAACTCTGTGTTATTGTTGTTTTTATCACACTGCTTTGCTTTATCTTGGCCAGGTCGCAGTTGTAAATGAGAACTTGTTCTCAACTGGCTTAACTGGTTAAATAAAGGTGAAATAAAATAAAATAAAAATAAATAGAACATATTGAAGATTCAATATTTGATTATTTAAAAACTATCTTTTCTTTGTAACTACTTTGTTTAAAAAAAGTACCATGTATGTAAAATCTGTGTAAAATGTATATGTAAAACAAAGAGATCCCTGAGCACCCAGCTGGAGACCCAGCAAAGGAGACACCTTACTACTGTCAACACCTAAAGAGGTTCCAGGTTGTAGCCTGTTAGTGGAAGGGTTAAGCTGTTGAACTGGCAGTTGCAGACACGGTACACACTACTTACTATCACAGACTTTTCAAACCTTGAAGAGAGTGATTTCAGTAACATTGTTGTAATGCATTTTAATGCCACTGGCTGGCACCAAAGCCTTGTCTATTTCAACGTGTCAAATTCTACAGTCGTGGTCAAAAGTTTTGAGAATGACACAAGTATTGGTCTTCACAAAGTTTGCTGCTTCAGTGTTTTTAGATATTTTTGTCAGATGTTACTATGGTATACTGAAGTATAATTACAAGCATTCCATAAGTGTCAAAGGCTTTTATTGACAATTACATTAAGTTCATGCAAAGAGTCAATATTTGCAGTGTTGACCCTTCTTTTTCAAGACCTCTGCAATCCGCCCTGGCATGCTGTCAATTAACTTCTGGGCCACATCCTGACTGATGGCAGCCCATTCTTGCATAATCAATGCTTGGAGTTTGTCCGAATTTGTGGGCTTTTGTTTGTCCACCCGCCTGTTGAGGATTAACCACAAGTTCTCAATGGGATTAAGGTCTGGGGAGTTTCCTGGCCATGGACCCAAAATGTCGATGTTTTGTTCCCCGATCCACTTAGTTATCACTTTTGTCTTATGGCAATGTGCTCCATCATGCTGGAAAAGGCATTGTTCGTCACCAAACTGTTCTTGGATGGTTGGGAGAAGTTGCTCTCGGAGGATGTGTTGGTACCATTCTTTATTCATGGCTGTGTTCTTAGGCAAAATTGTGAGTGAGCCCACTCCCTTGGCTGAGAAGCAACCCCACACATGAATGGTCTCAGGATGCTTTACTGTTGGCATGACACAGGACTGATGGTAGCGCTCACCTTGTCTTCTCTGGACAAGCTTTTTTCCGGATGCCCCAAACAATTGGAAAGGGGATTCATCAGCGATAATGACTTTACCCCAGTCCTCAGCAGTCCAATCCCTGTACCTTTTGCAGAATATCAGTCTGTCGCTGATGTTTTTCCTGGAGAGAAGTTGCTTCCTTGCTGCCCTTCTTGACATCAGGCTATCCTCCAAAAGTATTCGCCTCACTGTGCATGCAGATGCACTCACACCTGCCTGCTGCCATTTCTGAGCAAGCTCTGCACTGGTGGTGCCCCGATCCCACAGCTGAATCAACTTTAGGAGACGGTCCTGGCACTTGCTGGACTTTCTTGGGCGCCCTGAAGCCTTCTTCACAACAATTGAACCTCTCTCCTTGAAGTTCTTGATGATCCGATAAATGGTTGATTTAGGTGCAATCTTACTAGCAGCAATATCCTTGCCTGTGAAGCCCTTTTTGTGCAAAGCAATGATGACGGCACGTGTTTCCTTGCAGGTAACCATGGTTAACAGAGGAAGAACAATGATTTCAAGCACCACCCTCCTTTTAAAGCTTCCAGTCTGTTATTCTAACTCAATCAGCATGACAGAGTGATCTCCAGCCTTGTCCTCGTCAACACTCTCACCTGTGTTAACGAGAGAATCAATGACATGATGTCAGCTGGTCCTTTTGTGGCAGGGCTTAAATGCAGTGGAAATGTTTTTTTGAGACTAAGTTCATTTTCATGGCAAAGAGGGACTTTGCAATTAATTGCAATTCATCTGATCACTCTTCATAACATTTTGGAGTATATGCAAATTGCCATCATAAAAACTGAGGCAGCAGACTTTGTTAAAATTAATATTTGTGTTATTCTCAAAACTTTTGTCCACGACTGTATGTAGTTCTAGGAGGGTGTGTATTGAGGGTAGATCATTACAACCAGTGCTTAATTTGAACAGGATCCTGTGGCACCTCTCCGATTTGGACTGTTTCGTTCCGGAACCCATTTGCCAGGATCCGGTACGTCGTGGCATAAAAAAACATTTTCACTGTTTGCAAAGTAAAAATTCTAATAAAATTAATCAGTTAATTCAAGTTGCCTCCTCTGTAATTCACCTGCCCCTTAAACAACGTAAAGTGAAAACGTGCCTGATATTCTAAGAATTGATTGATGTTGGGCCAACGCGTGGCCATTGCTGGGGTGAGAGAAGCGTGCCTGTATCTCACAGAACTAGATTAAGATTCACTTTCTATGATCTCTCTCTGCTCTGATAGAAATTAGCCTGCTACTGTCATCTCTCCAGCGTTGCACTTCATCATTTATTTCCTTATAGAATCATAGCCGTGGAGGTGCTGCAGCACCCCTGATGAATTGAAATACATTTGCCACAGTTATATTACTGCTGTCTTTTCATAAATCTACGAAATAATTCAGAATACTACACCAGGAGTAGGCTTATAATTTAGCCACAGAGGATCAATAGTTATTAAATTTTTTTATGGCCTAGCTGTGGATAGTGTGTAGTAAAATGTAAAAATATAGTTGAATGCACCAATTTGTAAGTCACTCTGGATAAGAGTGTCTGCTAAATTACTTAAATGTAAATGTAAATATGTTATCAACTTCCAAATAGGCCTATTGAGCGAACAGCATGAGAGCGACACAGGCTTTGGGCACCAGCGCATTGGCCATCACCGTGAGTGAGCTGCGCATCATTGGGTGAGTCAGTGAAACTGCAAAGCATTTTTAGGACTATAATTTCCTCCTCATATTGTAGCCTACAATATGTGTCTCCACACACCTAGGCCTAGGCTATTGATGGATTCAAGACAAGGTCGTTTTTATTGATCTCAGATTGTCAGTTTGTCAGCGTCAAAGTAACCTGCCATTTTGATTTCTGAGCTATTAAAAAAGATTCTGCTAAAGTCTCCAGTCATCTAAAATTATGTAGAATTGCATGAAATGCGCTTATAAAAAGGTAACATTTTCCCCCATATGTGCAACTTCTGTCAGTGCCTCTACTCTACTGCTCAATGCAAACAAAAGCGATGATAATGCACGCAATGCCTTATTATAAACTCAGCAAAAAAAGAAACTTCCCTTTTTCAGGACCCTGTCTTTTAAAGATAATTCGTAAAATCCAAATAACTTCACAGATCTTCATTGTAAAGGGTTTAAACACTGTTTCCCATGCCTGTTCAATGAACCATAAACAATTAATGAACATGCACCTGTGGAACGGTCGTTAAGACACTAACAGCTTACAGACGGTAGGCAATTAAGGTCACAGTTATGAAAACTTAGGACACTAAAGAGGCCTTTCTACTGACTCTGAAAAACACCAAAAGAAAGATGCCCAGGGTCATCTGCGTGAACGTGCCTTAGGCATGCTGCAAGGAGGCATGAGGACTGCAGATGTGGCCAGGGCAATAAATTGCAATGTCCGTACTGTGAGACGCCTAAGACAGCGCTACAGGGAGACAGGACGGACAGCTGATCATCCTCGCAGTGGCACACGTGTAACAACACCTGCACAGGATCGGTACATCCGAACATCACACCTGCGGGACAGGTACAGGATGGCAACAACAACTGCCCGAGTTACACCAGGAACGCACAATCCCTCCATCAGTGCTCATACTGTCCGCAATAGGCTGAGAGAGGCTGGACTGAGGGCTTGTAGGCCTGTTGTAAGGCAGGTCCTCACCAAACATCACCGGCAACAACGTCGCCTATGGGCACAAACCCACCTTCACTGGACCAGACAGGACTAGCAAAAAGTGCTCTTCACTGATGAGTCGCGGATTTGTCTCACCAGGGATGATGGTCGGATTCGCGTTTATCGTCGAAGGAATGAGCGTTACACTGAGGCCTGTACTCTGGAGCCAGATCGATTTGGAGGTGGAGGGTCCGTCATGGTCTGGGGCGGTGTGTCACAGCATCATCGGACTGAGCTTGTTGTCATTGCAGGCAATCTCAACACTGTGCGTTACAGGGAAGACATCCTCCTCCCTCATGTGGTACCCTTCCTGCAGGCTCATCCTGACATGACTCTCCAGCATGACAATGCCACCAGCCATACTGCTCGTTCTGTGCCTGATTTCCTGCAAGACAGGAATGTCAGTGTTCTGCCATGGCCAGCGAAGAGCCCGGATCTCAATCCCATTGAGCAGGTCTGGGACCTGTTGGATCGGAGGGTGAGGGCTAGGGCTATTCCCCCCAGAAATGTCCGGGAACTTGCAGGTGCCTTGGTGGAAGAGTGGGGAAACATCTCACAGCAAGAACTGGCAAATATGGTGCAATCTGGTGGCCACACCAGATACTGACTGTTACTTTTGATTTTGACCCCCCCTTTGTTCAGGGACACATTATTCAATTTCTGTTAGTCACATGTCTGTGGAACTTGTTCAGTTTATGTCTCAGTTGTTGAATCTTGTTATGTTCATACAAACATTTACACATGTTAAATTTGCTGAAAATAAACGCAGTTGACAGTGAGAGGACATTTCTTTTTTTGCTGAGTTAAAAAAAAAATGCATTCCGGTACCTCAGAGCCCCAGGTCAGCCCCCTCTGGGCTCACTTTTTGTTCCAGCACCTCCCAATTTACAAATTAAGCACTGATTACAACCAATGCAATCATTATTTACTGAATGAAGACTGTGCATTGAGCTCTAATTAGGTCAATTCTGTCTCTTATTACTGCTCAACTTACAGTACTATATGAAGTTACCATCGTTGCTCTCTACTACGAGGATACACAGGTGTCCTGTGTTCATTGCTACTGTGACCCTCTGATCTGTCCTGATCTGACCTGTCCTGATGTGTCCTGTCCTGATGTGTCCTGTCCTGATGTGTCCTGTCCTGTCTCCTGTGTGTCCAGGTGTTTGGGGAGCTGCACTACCAGCTCAGCCAGGCTCAGCTGAAGAGAGAGGAGGCAGAGATGGAGCTCAGAGACTGCAGCTCCAAGACAGCACGGCAGCTATAGATGACTGAACAGGTGATGAGGCCGGGCACGGCAGGGACAATTAATATATATATATTTTTTATAGCAACAATATTTGTGCTGGTGTCAGATGTTATGCAGGAATCTTTTAGAAAATATACTTTTCTCAGGTATTTGTGTAAAACATTGACAGTCTCAATCTCTTTCTCATTATTTCTGTTCTTATTTGGGATTGATTTATGATTCATCCTTATTTGTTGAAAACATGAGAATGCCATTCCCTTTTTCAACTTGGAGAACTAGGCATATTTTAGGTTGTATGGCGTTGCAGCAACACCACATGATTTACAGGAACATATTATAGTGAAGATGGGCACGGGGTGGTGTATGATGTATAACTCTCTCTCCCCCTCCCACTCCCTTCCTCTCTCTCACTGGGGGCAGGAAGTGGAGAAGCTGGGTGTGGAGCTGAGCGGCTGCCGGCAGCATTTGGACCAGGCCCAGAGGCAGGCGGAGGCTCTGAGCCTGACGGAGTGGCTGGACCTAGCACCAACTGCACCTCACCAGGTAAACCCTAATCCTATTATACATGCCACAACACCTCCGTGTCCGCATCGCGCCACCCTGCCCTGTTCTGTTCTGCTGCCGCCTGCCACTGTGCCAGCGCCCAGCCCCTCAGCGCCCTGCCCAGGCACAAGCCAGGGCCAGCTCCACAGTCAGGGAGCACCGGACTCACCCAGACCGGCTGCTGTCACCCCTCACATAGACCTCTCCTCTTCGTAACCTGGCGCCGACGAAGATGGCGGCCTCGCGACTAGCTCTTAGGAAACTTTGCAGTATTTTGTTTTTTTATGTATAATTTTTTACATTATTAGCTCAGAAAGTGTTTTGCATCATTACATACAGCCGGGATAAACTATTGGATATCAGAGCGGCGGTAACTTACCAGCATTACGACCAGGAATACGACTTTCCCGAAGCAGATCCCTTGTTTGCTCTCCCCAAGGCAACTGAACTGATTCCAGCGGCTGACCCAAAACCTCGCCGGCGGAGGAGAAGCACTCGGAGTGGCCTGCTGGTTCGACTTAGGAGGCGCGCACACCACCCACCGCTTCCAAGTATACTACTCGCTAATGTTCAGTCTTTGGTTAACAAGCTCGATGAACTCCGGGCAAGGATTTCTTTCCAGAGGGACATCAAGGCCTGTAACATACTATGTTTCATGGAAACATGGCTCTCTTGGGATATTCTGTCGAAATCGGTCCAGCCAGACGGGTTCTCAGTTCATCGCGCAGACAGAAATAAATATCTCTCCGGGAAGCAGAAGGGCAGAGGTGTGTGTTTCATGATTAACGACTCATGGTGTAATTGTAGTAACATACAGGAACTCGAGTCCTTCTGTTCACCCGACCTAGAATATCTCACAATCAAATGCGGACCGTATTATCTCCCAAGATAATTTTCTTCGGTTATAGTCATGGCCGTGTATATCCCCCCTCAAGCCGATACCACGACGGCCCTCAAAGAACTTCACTGGACCTTATGCAAACTGGAAACCACATATCCTGAGGCTGCATTTATTGTAGCCGGGGATTTTAACAAAGCAAATCTGAGGACTAGGCTGCCAAAATTCTATCAACATATCGACTGTTGTACTCGCGCTGCCAAAATCCTCGACCATTGCTATTCGAACTTCCGGGATGGTTATAAGGCCCTCCCCCGCCCTCCTTTCGGCAAATCTGACCACGACTCCATTTTGCTTCTCCCTTCCTATAGGCAGAAACTCAAACAGGAAGTACCCGTGCTAAGGACTATTCAACGCTGGTTTGACCAATCGGAATCCACGCTTCAAGATTGTTTTGATCACACGGACTGGGATATGTCCCTGGTAGTTTCCGGAAATAATTTAGACGAATACACTGAAACGGTGACTGAGTTTATCAGGAAGTGTATAGGTGATGTTGTGCCCACTGTGACTATTAAAACCTACCCTAACCAGAAACCGTGGATAGATAGCAGCATTTGCGCAAATCTGAAAGCGTAAACCACCGCATTCAACCATGGCAAGGTGACTGGGAATATGGCAGAATACAAACAGTGTAGCTACTCACTCCGCAAGGCAATTAAACTGGCAAAACATCAGTATAGAGACAAAGTGGAGTCAGAATTCAATGGCTCAGACACGAGACGTGTGTGGCAGGGTCTACAGACAATCACGGACTACAAAAGGAAAGCCAGCCACGTCGCCGACACCGACGTCTCGCTTCCAGACAAGCTTTGAGGATAACACAGTGCCACTGACGAGGCCCACTACCAAGGACTGTGGCCTCTCCTTCTCCATGGCTGACGTGATTAAGACATTTAAGCATGTTAACCCCCGCAAGGCTGCCGGCCCAGACGGCATCCCTAGCCGTGTCCTCAGTGCATGCGCAGACCAGCTGGCTGGTGTGTTTACAGACATATTCAATCTCTCCCTTTCCCAGTCTGCTGTTCCCACAGGCTTCAAGAGGGCCACCATTGTTCCTGTACCCAAGAAAGCAAAGGTAACTGAACTAAATGACTATCGCCCTGTAGCACTCACCTCTGTCATCATGAAGTGCTTTGAGAGACTAGTCAAGGATCATATCACCTCTACCTTACCTGTCACCCTAGACCCACTTCAATTTGCTTACCGCCCCAATAGATCCACAGACGATGCAATTGCCATCACACTGCCCTATCCCATCTGGACAAGAGGAATACCTATGTAAGAATGCTGTTCATTGACTATAGCTCAGCATTCAACACCATAGTACCCTCCAAGCTCATCATTAAGCTTGATGCCCTGGGTCTGAACCCCGGCCTGTGCAACTGGGTCCTGGACTTCCTGACGGGCTGCCCCAAGGTGGTGAAGGTAGGAAACAACATCTCCACTTCGCTGACACTCAACACTGGGGCCTCACAAGGGGCCGCCCGCAACCGCAGGGCTCTCCAGAGGGTGGTGCGGTCTGCCGAACGCATTACCGGGTGCAAACTAGCTGCCCTCCAATACACATACAGCACCCGATGTCACAGGAAGACCAAAAAGATCATCAAGGACATCAACCACCCAAGCCACTGCCTGTTCACCCCGCTATTATCCAGAAGGCGAGGTCAGTACAGGTGCATCAAAGCTGGGATCGAGAGAATGAAAAACAGCTTCTACCTCAAGGCCATCAGACTGTTAAATAGCCATCACTAGCACAATAGAGGCTGCTGCTGCCTATTGAAATCACTGGCCACTTTAAGAAATGGAACACTAGTCACTTTAATAATGTTTACATATTTTGCACTACTCATCTCATATGTATAGTCGTGGTCAAAAGTTTTGAGAATGACACAAGTATTGGTCTTCACAAAGTTCGCTGCTTCAGTGTTATGAGATATTTTTGTCAGATGTTACTATGGTATACTGAAGTATAATTACAAGCATTCCATAAGAGTCAAAGGCTTTTATTGACAATTATATTAAGTTTATGCAAAGAGTCAATATTTGCAGTGTTGACCCTTCTTTTTCAAGAACCTTCTGGGCCACATCCTGACTGATGGCAGCCCACTCTTGGATAATCAATGCTTGGAGTTTGTCCGAATTTGTGGGTTTTTGTTTGTCCACCCGCCTCTTGAGGATTAACCACAAGTTCTCAATGGGATTAAGGTCTGGGGAGTTTCCTGGTCATGGACCCAAAATTTCGATGTTTTGTTCCCCGAGCCACTTAGTTGTCACTTTTGCCTTATGGCAAGTTGCTCCATCATGCTGTAAAAGGCATTGGTCGTCACCAAACTGTTCTTGGATGGTTGCGAGAAGTTGCTCTCGGAGGATGTGTTGGTACCATTCTTTATTCATGGCTGTGGTTTTAGGAAAAATTGTGAGTCAGCCCACTCCCTTGGCTGAGAAGCAAACCCACACATGAATGGTCTCAGGATGCTTTACTGTTGGCATGACACAGGACTGATGGTAGCGCTCACCTTGTCTTCTCCGGACTAGGTGTTTTCCGGATGCCCCAAACAATCGGAAAGGGGATTCATCAGAGAAAATGACTTTACCCCAGTCCTCAGCAGTCCAATCTCTGTACATTTTGCAGAATATCAATCTGTCCCTGATGTGGCTTCTTTGCTGCCCTTCTTGACACCAGGCCATCCTCCAAAAGTCTTCGCCTCACTGTGCGAGCAGATGCACTCATACCTGCCTGCTGCCATTCCTGAGCAAGCTCTGCACTGGTGGTGCCCCGATCCTGCAGCTGAATAAACTTTAGGAGACGGTCCTGGCGCTTGCTGGACTTTCTTGGGCGCCCTGACGCCTTCTTCACAACAATTGAACCTCTCTCCTTGAAGTTCTTGATGATCCGAAAAATTGTTGATTTAGGTGCAATCTTACTAGCAGCAATATCCTTGCCTGTGAAGCCCTTTTTGTGCAAAGCAATGATGACGGCACGTGTTTCCTTGCAGGTAACCATGGTTAACAGAGGAAGAACTATGATTTCAAGAACCACCCTCCTTTTAAAGCTTCCAGTCTGTTATTCTAATTCAATCAGCATGACAGAGTAATCTCCAGCCTTGTCCTCATCAACACGCTCACCTATGTTAACGAGAGAATCACTGACATGATGGCAAGTGGTGCTTTTGTGGCAGGGCTGAAATGCAGTGGAAATGTTTTTTGGGGATTACGTTTATTTTCATGGCAAAGAGGGACTTTGCAATTAATTGCAATTCATCTGATCACTCTTCATGACATTTTGGAGTCTATGCAAATTACCATTATCAAAACTGAGGCAGCAGACTTTGTGAAAATTAGTATTTGTGTCATTCTAAAACCTTTTGACCACGACTGTATATACTGCATTCTATTCTATAATATTCTACTGTATCTTAGTCCATGCCGCTCTGTCTTGCTTGTCCATATATGTATATATTCTTAAATCCCATTCCTTACTAGTTTTGTGTGTATTAGGTATATGTTCTGGAATTGTTAGATACTACTTGTTAGATATTACTGCACTGTCGGAGCTAAAAGCACACCCACTATA